TCAGCCACTACTGTCAGCCTGTCAACCTGTAGTCAGTCATTTGACCCTCCTTCCCGTCCACCATCATGGGCGAGCGTGCAAGCCCGATTGCCTGTGCCAGCGCTTGGACTTGGAGCCGTCGAGCTGGCAATCACGGCCCATATGGGGACCCTCATTCGGCGCAGGCAGTGACAAGAGCCGTTACTCTCGTTAGTGAACCAATGGCTGCTGGTGGCTTGGGTGAAGCGGAATCGGGAGGATGAGGTGGGTTGTCACTCATAGTGTATCCGTAAATCCTCGTCGCGGGGTTCACGAACCAAGGGGTCCCTCGGTGAATTAGGACGCGCTTCTTCCATAGCCGATTTTTTTTTTTCTCTAACCAAGCAACCGCAGATTGCAGTCTGAACAAGACAGGGTACTCCGGTCAATATGAACAGGGTCGACGAATGTATCAACAATTAAGCGAACTGGACAGCTTTTCGGTTCTTTTCCTTCTCGAAATCCAGAGCCTCACTCATTGCTGCATAATCCCCGACGGTGGAAAGAATTCTTCACTACTATTTTGAGACGAACAAGGGAACAAAAGCGGCTATGCCCCCCGTCATCATCGTCAAGTTCTTGATCAAAGCTGGATATCGGTTTGCCGATCGAGCAGTCGCCGAGGAAAGGTTTCCAAGAATTGACCAAAGTAAACAAATGGTCCCCTAAGACGGCGGGCGTCTCGAGGGGAGCTAGGGATGCTGCAGGCATTCAACGAGAGGGGGGTGTTCTTCGCTTCGAAGCTCTGTGCACGCGGGAAACATGACAAACATGACCTTGAACCTTGCCCTGTCGGGTGGAGCCTCAACCAGGGGTTCTGCTGCTGCTTGATACTCGCAGGTGCCGCTGCTGCTGATGATGCTATCATGTCGTTCCAGAGCCGGTCAAAGGCACGAGTTGCCGTCTCAAGGGCCCCCACTGTGGTCTGTGACGGTGTACCTGTTTGTGGCACGAAGCCGGAGCTTCTTACCGTGGACAACCGCCGTCACCCGGGGAAGCTCGTTTTTTTGGTAGCTAAGGCGGGCCGGCCAACACTCAACACCATGGCGGAGCTGCTTAGAAACATGGCTGTACTGCAGTAGCTGCTGCAGCTTTCATGCAGCCAGGCCTACTGCCCGCAAATCCAAAACCACAGCTCGGCATCCGTTTTGCCCGCAACCCCCATCAACAACCCACAAGTGCACTTCTGCATCCCGAGCTCGCATACTCGCATCAATGTGCTAGCTGCAGTTGGCCTCGCGGTGGGCGGGGGAACAGGAGGTGGGTTGCCGCCTGGTAACCTTCCACCCCGTTGCTTCTGTTGCCCCGTCGAAGACACCCATGAGATGGATCATACAGAACCTTACGTCGTCGTCGTGCCAAACAAAACATCGGCCGCAGTTGCAGCAGCCATGTCGAGAGTTTAGCCATGGTTTCTTCTTCCATCACCTACCCAGCAGTTGGCTTCTTGGCTCAGGGACTGGGCTGACCATTGAATGAGATACACGTGCTGGAACGTCAGTACAACATCTGTATAGGTACATGGAAAATAAGAACTTGTCCATCGCCTTTGGCTTCAGTTCGATGGGCGCACGGGACGTATTGTGGAGATGAATGACTGAGCGTGCCGCTTCACCGCCGACCGGTCTAAGACAGCTTCTGACTGGCACCTGGCAGCTTTCAATTCCTGTGCCCTGAACTTAGACGTCGCGCCGTCAATTTGGCATCATTCGAATGCTTGTCCGACGCCGCTGATGAGGGAGGGTTCATTGATCAGTGGAGAGGCTGCTATTCGTCCATCTGTTCGCCGACGAGCAAGCCTGACTGGCCAAGGCCAAGGCCCAAGGGTCCAGACCGGCTGGATGGATACGTCACGGAAGGCCGGGTACGAGTCAACCTGGTCTGTTGCTCTGTCAGTCGTCATCTCGGATATTTCGTTTCTCTGGCGGCGCCCCAGGTCCAGGCCTACTAGTAGCTCCAGCTCCCGTTCTCCAACTCCAAGCCCCCAAGCTGTAGCTCCTAGGTCAAGCTCCAAGGTCAAGCTCCAAAGAAACTAATTCGTAAAGGGCACCATTGTGTGTCATCTGTGCCTGTCTCTCTTTACATCCAACAAAGAGGTACAAGCAGCAGCAGCAGCTCCATCACTTGCCTTCCGAAACAAAATGCCACCAAGTCAAAGCCTACAAGGGTTCGTCTCAGCCTCTACCAAACCCTGGATTCTGCCGTCAGCAGTAAGCACAAAATAGCCAATTGTACGTGATATCAGGCCTGCGATAGGCTCTGGCAGGTGCGGGTTGTTTATTCGGGGCTGCGCTCAGTGTAGATTGTATGGGACGATGAAGCGATAAGCAACCCGAGGTGGTGTCGACAGGGCAAGCGATTCCCAGCCCAGCAGGCACTTCTCAAGTAATAGACAACCGCCATTGTAGGCTCATCCGATGAGCGGGGGAAGCGAGGGATTGACATGGGTCTTGGCTGAGCGCCTGAGGAAGACTGGTCAATAGCTCTGGCCAGTCGCAATGACGGAAATGGAGATGAAGCCCTGCAGGCTGCCGATATACCCCAGTCGACCCCCCCCCCCCAGTTGCAGTCCAACGCATCCCAGCAAATCCCACGTCTTCAGCCCAGGGCTGGCCCCGTTGGTTGCTGTGGGGAGAAGATGACGATGGGGGGTTACTGGGTCATCGCCTTTTTTTTTTTTTTTTGGGCTCTCTCCTTCCGAATTTTCTTTTGCGGTGGTTCGGAACCTTTCGTTGTTCGTTGCTGTTCCATTAATGGAGATGCCCGTTTGCATTTGTGGGGGATGCGGAGGGTCTTGGAAGCACATGGTGAATATCCTGCAGCTCTACATAGTATGTGCCATGCTCAGCTATGCAAATTTATGATACCTGCGCCGTGCACTGTTCAAGCAAGATTGGCAACGTCGACTTGGGCCGAATAATTCGGCAGAACCGGTTTTTAGAGGCTCGGGCTCTCCCGGCGGTAGGCCGGAGTGGTTACAAAAACCTCAAGTGCGTCAAAGTGCTAACAACGGAAACTACTCCGCCGGGCTAAAGACGACCAGCACCTCTATACGTCATAATATTATTGAGATCTCTGCGACCATGGCCGAGTACGGCCAAGTAAGGCCAAGTAAGGCCATGGCGAGGCCGCGTCGAGGTCATTTGAGGAATGAAGTTGGTTCCTGAGTCTGCAAGGCTTGGAATGCACAACGCGCATTAAGGACAAAAAGCGTTGTAGCTAAGCACTCATGTCCAAAACAGATTGAACAATTGTACTTTGTTATCCCATTGGTGACATGCTGGTGCCAGCGAGATATGCAATGAACAACCGCAGTGGGTTTGGTAAGCAAGCCCAACATGACTCTTGATAGCCAACACGCCATTTTGTGCCAGACGTGTCTCAAGACCCTCCTCGCAGACGACGTCCCGGCAACCGAGGAATGCACCGGGCTTGCAGCCTGGGCCCTGAAGTCTCACATATCTTTATTTTTTTCTTTCTCACTGCTGCCCCTTGAGTTGTCGTCCGTTCGCAGTCGTGCACTGGGCGTGTACCGTATCCCGAGGAGTCACGGATACCTACGGAGGCGCTGTAGCGTGAAAGGGCCTGCAAGACTGAGAAGGGGAGCTTGGTGTACCATATGGTCTAAACCCCCGCTGGCGCCGAGCTGAAGGGATGACGAGACAGGCAAGATTAGGGAGATCATGGACTGGGAACCCTGTCCGAAGCAACCAGGCGTTTCCGTTTCTGCGCCTTGAGGTAGCCTTGCCAACCCTGTGTTGAAGACGAAGTTGATGAATAGGGTGGTTCTGGTCAGGGGTCCTGAGGAATAAAGGTGGAAACGGCACGATTAAGGTGCAGAGGGCGGGTGACCAAATAGGCAAGGCGGCGTGCGGCGCAATAGTCTGGTCCAGGGCATTCTGGCCTGTGGTAGGCTGACGAGCGGGTTGGCTAAGCAAGGAGTCAGTAGCAAGATGAGCTGGCAGACATTGACAGACAAGAGACAAGACAGCAGCTGTGTGTTTGTGTAGTAGGTGCTAATGTCGCCGCCTGCGAGTGTAAGTCAAGTCCTGACAGAGCAATGACAGGGGGTAAGCTTGTAGGGCGATACGCCAACTCACCGCTCATTTCCAGGCGCCGTTCGGAGGGGGAAAACGTCGTAGGCACTCGGCTGATCGCAGCGTGATAGCTATCTAAGGCCAGATGGGAAAGGTGAGGCGGATGTTGGACAGCGCCGAGAAATGATGTAAGTTTCTCAGCTAGGCCCGGTTTTACCAAGGCTACGTCGCTAGTGTCGATGGAAGGCATTTGAACTGACGACCAGTTGACCTCTACTATGTTTCCTCCGGCTGTGGGCCTCAACTGGCGTCTGACTTGACTCTGATCGGATATGGACGGCGCTTAGCTTCTCGGATTGCCTAGCGCCATCCCATCAGCCACCACCGCGATGGCGTTCATATTCCATCGTTGGCGACAGAGACAAGACCCTGGTGCTAGCCGGTCAACCGTGTGACCTGGGGGAGGGGCAGCCCAAGTGAGCGAGAGAGCCGTTGCGGGCAGGAGGAATAATCAGAGGCGTAAGGGGAAAAAAAAAAAAGGGTCGGGCGGGCGATGCACTAGATGGCTTGTGATAGATGCATGTTACCGACTCATGTCGTTCCTTGCATGTCTCCATCCAAGTGCCGCAGTACGGGTTGTTCGGTCGTCGTCTTTTTGAGGTATGGAGATGCCCTCTTGGGCCTGGTATCCGTATGTCGCACCAGTAAGCCCAACTTCAAAACTGCTGGCTGGACCCGGCATACGAGAGAGAAGAGATAGGTAGAAGGAGGGTATGACGGTGAACAAAGTCGATGCAATATCCATAAAAATTGAAGCCAACCCGATACGCAGGTGCGGCAGAGGTAGATTCTTTGTCTGATTCAGAAATGTGAAGCTGCTGATCAAAAAAACCAAGGGTGCATAGCACAAAGCACACAAAGCATGGTTCCTGATTTGCATCTGATATGAAAGAAATATCCATAGGCACAATGCAAATGTGCGGCAACGGATATCGAATACGCATTCAGCAAGAGCTGCTGGGTACCTGTCCCCGCTACGTACACTATGGTTTTTTTTTTCTCTTTCCTTTTTCTTCTCTTTAAAATTTTACGTCCGTTCTCCCTGCAGAAGGAGGAGCATCACACGCCTCCCCCAGTAACTTCCTCGTCCCTAGCTCTAGACAACGAAACCCCTTACACTGAGCAACCCGTCTTTTCCCACTGAGCAACAGAGCAATGGCGGGGGCCGATAAAACAATAAAATCAAAAAAGTTTACATAGTACAGGCATTCTGGGCCGCATTGAGGTCCGGGTACGGACAGAAGTTCGGCACCGCTCCACTCCCCGCCCGCTTCTTCGGTGCATCATTCGACACTGTAGAACTGTAGGGGGCGAGCTGCCACAGCGACCGTTCGGCGCTCTAGCGACCACCGACCACAGACCATGGGCTCACAGACCACTGCGGAATCAGCCCCCAAGTACTCCGTCTCCGTACATCCCCATCTAACGCCAGACAGGAACATGACCGGTCGGGTGGGTGACATGAGGGTCGATGGACCAAGGAGATTTTTTTCTTCACTCACTATGGATTCGAAACCAACCGGAACGAACGAACGGGACGCAAGTGACGGGATACGGCGCAGGACGTGCACGCTGGGTCTCTAACTAGTGGACTGGAGTAATAGTGAAGTCTTTGGTGGGACATACTACGGATACTTTGACGAATGTTCTATTCCCCTCCATCAGGGTGTGTCTTTTTGAGAAATCTTTAGAGGGATGATGTCCCCTGACGCCTCATCCGGTAGCATCAGCGCTACACCAATCTGCCTACACCGGCCGGCGGGGGTGGGAAATGGAGGAGTAAAAAGCCGCTGTAATTCAAAATCGTTGCGGCAACCGCCTGTAAGGGGAAGGGAAAGTTTTTCCAAGGGGGGAATAGGTGTCAACGTCCGCCCCTGTAACTCCAGCGATGGTACCTGAGGGACGTATCCCAGGGGCCATCAGCGGCCCAATTACAGCATCGGTGTCGTAAGACACGGACGGATCCAGAGGGCAGGGCAGGGCAGGGCACATGTGGATGTGGTTCATGTCGGCAATACAGTGGGTGTGTGGTGGTGACTGACCAGGAAGGAAGGGGAAAAAAAAAAAGTTCCTGCTTTAGGGGCGATTACTCGCCATGTTCCTTGTGCCTTGTGCCTGTCTTGTGCTGTGCTTTGCATAGGGAATCGGATCCGAGGGCGATGCACACGCAGCGCATTGGCGGGGGACGACTTGAGATTTGTGCGATTGGCACGATTTTTGCTCCAGTTGCTGCACAGCACAGCATTTCTCGGAGATGCAGCTGAGGCAAGATAAGGTAAAAGGTACGTACTTTTGCAACACGTGCTCATTGCACGTTTGGACCTGCCATAGAATACATCTGTGTGCGTGTGTGTGTGTAAATATGTAGAAGGAAGCACCGTCCATCCTGTTGTTGTTTTGTTATTATTGTTGTTATTATTATCATAATTATTATTGCACCTTACGAGGAAGAACAAGAGAAGGAAAAAGAAGCTGTGGAAACAATAGCAAACAACAGTAGAACAAATACATGTCGAGATGCTGCCAGGCGTTCTACCAGCCAGCTGGTTTAGAAGGGACAGGCAGGAATAAGGTCGGATGCAGGCCAGGTAGGCCCTGTGCAAAAAGAGAAACATACATGCTTTAGTGCAGAACAGCACACAAATACAGGGCTGTCGTACTTTCCCTTCCTTGACCCAGAGTTGTTTGGTACGTATCGAAGACCTATCCAAGGAAGGCATGCAAGAAACATGGACCGCGCTAAGGCCAGACCTACCTTATGCGCAGGTGCATCCCTGGTTACACTCGCACTTGCACTCGCACTTGCACTTGCATTTGCATCTGCAGGTGCTTGGTGCATATTGTCGCCGTCCCGTATCTTTGCACAGCGTCAGACCCAAGAAGGGCAAGCAGGAAGCAGCCATACTTGGCAACCACCCGTAGACAGGGCAGCTCATGGGTAATATGGCCAGGGCTCCTCCATCCTGCATCAACCTCCTTGTCGCTCTCGACCACCCAGAGCCTGCAGCAGCCCTGCAAGGACCGCAAGAAGGACTCCGTAGCTGCAGCAGCAACCAAATCTCCTGGACAACGTCCCCTCTTTCCCCCCCTCCTTCGCAGTCGCCGACTCGACGTAAGAAGATCCTAGGACCAGGCGACGACGGTTTGTGTAAGAGAGTGAGAGAGATATGAGAGACAGAACACAGAGAGAGGCCCGTCCCCGTATCCCACACCCACATGCACCCGTACAGCCGGTACATTTTGCATGTATCTTTCTCCCCCTTGAAGCGCCCACCCACTTGGGGGCTACCTTATCCGCAGTTAACACACTACTACGTAAGGTCTCCGTACTATACGTAGTTTCTGGGCTGGACAATTCAAGACAGAGTCAATCAGAGGCGTGTGTGTTTCCTTGGACGCCTCACGCCCCCCCGTTTGGCGCTTCCCTGTTCTGGTGCTAACGACACGGTTGAGGAGCAATGGGATCTGGTTGATGTGCCGCCATTTACATTTTGGCTGTGGGTTCCAGGTCTCTACCTCCCTATGTGTCTGAATTGAATTGTCTCTTTCCGCCTTGTGCTATGTGTGCTATGCTTTATCCTTCCTCCACCCGTACTTTTGTCGTACGTACTATTACCTTAGCTACTAGTCCATCACCTAGCAGTTGTCCTCGTCCACGCATCCCAGCCAGGCACTAGAGACAATTGACAGTGACATCCCCGTCCCAGCAAGTCTGAATCCACCCCATCGACGTTCCCTTCCTGGACCTGGTTCATTGTTCCCATCCACACACCCTCCTCGTCCCTTCTTGTATGCCACCACCTGGGACACCATGTACCAAGCAGGCACTGTCTACTGCTACTACGTCTGATGTGGTTACCATCTAACCTGGTCCTCCATGTTTCTGCTTCCCGTCCCAGTCGTCGCTCACCATCATTCAAAAACCTCTAGTCTCCTCTTCCTTCCAACCACTTCCCTCCCTCTCTTTCTCTCTTACCCCCTCATCCCCGACCAAACCACCCAACGGTCCGAAGGTACGGTAGGTTTTTTCTTGAAGGATATTACGGTTGTTGTCCTTTCTCGTGTTTGGTCCAAGATTCCAGGTCCAGGTCCATCCATATCTCTCTCCAAGGTCCAGCCATATTGTACCGCAAGAAAAACCACCATCGACGCCAGTACCTCCTCCACCATACCAATCAATCAATACCAATCTCAAATCCCAGTACCTGCTCTTATTTTTGTGTGTTGGCAAGTCCACCACCACACCTTCGTTTTTTTAGTGTGACTTTCCCATCGGGCACGGGGAAGAAAGATCCAGTAAAAAAGAAAAAGAAAAAAAAAAAGAGAGCGAGAGTAAATCGACTCTAGCTGCAAGGCTTAGCTGCGCTCTGCTCTTCTCCGTCGGCTTTTTTTTCCCCCCAGTGTTGTACTCTCGGATCTCCTCCAGTTTCTTCCCTTTCCCCTCTGCTCGGCCACCGAAGCGTAGCTCGAGCGAGACTAAAGGTAGAGAGAGGTAGTAGCACTCCGAACCGCAACAAACGAACACCGACTCTGCACTGTTGCACCGCACCGCCCGCACCGCACTGCACCGCACCCGCATTGCGCCTGCTCCTGCTGCAGCTCCGGAAGGACCGATCGTCTTTTTATCCTGCTCGCCTCAGACCTTCCATGCAACATAAGCGGCATCGCTCCCGTCTCGACCAATTCACCTACCCTTCTACCTACGAAGGGTACCGTGGAACGGCTTACCTCGCCTCTCTTCGCCCTCCGCCAGAGACGACGACTTCGACGACGAGAGAGATAGTCTTGGTGAAGCAGATCAGAAAGAAAAACGCAGATTAGAAGGAAGGACGAGCCTAATTCACTCGCAATCATTTCGTCTCGGCCTCCGATGTTGCTTGCAACGATCCAATAATCACAGGCCCCTCCTCACAACTCCCGATACAGTGATCGCACTGCCCGAACCACCCCACTGCGATCCCACATCTCGCCAAGCAAACTCAGTCCCCCATCGACTCGATATCGGTCTCACAGTTCTCGTGATACTCGACCAACCCCCCCTCATTGACGTCGTTTTTCCCCCAATTGAGCGGCAAGGAATCAGAAGGAAAGAATCATTAGGAAAAGTCGCAGCATTCGTTTACTCGCGGCCTACTTGACGATCAGCTCTCATTTTACACCACCCGTCACGACATATTGAGTATCGTCTTTGACGCAAGCACTCTCTACCGTGGGAAAAGAAAATTACGACCAACACCAGAATCATAACCCGTCCGCATTAATACTCTCGCTACCGTAGTCGCTGGCCACGGTTACGAGATCGAACATCCCAACGCCCGCAGTTATGGAGACCTCACCTTTGGCGGCTATGCACCGCCCTATGGCTGTTCCTTCTTTTGGAAACAAGGATCTCTTCCGCCCTCGCCCACATTACACCGGGGGTGCCAGCCTACGCGAACAGCTTCATCGGTCCAATGACTACTTCAACGTCAGCGGATCTTCTCCTGCTGCTAGCTTGGCTGCCGACCTCTCACAGAACTTTCGTCTGGATACTGAAGCAAGGTGGGAATTGAGAACCTCTTAACACGGTCCATGCTCTATGGTCCGATTGGCTGACTTGATTCTCTACAGTCCCAAGTTCCCGACTCCTCGTCGTGCTCTGTTCACGTCCAACATGATGGGTGACGCTGAGTCTCGCGGTTAGCATTGGTCTTGGCAACCTGTATTTTGAGGACGGCGACACTGATGCATCAATTTAGATTACATCTTGACTACGCCTCCGTTGCCCGATTCTTCGCCTGCTCCTCTCAATGAGATGATGGACGTCTCGCCGCTTCCCCACAAGCTGCCGTTCATGACCCAGATTGAGATAACGTCACCGACGCCAGGATCGACTCCTACTGGAGAAGACGACGAAATGATGTTAGACTCGCCAGCCCCCATTCCTCGGCAGGCATCGTTGGAGCCACCCAAGCCACTGGGAGCTGAGTAAGTTTGATTGCCACATTCCTCCTAGCTCAAGGGGTCGCGTCTAACTCAGGGGTAGACGAAGAAAGCCCGGTCTGCGCCGTCCGTCCTTGACTCGAATGAAAGGCTATTCCACTAGCGGCGTTCCCGGTCGATCCAACACAGACAACCAACTCCCCACTTTCCGATTTGGTGAGAATCGATTGACACATATGAGCAGTGCTCTGTCCCTGGGAGAATGCTTTGAGACCACATCGCCACCTCAGGAACGACGACCTCACACCGCCAACAGCCCTACTCCCGCCGTCCCTGGTGCTATTCGTCCTCGCCCCCAGTTCTCCAGCCTCTCTGGCAACCGCAGCAGTCCCTTTGGCAGCCAGCACGGCCGCCGACCTTCAAACCCATTCATGCGTCCCCGCAAGCAGTTTCGCCGCTCTCTGAGCATGTTTGAGCACCCCGGTGATGTGAAGGCCAAATCGGAGGGCGGTGACTCGTCTCCCACGACCCCCGAGTCCCGCCACAGCATGGATGCCGATGAGATCCAGGAGCCCATCCTCCCGCATTTCCTGGCTGATGACCCTACCGATACCATCCCAAGGATTACGAAGCAGACCATGGTTGATGTCTTGGACGGAAAGTACAGCGAGAAGTTTGACCAGAAGATGGTCATTGACTGCCGATTCGAGTATGAGTATGAGGGCGGCCACATCGATGGAGCTGTCAACTACAACAGCAAGGATCTTCTTGCCTCCCAACTATTCCAACATCCCATGCAAGGACGAACCCTTCTCATCTTTCACTGCGAGTACTCGGCTCATCGCGCCCCGATGATGGCTCGCCACGTCCGCTCTGAGGACAGAACCGCCAATGCCGAGCACTACCCCCACCTTACCTACCCTGACGTGTATATTCTAGAAGGAGGATACAGCGGCTTCTTTGCCGAGCACCGCTGCCGGTGCTATCCCCAAAACTACGTGGAAATGTCTGATGAAGCCCACCAACGCACCTGTGAACGGGAACTGGGCCGCCTCAAGAACCCTCGCAAGGGCTTCGGCAGAGCTCAAACGTTTGCTTTTGGCGAGCGCGAGTCCTGCGTGGACCAATCACCCACTGCGCCCCCAAGACCCAACGGCCTCAGGCCCAGCATCAGCTTCCGACAAGATCCCACTACGATGATTGGCAACTCTCCAATCCTCGGTGAACGCTGCCATGCAAGACGCATGGCTTCGTACTAGCATTTATTTTATTTGCACAAACAACTCTCCCCACTGTCTGCTGCACACTGGAGGGAGCAACTTCCTCGTTCGGAGGAATGGGGGTCTCCCAAGAGATCCTGAAGTTGCCTGCCGCTATACCACTCACCACACACGTATAGTCTCGTCGACTACTTCTCTGCAACCTTTAATAGGGCGAACCACAGCAGCCTGATTGTCGATTTTACGCGCCTCTTCTCTGCACATGTTACCCTATTCGATTCGACTGCCTACATTCCACCTTACGATTCCGGACCCCAAAAGCAGCTTAACGCTCACGGCCGCGATGAATTTACTATCATGCTAATAGAACTCGTTATGAGCTTTGTTCTACAACACCTGAACATACAGCACAACAACCGGCATTAGACGCATTTGCATATTGTCACCACACCGCCACATTATGGTTGTTCGGAGTCCATCTTGGATCTGGCATCTCGCGGTGGCTCCTTTCGGCATTTACAGCATTGTCCTTGTTTTTTCCTTTGTCAGAGTTTCTTGTGCCATTCGACACTACATGGTCGGATGGCGTCCACCGATGGTTTGGTCTCGGCACACACTACACTGTGCACCCTTCTCGCAACGGTCGTGTGTCTCCGCAGCTTTCGGTCTTGGGAGCATTTCATTATGTCATCTCGGGCCGTTTCTGTCTGTCTCCCAACTATATCCGGGAGTATACCAGGCCATCCTCGGTTGGACTCTTATTCTTGTTTTCTGAAGATTTCCTTTGTCCGGTCACTTGACCACTTCACCTGATACCAAAACTTTCTATCCAAACGCCGGATACCCGACATCCTTGTCATCGGATGACACCACAACACTCACAGACCTCGACTCACCAATTCCCTTTACATTTTTATTTTTCAAAACAACGCCACACGGACCACCAAAAAAGGACCGGGGCTTGTTGGAGGATTTCCACCTCCTGTGTATATTGTAGGAGTAGCTGGCACAGAACAGCACAGCAAAAAGTGGAAAAGCTATGGTGGTGGAAAAGCAGTTGCTCGGAAAGCCTTGTAATATTGGCAAAATATCTGGGGGGAGCACTGCAAGCTTAGAAGCTGCGTCGTGCGATTACAGCGTGGGTGAATCCATGCTTTCTCTGTACAGTACTGGCATCGAAAAGAAATTGCCAAAACACATGATCCATGGTAGGATCATTCTGGGCTAGCTCATACTCAATTGACTGAAAATACACACAAAACAAACACGCACATACAATGAGGGGACACGTGCTAGGCGGCTCAAGCTACACACGCGCGCGCGCGCGCAAAACCGCGTTTGTCCGAGCCTCCTTCGTAGTCGGTGAGGTTCGAGATGTCTGTGCAGCCCGGATGAGGTCTTGGCTTCGACCCCGTAGCACGTTTGTATTCTTTGGCCGACCACGTTTTGAAACATCCCCACGGGCAAACAAGAGCGTGTATTCTAGGTTCGTATAGATCGTCTGATCCTTGTTCCCTGCGGGTGCTAGAGGTATCACGACTCACGTCATGGGCGCTTGTTGTGTTTGAGCTCTTTTACTACGTGTAAACCTGGGGGATCCATGACTTCCTTTTTTCCTTCCCGGCCCGTTCGACGGTGCCTCTAAACGACACACAGACTCCAAGCCCTCCCTCTTCTTCGGGGCTAAATCGTCCGCACTAGGATCTCACCAGCCTTTTCCGAAAACACCGGCTTCTTGTTATTTTGGAATAAAATGCCAACCCACAGATGTTTTTTTTCTTTCTTGTTTTTTTTTTTTTTCTTTTATCCGCTTCTTCTCACGGTCTGTCTCCAACGGTCATCCGGGACCAACTCGTTCTACCGAACGTTCTAGCGCATGGTGGCTGTGGGTTTTCTCGTCGCCCCGTCTGTTCTCTTGGCTCATCGCGTCAACTCTCTCAACGCCGATGACGATAGGTCCCGGTGGAGTTTTGGAGGGGATCGGAGCCGAGGCAGCCACGGTCACATTCGATACGAGTCTGATCCCCTTCCATCAAAGAGAAGTACGGTTTTATTGTTGTCCCCCTACGGTCTCCGGTCTCCGGTCTCCAGTCTCCCCCCCCCCCCCCCCCCCCCGGTTTGTTATTCAGCCAAGTGGCGCGCCTTCCCTCGTGGGACGATTTCTTTATTCGGTTGAGGAAAATTGTATTATTCCCCCTCCCCCTCCGATCCTTTCTTTTCGGAGGTTGAACGGTGGGTGCCACGTGCTGTGCTGTTGGTGCGTGACTTTTGTTAAACGTGGGGGGAAACAGAACCACGGTTCATCCGGTTCTGAACACTATTTTCGGATGAAAGCCTTTGTTGTTGTTAGGTGACCCTCGGTCATGATATCCTCGTGAGGGGATCGTTCTTGACTCGGGTTACCCCAAGTTCCGCCACGGTCTTGAGGTTTTCCATCAAATCCTTGTTATTCGAGTGTTCCCTGATTAGATTCCCTGCATTGTAGATCGTCTGCAGGAAGACATCTCCTCTCCCACGGTGTATCATTTACCATTACTACACGATTACCCACTACGACTGTTGCAATACCTATCCTGGTGTAACTCTATACCTGCGCACTTATATCTCCATCCCCCTTGACTCTCTCAATATATCCAACACAGCATGTTGAAAGAGATGGAGTCTCCCCGACTAGACTCGAGCGAGTATTACAAGCGCGTCTAACGTTTCACTTATCCCATCAAACACGAATTGGGAAAGACGTGCCGAAGTAGACTAGGAAAGAAAAGCAAAGACGTCCATCTTTTTTTTTTTCCCTCGTTTCTGTCGTTGTCAAAATGGTAGCAGCATTTACGCCACGCGCCCCCTCTACGAGTCTGGAACAAAGGGAGCACATGCCATAATCCCCTCTAGTCTGGTCTCAGTTGAGAGTTGTCGTTTCTTTTGAGGCGTGTGGGGTTTTGACTGGGGTGGTTTTTTTTTTTTTTTTTGAACGCAAGGGAGAGGCGATTTATGATTTTTTTTATGTGTGCAAATGCGTTATGCCACACAAGTCCTTATGCCGTGGACTAAAATAAAGTTTTGGTCCGTTTGAACATAGCGTTTGTGCAGAGAGGCTTGAGAAGGCAAGATCTAGAGTGTAACTCAGATATGAAGGTCTCAGCTGCCAACATTGCGCGGATGAGGCGGATGTGAGTTGCGGATGCGGTTGGAGGAATGCTAAGAGAGGGGATATTAGGGGTCCAATGACGCCGAGTAGGGGTCCCTGAGGCACGAGACAGATGCAAACCAAAAGCTAGAGAGAGAGAGGGAAAAAAAAAGGGCTTGACAAAGTGAGGTAAGGGGCGGTTTCTTGTCCGACTGCGAGAGACCTGAAATGTCATTGAGGGCGAGACATGCGATGGAGCTCATGCCTTGGCCGGTATGCTCATTGAGGCCAGATGGCGCCCCCTCCGTTTCTTACGACCGTGACGTTGCCGGGTATCGCGGAATACACTGCCCGGCCTGCTCCGCCCTAGGCGGTTGCCAGGTTATGGGATGACTTTTTTTTGTCTGACAATTGCGACGGTCTTAAACCGTGAGTGAGTTTAGGTGGTTCTTGATCGACGTCGACATTCCCCTCCGCGAGACTGTCACAAGAGTTTACGACAAGACAGGCTTGTGCTCCGGAACTTTTACGAAAACGTACTTTTGATGTCTATCTGCGCGTACATCTGACGATGTGCCCATGCCCGTTGACATGTGGGAGGGAACCGAGAAATTTCAGGTGCAATCCTGTTGTCGGCCCATCCCGTCGTATAGCATGCAGATTGCAGATAACTTGGGTATTCCAAACGCCGCCCATGCCCAGTGCCATGCAGTAAGTCAGAAAAATGCAACTGATGCTCCCTAATATCCAGAGTTGCAAGAAATCACCTTCGCGCGAATATTGTCTCAAATGCCCCCCTATCCCTGGAGCGTGAAATCCCACTCTTTGAACGCATCGCGGAAGGCTTCCACGTCCTTGACCTCCTCATCTCGCGCCTGGACGCAGTCCTGCCAGACGAAACGGTTCTCAAGCTGGAGAAGCTTCGCAACCACCTTACGTGGATACTGCAGGTCGAAGCGCATGTTGGGATCCAGCTTCATGACGAGACTGGTGCCCTTAATCCTGTCCTCGCCATTGTCTGCCCAGATCCAAACCCGGAAGTAGTCGCCAATGGTGCCCTGCTCCTCGTAGGACAGCTCACGGCTTTCGAATTCGGGGTATTTGAGGTTCTCGGCCTCGACTTTGAAACCAGCCTCAACAATGTTCTTGTAGATCGTATCGGCAGGGATCGGATGGAATTGCCAATGGGCATGAATATTGCGTTGGCGACTAATCTCCCAGGTGATGGCGCCCAGCTTGTGGCTCGATTTGGCAGATACCATTGCCTGGAGGCTCTCGCGAAAACGAGTCATTTCCTTGTGGGTTCGCTCTGCATCCTCGGGCAAGTAGCTTTCAACACCAGAGTGATAGATGGTCGGCGTGTGTGCGTGGGGAGTAATGATGACATGCCCAGGGAAGTTGAGACCCTGGGCTTTAAAGGTCTCCGAGGTGGCGAGAGGGCCCTTGGCAGTAGCAAGATAGCTGTCGTCGCCGACGGTGCAGACCATGTGGGTGTCCAGGTTGGGGTTTGAGAGGCAGAAGAAGCAGCGGTCCGGGCCAGGAGGAGGCGACTGTCGACGGCGCTTATTCCCACGGCGGTTTTGGCGGCTATTGTCATCTCCGTTCCCGAACCGGCTGTAAGAGCCCTCATCTTGCACACGCCTCTTGGGCTTTCTAGAGTTGAACGGAGTAAAAGTCGCACCTGCAGGGCGCTCGACTAAGGCGTCGTGGAGCTGCAGAGTGAACGCGTACAGAGCCTTAGCCTTGGATGCGTTGCCATAAGGGGCCATTGAAATGAAGCGGGTAATCGCGAGGTTATCGGAGCCTTCCTCGGAGGGATGGATAAACGGCTCGCGCTCGTAGAAGAACTCGGCAGGAGACGAAGAGAGATGGTAGCGGGGCTTGAGGGTTGCACATAACTCGGCAACTTCCTCTGTACTTGCGATGGTGGCTTGGTTCTCAGGGGAAAGGGCAACCTTGGAATTTGTCCAAACACCGGCAGGCCAGACCGTCGTCAGCAAGATATCGGTCTTGTTCGCTCCCTTTAGCGACTTTGCGTCGTCTGCAGTATGGAACGGAAGGTGCTGTTCTTTTGACTGCCCCCCAACGATGCTTGTGTCGAGTTGGCCCCCAAGCGCGACGATCCTGACGCCCTCCGACGTCTTGGTAATGCTGCGTTTGCCAAGAAAATGAAGGTTCTCGCAGATCTCCTCGTCGGCCTCGATCTTTGCGATAATCTGCGGAGGAAGTGGCTTGTTACCGACGGTAAAGTAAGTAGGCAAGGGCACCTTGACCTCGCCGTTTATCAAAGCCTCTGCCGAGGAATCATCCTCTGCGCCAAAGAGGTTGCCGGTCACGATCGCAAAGCTAAAGGCGTTTTTCGCGTGAAGAGTCGCGACCTTTGAAAAGGCAGACTCTAGGCCTCCATTGAGGCTTCCCAGCACAATCCTGTACCGCATTAGTATTCATGATTTAACGGGAGTTATCATTAATCCATAGAAAGACTTACACCTTTGGTGCAGCCATTGCGCCTTGCTGATTCGATTCGTAGAGGTTACAAGGTGGTTGTTGATGGAAGCTCAAGCTGGGAAAGATGCGACTGGAGGATGCGCAATGAAGTAATGTGGATCTTTATCTATCAGCTATTTGATTGGTCACGGCCCACTTTTGATAGACTTATCTTCTTATCGCAATGGGCCGAGCTTCAGCCGACAGAAAAAAGTCCAAATTTTTTGGGCAGCTCAAAGAGTTGGCGGGGAACTTTTTGTCGCGATCAAGCAGTGAAGCTGGGAGGCGATCACGACGGGTTTCTGCGCATTCTGCCTGTAAGCTCGCCCAAAATGCCTTCCACTTCATCTGGACGTATCACAAAGACCCGAAAGGGCAAGTACTCGACTCCTCATCAAAAGAATCACCGATGGGAGTCCTTTGCGACTAAGGTTTCTAAACTGCACTCGCTCGATCCCCTACGAAAAGTCCGACGACACGATCTCGAAGCCGAAGACCTCGAAGCCACGACATCATACTTCCGAAATGGCCTGCAAAAATGGGGAGAACTCAACATCGCCAAGGGTTTCATCAATTTCAAGAGAGAGGTCTTGCCGTTGAGCGAGAGTCTGCCTCAGATTCTGCATTTCGAAGAGAAGATCTTCGAATTGCTAGAGACCTCAATTGCGAAACAGGAACACGAGTCGTTGGAGCCCTTGTTGGACCTACTCACAGCATTTGCGCATGACATCGGTACAAGGTTTGAAAAATACTATTCCAAGTCTCTGGATCTCATTATCGCCATTGCTGCCAAGCCACAGGGCGCGGATGTCATTGAATGGACATTCGCCGCTCTGGCGTTCCTTTTCAAATACCTTTCCAGACTTTTGGTGCCAGATCTGCGACCGACGTATGATGTGATGATACCACTGCTAGGAAAGGCGCGGCATCCTCCTCACATTGCCCGATTTGCCGCCGAGGCGTTAAGTTTCCTTATTAAGAAGGCAGCGGCCCCAGCGAACCGAGAGAATTCACTCGTCGCAATCGTCAAACACGCCAGAGACGACCTTCGCAGTACGGTTGGAGATCGCCAGTTTCAACTATACCAAGATGGTCTCATGACCATGTTCGCCGAGGCGATCAAGGGCCCAGGACAAACGATCCATTCAACCGGACCAGCCATCTTCACATCGCTCATGAGGGCGATTCCCGAGACGGAGGCAGACCTCACGCCAACTGCAACCTGGACCGACCTTGTTTGTGGCGTGTTGACTAGCATAATCCACCACTCTAACGATAAGGACCTTGCGCCGGTTCTCGACGCGATCCAAGATCATATCCAAACAGCGTTGAGCGAGGCGAAGTCCAGCAAAACATGGAAGTTTGTACCGTTGGTCAGGATTCTCGGTACAGCCGCAGGTGTTCGAAGCGGCTCCCGAATCAGCAACTGGCCTGTTCTTGTTGAGAGCCTGACCGCAATGCTGGACGTAATGGCACAAAACTCCCCGGAAGTGACAGAAGATAAAATGAGTCTTGTCTGGCAGCATATTATTGTCAATGCCGCCATCGTATGGCATCAAGCGCCAATCGACGCCTTAATCCCCTGCATCAAGGACTTTATGGCTGCTCTTCAGAAGGATCGGCTTATGAGATGGTATATTCCATTCTGCGCCTACTTCTCTGACCTTAATGCCCAGCGATTTCAAAGTCTGTTTCAAACATACTTTCAAAGGTAGGCCGCTGCGTCTTCTACCGAAACCTGCCAGTGCTGACAGTGACCAGATTTATCGTTAGCCATTGGTCTGACGGTCGAAACGAGGATATGCTGTGTGTACTCCTGCCACGTATGGTCAAGTCAGGCAGCCTCCCATCCCCTGGAGGCAAGGAAACCTGCAACCTCCCACGTAGCTGGCAGGACCAGATCGTGTCAAAGTTTGAACGCCTCGAAGCGTCGCCTTTTCCCGAACGCGGAGCGTACGACAAGGATCCTCAGACATGGCGAGACAGATGCTTGCCGAAATACTCGGCTCTTCTTGATCTTCTCTACTCTACCACAGTCCACCCGTCAGCCAACGCTAAAATTGCAGAGCTTCTGCTCAGGAAGCTGAGACTTGCACTCAAGCCGTCCTCCACGCTAGCGTCCGATGAGGTGCATTTCAGCATCAGCCAGGGCTTCCATGCTTATCTGCGTATGAGCAAGGCAGCAGGCCCTGTAGACTCTGCCCTGAACCCTCTTCTCCGAGCTGCCTTGCCGCGATTTAGTCGTTCAGTTGGCTTCCTTCAGGCTTATCTTGAATACACTGAGATGACCAAGACCCAGCCTTCGTCTGCTGACCGCCACAGCAGCGATAGCAGCGAGGGCTCAGGAGACGAAGACCCGGTTGTCGAGGCACTTATTGAGAACCTTTCAGCCCCATCTCATGAGCTTCGCCTTGCGTCTTTGAAGATTCTTCAGCAACTAGAGTCTACCCCGGATGAGCACAGCTGTCTTACTCTGATGCTGGACATTGAACAGACCCCGATGGAGCTTTCAAGCTTGAGAAATGTTGCGATGCATCTCCGCAAGCTCGGGCAAAACTATTCCTTGCTGGGCGAGAACTCATGGCTTGCTAAGGCCATTCCATCCTTTATGTTTGGCATGTTGACGGTCAAACTTTCACCGCTATGGGACGACACAATTACTGCCTTGAAGTTGGTTGGAGAATCTAAGAATGGCGAAGAGACTATTTCTGCTATTGCCTTCAACTGGTTGGAGACTCCATCGCCTCGATGGTCTGGCCCTAATAGCCAGCCGTCTCTTCAGGGTCGGGAGGGTATAACCGACTTTGACTGCCTGCATTTGCGGAAACTCTGGAACATGGCAAACAAGATAGAGCAGGTGGTGGACAATGCTACCGACCTAATGCTCCAGTCGTTCGATGAGCAGCAGCAAACGGTCGAGGCCAGCACAACCAACGCTCGCGCCCAAGCACTGAAGGTCTTTACCGCGATGCCACATTTCGCGGAGAAGAGGTCTCGCAAGCTAGTGCCCTTTTTCCTGCCTTGGGCCATCGACGAGGATGACGCGTCCGATAGCCAGGATGACGAAGAGGATCAACCCAAGGGAGAAGACTGGTCACTTCAGGACCGCAAGGCACTTGTTGGTGTCTTTGCTCTGTTTATTAACCCGAAGGTGCTGTACCAGCACGAAAGAGTATACCGAGCTCTTCTCCATCTGATGGAGAACGGTGACATCGAGGTGCAAAAGCTTGCATTGAAGGCCATTCTCGCTTGGAAGCAGGAGGGTGTTCGCCCCTATCAAGAAAACTTGGAGTATCTCCTCGACGAAGCTAGATTCAAGAACGAAGTGACTGTGTTCTTGCAAAGCGACGAGGCTATTCAGCCCGAGCATCGGGCGGAGCTGATGCCCGTTCTACTCAGACTCTTGTACGGACGAACCATTTCCAAGAAGGGTGTTGCAAGCGGTCGGCATGGCTTACAAGCTACTCGTCTGACTGTCTTGAGAAACTTAAGCGTGGAAGATATGGGAAGCTTTTTGGATATCGCGATTGGCGGCTTGAAAGGGGCTCGTGTCATTGATGAGTACGGATTCCGTGCCAATCTCTTCGACCGCGAAATCCTCCCTCCTCGCAAGCAGGTTGGTTTCATGAACATGATGCTGCCTTTGATCAACGAGCTCGGCGCTCATGTTGGACCTTACGTCGAGAGACTTCTGCATCCTGTTCTCTATTGCCTGATCTATGCATGCCGTCAGTTAAGGGAAACTGCGGCTGAATTAGACGAAGAGGCCGAAGAAACCAACGAAGCTTCCCAGGAATCTCTTTTCAAGGCCATTAGAACCACGGGCTTGAAGTGTCTTATCTCCCTCTTTCGAAATGCCCAGGACTTCAACTGGTCACCATATTCCGAGCCGATTGTCAACGAGGTCATCACTCCCAGAACCGAAAAGCTGCCGATTGAGACTGCCCAGTCAGTTTCCAGCATCTTGCAGCTTCTTTGGACATGGTCTCAGCTTCCCAAGGCCGCGCTGTTCATCTCTATCAATGATCAAATCTTGCCCAAGGTCATTGAATGTGTGTCCGTGCCAAAGGCAAAGGACAATGTCAAGGTTTTCGCCCTGAGCATCGTCCGCAACCTCATCAAGCTGGCCCAGGCACCCGCTCAAGAGTCTGAGTTTAACGAGCTCATCCGCACTGAGCTCATTGATGCGAACATGGAGCTAATGTTGAAGACCATTACCACTACGCTCGAGACGCAGACCATGGGCAATGATCTGCTCGAGGCTTCCATCGAGACCATCGTTGAGCTTTCTCCTTTGGTCGAAACATCCGAGAATGTCCAAGAAACGCTAAAGATTTCGACTTGGCTTCTCAATCAACCGCCGAGAAGAGTCAACCCCAGAGCAAAGGGCAAGATTCTCCTTATTCTGGAGCGCTTCATCACCATCCTTGGATCTGCTGAAGCGGAAGAGAAGACTGCAGACATTGCTATCTACGAGACTCTGTCTTCTCTCTTCAGCTACTTCAAGGACAGGGAGAACAGACAGTCCTTGGCTCGCGTGCTTTCCGCTCTAGCTGCCAAGGATGACACTCTCCAGGAAGTTGCTGACCTGTGTAGCGCTTTGAACGCCTTTGTGCCTAACCGCATCGATGAGCCAGACTACGACAAGAGACTCAAGGCCTTCACCCAGATCACTAAACGGGAGTCGCCGCTCACTGTTAGGCAATGGCTTCCGCTCCTGCACAACTTGATATTTTTCATCCGCTCGGATGAAGAATTTGGCATTCTTGCGTCAAATTCGGCAGACGGTATCCGAAAGTTTATCAGCGAGGTGGCATCCTGCCAAGATGAAGCATCGAAGATCGCTTTCGACGCCCAGATGAAGACCATCTTGTTGCCGTCAATCTACTCCGGTGCTCGCGAGGAGTCTGCTACTGTGAGACGAGAGTATCTCAGAGTATTTGGATACTTGCTGTCACAGATGCCCACGTGGGAGCCCGTTGCAGACATGAAAGGTCTTCTTAGCGGAGACATTGATGAGGAGACCACTGAGCTGCCCTTTTTCTTCAACATCCTTAGTCCCGCCACATCGCGACAACTGGAGGCTATTCGATTCCTTGAGGCTGCCAACGAAAGTGCGGAAATCGGTAGCCAGAACCTCAGTCAGTTCTTCATCCCGCTTCTGGAGCACTTCATCTTCGGCCGTACCGATGGCAGCGATGATCACGGCCTGGGTGCACAAGCGACAGCAACAATCGGTAACCTGGCTCTTTCCCTTGATTGGAAGCACTACCGTGTCATTCTCCAGAGGTACATCAGCTACGTTGAGTCAAAGCCCGACCTTCAGAAGCAGGTGAACAGACTTCTTGGCAAGTTTAGCGATGCCCTCGTTGTCTCTGTAGAACAAAAGGCAGCAGAACCCATGCATCTGGACGATCCCGAGACTACGCCTTCCACCAAGAGATTGGCACTCACAGTCCCTGCGCAAGAGAAGCTCGGTAGTGATGTCAACAACCTTTTCCTCCCCACACTGATCAAGCACCTGCATGAAAAGGATGAGTCCGAGGTCAGCTACCGCGTCCCGGTTGGTGTTATCATTGTCAAGCTCTTGAAGATCCTCCCCACCGAAGAGATGGGCCAAAAACTTGCCGGTGTTCTTACCGACATCTGTCACATCCTGCGAAGCAAAACCTGGGAAGCCCGCGAGATGGCTAGAGATACCCTGGTGCAGATTGCCTCTGTGCTTGGCCCTACGTATTTTGGTTTCATTATCAAGGAACTGCGTGGAGCTCTCAAGCGAGGTTACCAGCTTCACGTTCTCTCCTACACCCTTCACTCCATGCTTCTCAGAGTTATTCCTGAGTTCCAGCAGGGCGATCTCGACTACACTCTCTGGTCCATCGTAGCGGTTATCATCGACGACATCTTTGGTGCCACTGGTCAAGAGAAGGACGCCGAGGGGTACATCAGCCAGATGAAGGAGGTCAAGGCCAGCAAGAGTCAAGATTCTATGGAGCTTATCGCTAAATCCGCTTCCATCAACCATCTTGTCACCCTCGTACATCCTCTGCGGTCCCTTCTTCTACAAAAGGTTGATCTCAAGCTGGTTCGCAAGATTGATGCGCTATTGGCAAGAATCACTGCCGGTCTGTTGCAGAACCCTGCCGCGGAAAGCCGCGACACGCTGGTTTTCTGTTATGAAGTCATCCAAGAAGTCTACAAGAGTCAAAAACCAGAGCAAGCGCCAAAGATCGATTATCGCCTAAAGAAGTACCTCTACCAGAAAGGTGTTAAGAAGGACAACCACGGCACCGCGGGCAAATATACTTTTAAGCTTGTCAAGTTTGCCTTTGATATTCTGCGATCTGTTTGGAAGAAGCACGACAGCTTGCGCAACGCGGCGAATATTGCCGGTTTTGTTCCCATACTGGGTGACGCGATCGTTGGTGGCGAGGACGACGTCAAGATCGCAGCCTTCAAACTGCTTTCTGTCCTGGTCAAGGTCCCCTTCAGCAACGACGAAGATGTCGATCTCTACAAGGTTGCGGCTAAGGAGGCAACGAAGAGCATCTCAATGTCAACTTCGACTACAACAGAGCTTTCGCAGGCTGCATTGAAGCTGCTTTCTGTTATCCTCCGCGAGCGCAAGGACATTGCTGTCAAGGATGCAGCGATCGATATGCTCCTCGGCAAGCTCAAGGATGATCTTACCGAGCCACTGTACCGCCATGTTACGTTCAACTTCTTGCGTTCTGTTCTTGAGCGCAAGATTGAGACCGCAGTGGTCTATGACACGCTCGACTATGTCGGCACCGTTATGATCACCAACGATGACAAGGACACCAGAGACCTGGCCAGAGGAGCCTTCTTCCAGTTCCTCAAGGACTACCCGCAGAGGAAGGCTCGCTGGGTGAAGCAACTCAACTTCATCGTCGCCAACCTGACATACGAGCGTGAGGGTGGTCGTCTGTCCGTTATGGAGGTGGTCCACCTTCTGCTAATGAAATCTGCCGATGACTTTGTTCAAGAAGCCATCTCTACTTGTTTCCTGCCCCTGGTCATGGTACTGGCCAACGATGACAGCGAGAAGTGCTGCCTCGCCGCCGGCGAGCTGGTCAAGGAGATGTTCCGCAAGGCTGATAAGGAGAGGGTTCAGAACTTCCTGACCTTGCTGCGCTCTTGGATCGAGCAGGAAGACAACCCTGCTGTTACGAAATTGGCACTCCAGGCCTTTGGCTTCTTCTTCGAAGCCAAGGAGCCATCCTCGAAGCACAAGAAGGAGCTGGAGCTGGTGCTCAGCAGGATCGGTGAGATCTTCGGAACTGGTGATATCCGTGTCGCCGACGAGGATCTTGTCAACACAGCCCTCCACGACGTTCAAATCCTGACGGAAAAGTACCCCGCCAGACTACTCTCAGCAGAATCTCGAGAGTTGTGGAGCGATGTTCGTGGATGTTTCACTCATCCTGAGAACTCGGTCAAGTTAAGCACTGCCAAGGTGCTCAGTTCCTTCCTTGCAGACTATGCCGGCAAGGCCGCCAAGGCCGGTGAGACCCTTAAGGGATCCCACGGTCTTGACCTCGAATGCGAAGACATTGAGGAGCTCGTCAGGTTGACCATGTACGCCTTGAGGACACCCGAGATCGACGACGCCCTTGCTGCGGAGATCACTCAGATCCTGGTCTTCCTTGGCCCTCGCCTGCCAGTCAAGTTGCAGAATGTGCCGGAAGCGGAGACTTTGGGAGACAGAGACGAACAGGCGGCGGAGGAAGACAGAATCGAAGAGCACCGCAAGGACCTTCAATACCTCTTCTGGAAGCTTTCGTCACTCCTGCGCAAGGACGTTCGCCCCAAGTCAACCGCCATTACCCCCAAGGTCGTCGCTATGGAGGTGCTAGAGACCATCTGCCGTCGTGTGCCGCAAGAGAACCTCAAACCCTCGTTCAAGACTATTCTCTACCCTCTGCAGAACCTTACGGATCCCAACATCCCCGTGCCATTCTCCACGGACGAACTCTTCAAGACTAAGCTTGATGGCTTGAAGACAAGGGCGCAGATCCTGATGGACTCGCTGCAGAAGAAATTCGGCACCGCCGAATATACCCAAACCCTGCTCGCCATCAGAGAAGAGGTGCGCACGAGGAGACAGCAGAGGTCCAGCAAGCGCAAGATCGAGGCTATCGCACAGCCTGAGAAGTACGGCAGGGACAAGAGGAAGAAGACGGAGAAGAAGAAGGAGAAGAAGAAGGTTAGGAGTGCCGAGCACAAGGCATTCAGACAGACGTACAAGGGGTGGTAATTGTTCAATTTGCATAGAGACTGCATGGGTTGGCGTTTATGGTGGACAAAATAGTGCGAGGGTATGCATTGTGTTTTTTTTTTATAGTACAAGGGCTTACGTCGCCCGTTCATATGTGAGATGTTATATATTCTATTGTTACAATTCGTCTTGCGTTTCCATCACTCAACAGAGCGTGATGTAGGGTATCCAGAACGCCATCTATGCAGTCATACCCAGGCCCAACGAGGCCGTCCTCGATTCTTTTAGTTTGGTCCGAAAACACCCGTCCCCAGATATCACAATTGTTGTACAGTATTACAGCCGATTTTGTTCGAGTGTTTTTAAGAAGAGGTCTCCTTCTTCCCCCCTGCAATCTGAGCCTGAGCATCCTCGGCGGCGCCTTCTTCGGGGTAGAATTCGATATCGCCGTCCTCGCCAAGGGTGCCCTTCTTTACGAGTCTGCCCTTCTCGCGCATGAGATCCTCGACGGTGACCTTCTTGTCTCCGAAAATTCCGAGGTGATCACTGATGATGTGGCGGTTGCGGCACGAGGGGCAAGTAATGAGGACGGAACCGTGGTGGTAGCCCTGCTTAGAGACCTTGTGCCGGGAGCGGGTATCGCAGGGCACGCAAGTAAAGTCTAGTTGGTAATGAGGGTTCGACTCGAGACGGATCTGTTGCGCGGTCTTTGTATCGGCCTCGCGCGCGGCTTTTGGTTTCGGGATCGAGTGGGCAAGGCGCGCTGCGATGGCGGGCTGAAGCGGTAGCTGGGATGTGAATGCTCCTTGAGGAAGAAGGCGCATGATGGGAGATGCGCTGGGGCGGGCCGGTTGGCGCAACAGAGGTGCGAACTTGGTGAATGCTGAGCGCGAAGCCATTTTTATCTGATGCGACACTGAAAAGTGTTGATGTAGTGGTTTAAGTGTGGGTGTTGTTGTATGAAGCCCAGGACTTCTTAAGGGAAGAGCTAATTGGTTCTCAATCAGATTGGGAATACCGTCACTGCATCTGCACCTAAAGAGGTCACTGTTTAAGGAAAAAAAATAAAAAATAAAAAATAAAAAAAGAGCTGAGACGCCACAGGTGGCGCTGAAGTGTGGAGTCATCAGGAGACAGGACAATTAAAATAATAAACGAATCAGGGTCCTACAGTCCTATCATCGGGTATCTATGAGATCCGTGCGTTCAGTGCCTGGGATGAGCGTTGAAATTGATTGGATCCGACAACCCGGTCGCGCCTCTGCCTCGTGTGTGTGCGCGGACCATCCCGGCCTCGGGGCCAGCCCAGCGCAGCCTTGCTTTCTTTCTCTCCGCAAGTGAACTTGGACAACTACATCTACCGCCTGCGATGCCTTGTAAATTATCCCCCCCTTCGACCTTTCCTCCTGCGAATTTGCACATACGTGCGGCCTATACCATACAGGCCAGCTAGGCAGAGAGTTCCCGCTTTCTCTTCGCTTCCTTTCTCCTTCGCCTCAACCCACCACAGGCTTCATCGTCACCCCTCTTTCCACCTGTACCAACCGCCACACTTTCCGTGCAAAGCTACCCCGCCGCCACCCGACTCAGGTTTCCTACGAGAGCTCTTTCGACCTGAAACAACCATACAATACAACGTTTCTTGCAAAGATTCTCTACGTACGCTTTTTTGATAAACATTGGCGATGATTTCTGGTAGAGGTGGAGGAGGTACAGCCATGCGTGCTGGTCGCATTCGGCCCCCGCGCCGCCCGGGCAGGGTAAGTTATTACTGTGTTTCTTGTCGCTGGCTGGGACTGTTGCTTGGGAGTTGCAATGGCCATGGCTGCCGGTGGTGCAAGGACACTCTTGCATTGACAGCGATTAGCCCTTGCTCTTCCGCTGTCCAAGCTCATCCCGTCTCCCCATCATTTAAATGCTCTCAAGAGTCTGTGCTGGGGCTCTTACTCCTTTTAGACTATTGGGCTGTGAGATCTCAATGAGAGGCTTTGATTCTAGAATAAATGGTCAAGATCACATGGCAACACATGCTAACCTCGTGTGCAGCTCACTTCAGGTATCGACACGAGCGACTTCGAGCAGTGCTGGGAAACCCTCAAGCAGGCCCTTACAGACATTCATAACCAAAACTGCAGCACCCTATCATTCGAGCAATTGTACCGAGCTTCGTACAAGATAGTACTTAAGAAGAAGGGAGAGATGCTCTATGACCGTGTCAAGCAGTACGAGGAACAATACTTTGCCGAGCATGTCATCCCCGACATCGAGCGGCTCGTTACCGCGAATCTAGTTAGTGCCGCCATGGGTGGCTCCGCCACATCAGTCAACGAGCGGCGCAAGATGGGTGAACACTTCCTGCGGGGCGTGAGAGCCTCTTGGGACCATCACAACACCTCCATGAACATGACTGCGGACATTCTCATGTATCTCGACCGCGGCTACACACAGGATGCTCGTCGTGCGTCCATTTATACTGCGACTATCGGTCTGTTCCGAGACCATATTCTGCGGGCCAACCTCAATTCAAGTGGCGAGTATTCCGTCTTTGATATTCTCGACTCGGTCATTTTGGATCACATCAACATGGAGCGGGATGGGGACAATATTGATCGTCATTTGTTGCGGAACATTGTCCGCATGCTGGATTGCCTTTACGAGTCGGACGAAGAGAACGAGGCAGAAAAGCTCTACTTAACAACTTTTGAGCCGGCATATCTCCAATCTGAACGGGAGTATTACAAGCAGGAGTGTGAACGATTACTTCGGGATGCTGATGCGGGCGCATGGCTTCGACACACACAACGCCGCCTGGCAGAGGAGAACGACCGTTGCGATACGACTATCCACTATGAAACAAGAGAGAAGTCCATCAAAGTCGTTGAAGAGGAGTTGATCTCGGCGCACTTGGACGAATTTTTGAACCTCGAAGGCAGCGGTCTGAAGTCGATGGTTAACTACGACCGGGAAGAAGAGCTTTCCATCCTCTACCAGCTTGTGTCAAGGGTCGACCCCAAGAAGACATCGCTGAAGACGATTCTCTCTGCCCGGGTGGTCGAACTTGGCCTCGAAATCGAACAGATTCTGAAGGACACCAACTTCGCCACGGCTGCAGCGGCTGATGGTGAAGATGGAGAGGCCGCAGAGAAGACGAAGACGTTGAGCTCTTCGGCTCAGCAGACAGCTGCTGCGATCAAATGGGTTGACGACGTGCTCAAGCTTAAGGACAAGTTTGACAACCTGTGGAAGAAATGCTTCCAGGAGGACCTCATCATCCAAACCGCTCTTACCAAGAGCTTTTCTGACTTCATTAACATGTTTACCAAGAGTTCAGAGTATGTCTCATTGTTTATTGACGACAACCTGCGCCGCGGAATCCGGGGCAAAACCGAGACCGAGACAGAAGAGGTACTGGAGAAAGCCATTACCATTATCCGCTATCTCTCCGATAAGGATCTCTTTGAGCGATACTACCAGAAACATCTTGCCAAGCGCTTGCTTCACAACAAGTCTGAGAGTCACGACGTTGAGAAGTCGATGATTTCACGCATGAAGCAGGAGCTCGGTAACCAGTTTACTGCCAAGTTTGAAGGCATGTTCCGAGATATGGAGTCTTCTTCCGAACTTTCAGCGGGCTACAGAGATCATATTCGTGGCTTGGGCGACGTCGAACGTAAACAGATCGACCTTGGCGTCAGTATCTTGACCACCAACTCGTGGCCCCCTGACATTATGGGCCGTACCTCACAATTTACGGACGGCACGGGCTGCACCTGGCCGGACGAGATCAAGCGTCTTCAGGATAGCTTGCTCAAGTACTACCTCACCAACCGCAGTGGTCGCAAATTGACCTGGCTGGGTTCGACCGGTAGCGCTGACATCCGATGCGTTTTCCCTGCTATTCCCGGCGGTAAGGGGCCACTGTCGCGCGAACGGAAGTATGAGATAAACGTTCCGACATACGGCATGGTTGTTCTTCTGCTCTTCAATGAGCTGGAGGATGGTCAGGAGCTCTCTCTTGAGGAGATCCAGGCCAAGACCAACATCCCCAACCAGGACCTTGCCAGAATCCTTACCTCTCTCTCCATCGTCCCGAAGGCCAGGGTACTTGTCAAGGAGCCCGCCAACAAGGTCATCAAGCCCGGCGACAAGTTCAAGTTTAACAACGCCTTTGTCAGCAAGACGGTCCGCATCAAGGCGCCCATTATTAACGCCACTTCCAAGGTCGAGGGTGATGATGAGAGGAAGCAGACTGAGGAAAAGAACAACCAAACCCGTGCTCACGTTATCGATGCCGCACTCGTCAGAATCATGAAGTATGTTTTGTTTTTCTCTCCCCGTGATCTATTGTGTGCTGTGACGTGTACTAACAGGTAGTAGGCAACGCAAGGAACTTACCCACTCGCATCTCATTACGGAGGTCATCGACCAGCTCAGCAGTCGTTTCAAGCCTGAGATCAGCCTTATCAAGAAGCGTATCGAAGACTTGATCGTGCGCGAGTACCTCGAGCGAGTTGAGGACGTGTCGACCCCGACCTATCGCTACTTGGCTTAAGTCTACCTTGTAAGGATTAGTCGTCTCATGGTGAACGCGACGACGGAATGATTTTTTATGATATTTGATTAGAAGCATATGGGTCTGCATCAGGAAAGGTTTAGGGGACTGTTTCCGGCATAGGCGTTCAATAGGTCAGGCGGTCAACAGCTGTGCATGCAGATTTCTCTCACTAGGAAAAGAAAAGGGGGTGTGTGGTAGTAGTCAGACTTGGGCATGAAGCATCTCGTTGCACAGTGGCCGTGAAATGAAGTCTTTGGTTTTTGATATGTTCTAGGGTGGCCCTTTGGTCGGGTACTCTGGATTAAGCGCTGCGGACATATGTGAAATCCAGAGCGTTTGTAAATAACAAAATTTCGAGTGGAACAAACTTTTTTTTTTTTGGGGGGGGGGGGGGTGCATTTTTTGCATGACAGGCGTAGTTGAGTAGCAGCGGTGTGACGTGGTAACCTTGCGTTTCGCCGCGCAGAAGTTCTACCTCGTCGTCGGCCCATGTGAGACTTGCTTCCTTTATAGGTCGGCTTCGGGGACGCTGCTGGTGCTCGAGACCGTCTCTCTCTCTCTCTCTCTCTCTCTCTCTCTATGTAAGAGGGGGGGGGGGGGGGGGGGGGGGGGGGGGGGGACCTGAGACGGAACAGGACGATTCAAGATGACGTGGCGAAGCAACTTTTCTTTCGCCACGGTTATTCTCTCTTCCGGTCTGTCTTATGGATGAGGTTGACGGGAATCGGTTCATGAATGCGGCTTAGGCAATGAGGTCTGGTTGGGTTTTTTTCTTCTTCTTTTTTCAAAAGGCCAGACTTGCCCAAGAGCGAAGCCAGACAGCATACCTCCTTCAAAAGGCACAGCCAACGGATGTCAAACAATATCAGTTCCAAGAGGATTTAAGAATGTATCAGTTCAAACCGACTCAGTTCGTCAAAATGTTGGGGTGCACGCGTTCATTGGGGGTGTTCAAAGCAGGGCATGTCTCAATATAGAGCTCTCCCCCAACGGAGTCATCTCCCGATCATAAATGTTCCTTGGCGTTTATGGTTTGTTTGTCCTTCTCAAAGAACCTAAATTGCCTATCGAACGGATCCCACAAGATGGAAATCTTGACAATGTTTTGCCGTCGAGGGTAGTAGCTAGGAGTTGACTGAGACAGCTCTATCCTCTTTCTGAAGAGTTATTAATGCCAGCCGCCAGCCCATATAATAACATCTATCACCAAAGCTTGAGACATCAATATAGTGGAATTATATATATTCGCAGTCCGATCTGTTAATGCCTTTCCTGTTCAGGACCCATAAACAACATTTTTCACGTCCGGCAGAGCCTTTCGGCTAGCCCGGCCCGGTTCCGGATGCGGTACATAGGATACTTTATACCCGTTCTCCGGGTCCCACCTGCCGACCACAACCGTGTAAGTGGTGTGGGTACCCGCGCAGGCGACACAGACGGCGTTCCGTCCGCATCAAGAATATGTCGCGGCCATATCTATTTTCACTAACTACGGGGTTTCCGTTGCAGGGCGGGGTTATGATACCTGTCGCGATAGAGTTCTGCCTGCGACTCTTGGTGAACGCGCGCTATGGACTCTGCTGAGCGAACTGGTTCTGCAAGCTACCAATCCTCCTTAACATTTTGTAGCAGAGGGGGGAAACAACAGAGAGCGAATAAAGTGGCCATGGACAGCCTGCTTCCGTCACCCGAGCGAATAGCAGAACTTGGAGCATTCGTTCAACATCTCGTCATTGCAGCTAGGTACGTCGAGCCGCCCGCCCGCCCACACGGCGCCACATCCGTCAGCAGTAGTCCATCGGCAGTGAGACTCGTTCCCGCGGCAAGAGCGCTCAGTGAAAACTTATATCGGAGCTGTTCTTGGGTTCTTGCCTTGGAAGATCGCAGCAGCCTTGACGCAGGCTTCCGAATGACACGAGGGCAGTGCCTTACATTTTCCGAGTACGTGATGAAAGAGAGGTATATTTCATGGGGGGGACACTCTAATATCAACTCCGTGAGCATAAACCTCTGAGTGTGTTGGCTGAGAATCGTCAGGTTGTGAGAACACGCATCATAGACGGCCTCGATGGCCCAGTCCCTATAGTTACTGCACAACACATGTATGATAAGGGCAGCACAGCAGACGCCGAGCTACTCTCCGCAATAATTCGTTCGTTCCCTGCTCTGGATGTCAAGTTTCAACGTACTACTAATATAAGAGAGGCTTACCTCTAATTTTGTGCTTTCAGGCTATAATTTGCCTACTTGCATGTCTGCTGGCGTCGACCGTGGGAAAACCGGAAATCGTCAGCTCCAAACACAGCCACTTCCGTGGACCCGATTTGGAGGAGTTCTCTCGGCATCGATAGTCATTAAAACGATCCGAGCCCTCTTGCCCCTACTACCAACCCTCGCAAAACGGAGATAGTAGACCCAGGCAAGCCATTGTCATGCCCTTTGTTGAGGCAAAGTCATCTTGTTCTTGTAAAAATGGCTTCGGATTCGAAATTGGCCCATCAGAATGCGCGAGTGTTTCAAAAACTGCATTTCTGCACGAGAGATAAGCGCATGTACGGCTTTGTTCTCGATATTAAAAGCGAAACACATCAAGTCGGCCAGTGGTCAGAATCGCATGTACATTTCAGCATCGCGCGAAAATTGACAGCGCCAGAGTCGCGACTAAAAATAAATGAGGAAGTCGAGGATGCCAGAACAGGTGCTGCTTCTGTAAATCCACGTCATCGATCTTGACATTCTCATCTACGAAAGAACACCACAATGACCAAAGTGGATCTAATAGGACTTTTTAGAGTTCGAAAATGCCAGCCGTTTGGAAACGCTGAATAACACTCGTGGTTCATTCAAATTATTCCAGCGGGGCCGGCCCTGTGATGGCGGTTGAATGGAGGTCAATAGAGTATTTCCCGAAGTCGCTGGTATATCGTCCAAAGATGGCGTGCCACGCCAACTACTTCCTTTTTAACAATTACGAATCACATCCGGACTCTTCCTGTTGCCTCGGTTGAAGACCGATCAAGAAGAAAAGGGCAATAATTGTGCCTTCAACTAATTGATCTCATCATTCACTGCCCAGAAATTTAGGTTGTCCAGGTTGCCCAGTCTCGAGAGCAAGGGCCATCGATTGGGATGATCGGTATCTCGGATGGGTTTTGGTTGGGCGCGGCCCCCCTGTCCACTTCCCCGCCCGCGTAGTATGCACAAATCGTGGCCCACTCCTTAATGGGAGGGGAAGGGGTGAGTGGTTCGCTGCAGGTCTCTCCAATCATAACCTATGTGGTACCTGCAAGAAGATGGAGTGCGCCAGATTGGAGGCTGAGCTGAGCACCACCCGCATCACCCGTAAATCAGACCACCTGTTCTTGCAGACCCTGAGCAGAGGGATTTTAGCGATTGTATCTGTACCCCGTATGGCGAACGGATAAAAGCTGCAGGAAGGTTTCGGAGGAATAAGTGCGTTAGGATTCGCGGTTTCGGACCTCGGACCGTTTCTTGGTGTAGCGAGTGCGACAACGAGAATATCAATCACATTAGTCGGTGGATTTTGGTGATAGGTGCTTGCGTACTTCACGGTTGACTTTGGTGGACTTCGGTGAGAGGGATGAGAATACGCTGGGACCCCTCGGTCTCGCATCGAGAGAACGGACGGGAAGAGGAAAAGAAGAAAAAAAAAATCCTAATCGTCTCATCATTCCTAGAGAGGCTGACGCGAGAATCGCAAGTGTTGCCCAAACGAAGAGAAGAACATACCCAGGAAAAAAGATGATACCTTGGTAAAAACAGGCGCAGACGTAATGACAAAGCCCCCGTACGGTATCACAATGCCAACGAGCGTCCAGGTGTATGAAGAAGAGACTCTCTCTCCAAATGCCAATTCCCTTCCTTTCGTAAAATTTCCCACCCCGTCCAACGAAAGAAGTCGCATCGCACAAGAAAATAAAATCAAAATATCAGACCTTGGGAATGGCAAATAACCACAACGCCACTCCATCATCCCGTAGGAGACAACTTTTATGCAATAGAACTCCGTTTTTGATATCCCAAACTCTTCCCCGCCGCCGGCCAAGCGAGCCGATGCATTCCATGATTAACAAGTGCTTGTGTATTTCACTCGGGTTTTATGTTCTCACAGATCTCGGGATCCATGTTCTCACGGAACTCGCGGCGCTTGTCTTCGCATTTGGTTCCATCTCGAGGGCATTCCCATTGGCTTGTCGCGTTGACTCTCACAAGGCACTTTGTGCAGCGCCACCAACTGGGCTCGATTATGCGCGTGAGTAGCCACTCATCCGTGATCTCTCCGCCCTTCTTGTTGACGTCTTCCTTGTGGACGTCTACGAAGTGAATTCGTAAACGGTCCTTGCGACTGAACCCGTCGTCGTAGCGATGGCAGGCCGGATAGTCGCAATTGAATTCTCCATCCTTTTCCTTAGTTGTTACGGCGCCAGCCACACTGTTATTGCGACTACCTGCGCCTTTTGCGTTGGCGTTCGTGATTTTACCCTTGGTGTTGATCTTGGTGCTGATCTTGGGGCTAGGATTGCTGATGCTTGTCGCGGGGGTGATATCCTTGAGAGACAAGGCGGGCGAAGGTTGGGCCTGGCTATCGGTGTGAGCTTGTTTGTAGTGACGGTCAAGGTCGGCCTTGCGCTTAAAGGGCTTCGAAGGGCATCTAGCTGATAGGCAGGTCCATTCGATGTCCTGTACCGTCTGCACGGGCGACTTGCTTGTGACAGAGCGAGGTACCACATCCGGAAGCGATTCTGCGGCATAATTTTGCTGTAGCTTCCAGAAGCCGCCGTCGTCGGTCGGCATGTAATCATATTTTGAACAGTCAAAGTTCGGAAAGGATGTTTCGGGCCTTGTTAGTGATGTCAGCGGGAATTGCAGAAAGAAAAAGAGTTGGTAGCGAAGCCAGCTCCCCAAAGCATATATCCACTCGCAAGCCCATTTGATAACACTCACCATTGTTGCGATTGTTCAGCGATGGGCTGGTTGCTTTTGCTCATCGCGGCATGCGGTCGTTTTGCGGCTGTTGGAGGAGCCATGATGGTAGTGGTTTCTTCTTCCAGGGTTTAATCAGCGGTTGTCTCTCGTCCCCAGAACGCGGATCTGTCCTTTTCATCGACCTCGTATCGCAGGCCTTCGTATCGCAACCAACGGGCAGGTGTCCCGCTAGGTCGTTGGGGGGGCGGGGAGTGGGCGGAAATTTAATGGATTCAAAGAATCAATTGATTCGGAATAGGATAAAATAAAAATTAAAAAGCACACAACGGACCTTCAGTCTTGGCTGTAGGTGTAGCGCGCTATGTGCGCAGCGACGAACAAACCTGGGTGCTGAAGTGGCTTCAAATGAGTGTCTCGTCTACTAAGCACGACCAGGGCCGGCTACCTGATGGTCATGAGAATACGCTTGGGCGCAGAGCAGCGGGGACGAGATGAATAAAAGAGAAAAGAAGTGGGAGGAAAGGTCATTTCATGGCGACCCCCCAACAGAAAGGAAAGGAAGGGAAAGGAATGGGACAGGACAGCAGAATAAGTTTGCGAGAAAAAACGGAAGGCCCTTTTGGCTCTCGGTTGTTTCTCGTCTCTTTGGAACCACAAGAGATAATTATTGCTTTTCCCCTGGCCAGGGCAGCAAACGAACTGAGCCGACGGACCAGTCAGCCAAAGCCAGTGCCTGTACCAACGAGCCTTGGTCAAGAAGAGCAACGACGAACGAACAGAACAATCGGTCCAGGTCCAGCGCCCGTACGGCACATGCAGTACTGCACTTTCGCTTGTGGTGAGTCCGACCGATTCGGACGGTTGGTGCTTTTGGTGCTTGAAGCGATTGAGTGAAAGGAGAGATACTTAATGTAGGGGCAGTGATGTATCTAATTTCCTACCTACCTTCGGGCACAGTAATGTAAGAAAAGGTAAGGGTATCTGTAAGATGTATTGCAGTCGCAAAACAATCAACCACAAAAAGGTAAAAGTACGTACATCCCGGCTCGTAGCAACACGTCTGGTGAGAGTGGCGGGGTTCATACTGGTGTCCAATCCCGGGGAGGTACGGCAAGCCCAGTTCGGCCTTGAGCAGGAGGGGTGGTAGGGGGGTGTCAGGATGTTTGGGTGTGCCCCCCAAGTGACTTGGCGGGAGTGAGGGATGAGATGTGATTGAGAAGCAGCAGTAATGGCCATGTGGCAGGAGCAGAGCAGGAATAAGACGGACTGTAGCAGAAGCAGCACGCAGCAAACACGGCATGTAGGTGGACGACTAGGAGTGTGCCTGTCCGACAGATTTGGTTTGGTAGGGATGTCTAGGAGACCATGTCGTGTCTGTATGGTGTGCTGTACGTGCTGGATGAGAATAGAAATGTCGCCCCCGTAGCTGATTATCCGATTTTTGGGCCGGAGGGATTCAGATCGGAGGAAGGAGGGGAAGGGGGTAAACGGCAAGGATGGGGGGAACGGGCATGCCCATCCCGATATGCGCCATGCGAGGAATCCATGGAACGATACGGAGTATTGAGTAGCAAATGACCCCTGGGTCTGTTTGAAGAGGCTAGATGATGCGGGTAGATGAGTTATTGAATAGAACGAAAGTATGTGTGATGAGATGACGTTGGTTGCAATATTGCACGGACACGGGAAAGGAAGTTTCATGGACGGATTGTTCGGTTGGTGTGAGTGGCAGGGTCAGGGAAGGTCTGGACGGGATATTACAATGCTAGCATTCCATTGAAAGAAAAGGGACATGCAGGAGAATTATGGAAACTGCTCCATACAGCAATTGAGGGAAAAGAACACAGATAAAAATAAAATAAAAACAAACCCTGGCAGCCTAGAGAAAGGCTGGAAATAGTCAAGGAAGGGAATCCTTCTTCGATATGATATCCATACTGCCTCCGCAGACTCCTGACCTACCGACGGACTGCTCATAGCTTCACCGAGGGCGCATGGATCGTCCGAAAACTTGAGTCAAGGAAGCTAGGAACTATCGCAGAGCAGCTTTGTATGTAAGATGATCGTTGACCAGTTCCAACAGATTTGTGGAGTGAGTGTGTGGGGCAAGGCAATGTTGGCTGTTGGTGCTGCTGTTGGTACTGCTGTTGGTGCTGGTGTTTGGTATTCATTTGGAGTGGACACCAACTGTCACCAAATCCCAAAATGGATTGCGGCACGATGAAACACAGTCTTACAAACGAGTATGGATACAGACGCAAGAGAGGCCGTACAAAAAGAAGGAAGCAAGAGGCGGTAAAAGCCCAATGAAAGAAAAGATGGAGGGGAGTGAGAGAGTCATTCATGATTTGCTCCACCCATGTTCCGTGATTGGCAAGTGCGAGTGGGAGTGAGAGGATTTTGTAGTGACTTATTTTTCTTCCTTCTGCTGTACAATAACTTTATTTATTTTTCATGTTTTACTTCATCAAGGACTCACCAGATAGGCAGCATAAATCCCCTACTGAAGATGCCCGACGGGGAGACACAAAATGACACAGCCTTGACGCTTGGTCCTCGTTTTCGTCCTCCGTCCAATGCAGGCAATTGAACTTGATGACAAGTACGCGTGCCGACCTTCCGACTTTGAGCTAAATAAATACCCCCTTCCAGAATCTGCACCCGTTGCGCCTTGGCATCAAGTTACCCACACAAGCTGCTGCTCCTGCCATCATTGCTATCGTTTGCTCTTCCCCGCTGCTGCCATGTGCCAAGTTGGCATGAGCACCTCTCTAATCCCAACTTGCAACATGTTGGTTCCGACATTCTAATCCTGTTGGTTCCCAGAGAAGAAGGCAGATCATAAGCGAGGACATGTGAAATGATAAATGCGCATTAACACTAATCAAGCAACTGGTTGAGCACTGGCGTCGAGCTGAAATTGCCTGCACTGGCCCGCCTGTCATCCCGTCTTTTTTTTTTTTTTTAACAAAGCTCCCGCATACCACCACTATTATTCACCTCATGTCACAATTAGCTACCTTGGCGGTGGATGGCTGCTTTGTAGTGTCACTTGGACAGCTGGGGCTTTCCCTGGGGGGAGTACTATTTTCGCGGGCTGGGCTTTTTGCAACTATGTACTGCTAGCCCGTTATTGGTTCGCCCTTTTTGCTTCCCCATTGTCTCTGACCTCTTCCACCGCTCCCAGATTCCATCACCATACGGGTATCGCTGCATCGGGGGGGGTTCCATTTGGCCTCGTTCAGATATACGACACAAATGCGGTGTGGAAACACTCGACAGCCTCGGATTGACTTGGCCGGCTCTCACTTGCCAGTGCCGTGCATAAGTGCTCCAGCCAACCCGTCATACTGTCCTACCCCGTCCATTCCATTGCCGCCCCGTCTTGAGCTGGCCCTCTAGAACCTCACCCTCCCCCTCCGAATGCGTCTGGGGCGGCAGCAGCCCTGAGTGTAAAAAAACCTGGAAGTGCCGTCTGTAGTGAGACGTTAGGCAGTGATGTAAGATGTAAGGTAGCAGCTAAGGACACTGAACCCCAAAACTCAGATAGCTACACCCAGAAAAATCTGCATTCGTGCAAGAGGGGCGGTCAGAGCTCTCTCGCTCTTCGCTTCCTTCATTAACCTAGCACATATCCCCTCCTTTACCCGTCATTCCTCTTCTCTTCTGCCTTCCCTTCTCTTCTTCGGCAACCGCGAGAGTAGGAAGGGGGGTGTTGAGATGCCTTATTTGAGCCGATGACTGTGTTTTCCAAGGAAGGAAAGTGAAGTCGCGGGTCGAGGATAGGCGAACCCACTTCTTACTAGAAATCGACACTGAACCAAAAGAACAAAAAAGGGAGAAAAAAAAAAGATCAAGGGCTCTCGGCCTCCTATCTGGGAAGGAAGCAATATTACAGCAAAGGAAGGAAGGCAGGGTAAGCGGTTGGAAACACCCTCCTCCCTTACTTCCCAGATACGGTGCCTTTATCGGGCATTCGTACCTTCCCTTCCATTCGCATCCTCCCCTCGATCCCATTGTTCGGGCAGGTACGGTGTTCTCTCTCCCCACTTTCCACCATTCTGCATTCCGCTGCGCATCTGCCGTCCCCTGAGACCCCCAGCCGGGCAAATCTCGCGCCCTTTCGCTCTCTCCTCGCTACCTCGTTACCCTTATCCAACGCACCGAGAGCACGACCGGACAAACAAACGACAGGCCCCCCCCCCCCCCCCCCACCCCTTTCTCCAACACCAACCAGCCGTGTGGGAAAGGTGCTTGCTTAGCGCGAATCATCACCCCCGAGCTCTCTTGAACGAGATTACGGATCCAGCCAACGAGCCGAATTTTAAAAAAAGAAAATACAGCAAAAAAGTTCCGTCACTCAGTCCCGAGCCTTGACGCTTACGACGACCATCACGACGACACCATCAAGTGCATCATCGACATCATTCACTGCCACTGCCAAATGTAAGATTCCCTTCTCTTTAAGTCTATGCCTGCACTCAGCCCTGCTTTTCGAGGTTGTGGCTTAAGCCCCCGGTGATTCGTCTTACGTATAGTCGCTCGCGTCGCGGACAAAAAAAAAAAAAAAAGCTAATTCCATGTGGAATGGAGCTGAAAAGACACATGGCCTGAACCATCGAAATGTTTCAAACCCATCGCTTCTTTTCACCTAGCACAACCCAACACCTGCAACTACTCTGCATTTGTTTAAATAGAACAGATCTTTCCCCTTGCTAACAAAGTGTCCTTGCAAGCCTTAAACTTCGAGTTTTCACTTACTTTCGACAACTCTCCTTCGACGCCAACATTCCATTCGGACACATAGAGATCCTCAAACCCCAAATACTGGCACCATGGCTCGCATTCAGATCCCTATCGACGCTCTCACGTCTCGCCTGAACCTCCAGGACCGCTTTAACACGATGCGCTCCGGTGGTCTCACTGCTAGATTCGCCAACTTGCGTCCTATCTCCGAGTTCTTCGACATGAAGCGAATCTCCAAGCCTGCCAACTTCGGCGAAGTCCAATCACGATGGAACTACAACCTGTCCTACTTCTCGAGCAACTACAGTGTTATCTTTGTAATGCTCAGCATATACGCTTTGCTTACTAACTGGGTGTTGCTGTTCGACATCATCTTTGTCGTTGCTGGCATGTTCCTTATCGGCAAGCTCGAGGGTCGTGACCTTGAGATTGGTAGCTTCCGTGCTACCACTTCGCAGCTTTGGACTGGTCTTCTTGTTATTTCTGTGCCTGTTGGCCTGTACGCGTCGCCTTTCTCGACGTTGCTCTGGCTCGTGGGTGCTTCTGGCGTGGTCATCCTTGGCCACGCTGCTTTTATGGACAAGCCTATCGATGAGGCTTTTTCCGGGGAGGCGGTCTAGATGGTCGGCCGCGAGCTCCCAAATTTGCTCCCCAATGGGGAAGACCATCGAGGCGCGGGCGGAGGAACCAGGGAGCTGCGCAAAGGGGGTATTGGGAGGATGGACAGAGAGTCGAGGAGCTAGAAACAGACGAGGAAGATTCAGATATACAAGGCGTTGGTTTGATTTCCAGAGGGAAGCGGTTCGCCAGCGACCCCTTACGTTTTACGGGTACAGACTTGGGTGACAGAGCGGGCACATTACGGAGAGGGTATGATTATCAATCGGACGAGGAAGACGACAGCAGCGAGGCCGATAGCGACGAGGACAGCGAGGGTTCGTCTTCAGAAGAGGAGCTTGATATTGACTGGGATCAACTATCGCCGATGGAGAGGGAAGAAGCATTGGTACAAACAGCACTGGCTCGCATCCGCCGTGCTCAGGAAAAGGGTAGGTCGGATGTCAGGCTCAACCAGGAAGAGATGGCGGCGTTTGAGCGATACAAAAAACGCAAGGAGAAGGAAGCTCGCAGACAAGAGCGCAAACGGCGCAAGGAAAAGGATCACCGATTCTCGATCCCTCTGGCGCAATTCGAAGCCCCATCTCGAAGATGGTCTCCGACAATCTCTGCCGATGATGACCTGCCGCGTCATCCATCCCCAGGCACTTTTGCCGAAGTCCAAAATCGGGATCCAATGCCCCCCATGGGCTATTTTCCACCTCCAAACGCCACCCGCACCCGTCAGCGCTCATCAACATCTGCGTCTCAGCGACCTCCCTCCCGAGCTTTTGGTGACAGAGGCTCTTCACCGTTTCAGTACGCCTATATCGGTGCCCGTCAGAGCTCAGATTCACGGCCCATTTCATCACGGGGCCATCCAACTTCCGAGGACGGCCGGGGCCAACCCAACATGTCGCCGGCCTCATCAACATCTTCCATGTCAAGAACAAGAGCCGGACTGGATCCTTTCCAATTCCAGACTGAAGGCCCTCGCGCTCAGGCTAGTGCAGCTCGACGAAATGTGTCGGGCTCAACAGATGGAAAACGTACTCCTGCTGTTCCTCCAACAGCGAGGATGACCAGATCAAAGGCACCCCCACCTCCACAATCCTCCAGCGAGGACAGCGGCGAAGAGAGCACGGAGGAGAGCACCAGCGATGGCATTGGAAACGGAGCGCAAATCGCCCAGCCACCGCCGCCACCGCAGCCACAGCCACAACCGGCACAGACAAGACGCGGCAGGAAAGAAGCCATCGTCGTCGAGGAGGCGGCGTCTCGCGAGCCGACGCGCGAAACGTCGAGGGGCAAGAAATCATCAAACTCGTCGCCGTCCAAGAAAAAGCCAGCTGCGAGCAGGAAGAAGAAGAAGTGATTGATTGTTGCTGTTATAGTCGCCCAAGTCTACCATTGTCCTGTCTTTGTTATAGAGTTTTATTCCCTAATCAATTTACTATTCCAAAAAAAAAAAAAAAAGGATCCTGTGATATGCCGAGTCCGGTATTGTCTTTTGTCATGCGTACATGTGGTCATCAATCGTCTCTCTTGATCTATCCTAAAGCGGATGCACCATGCGCATCTAAAGTCTGGAGCTCTCACAGGGTTGGTCCCGGAACAGCACGGGACGAACCAGAATATAAATGATGATAATAACAACCACAACCTTGTACCTGTAAAAACGCCTTAAAACGTGACAACTCATGAAGAAATATTGGATATAACCCTTCCCAAGCAAAAAAGTGACTTCATAGAACATACGAGACGCGGGTCAGCAGCAGGCGGACTGATTTTAGACGAACATCTTGGCTACGCCGCTGATGAGCCCGTCGGTCCAGCCGCCGCCGCCGCCGTCCCGCTCGACGCTCCTCCTCTCCCATTGCATGCCGCCGTCGTAGCCCCTCTCAATGTTGACGGAGCCGCCGCGGCTGCCGAGCCCGTTGGAGGCCATGCGCATGGCCTCGCCGACGAGGCCGATTGAGTCGCCCTGAGCGGCCTTGGCGCCGATGCCAATCATGCGCTCGATGCCGGGCGGCAGGCGGAGGCCGAAGCGCGCCAGGAGGGCCGTCAGGAATCCCCCTGTGATCAGGGGCATGATGACGAGCGCGACGACCTTGTACGGGTGCTTCTTCGCGTAGTAGACCAGGTCCCGCCAGAGGCGTTTGACCTGCTTGAGCGTCTTTTGGAGGAAGGACGTGCGCGGGGAGCGTTTGTAGTAGGACGGGCTTCGGCCTGAGGCGGGGGTTAACAAACGTCAATTGATCAATTCCGATGGTGGGTGCCACAGTAATGTGCCTTGGACACGGCAGGTGTAGAGTGAATGGGAGAGGGATTGTGAATTGCGCAACCAAAGAGAACATACCTCCGAAGCCGAAGAAGGAGGACCGCGACGCATTGGGGATCCCGAAGAAGGAAGACCTGGACGAATTGTGTTTCTTGTAGTCGTCGCCTCCGAAGATGGAGGCGGCGATGCTGGGCGCGCTGTGTCGCTTGCTGCGGGACGAGGAGCGAGACCGCGAGCGGTGCTTGTGTTTCTTGTGATGCGAAGAGTGGCGGCGCGAGTGGGAGGACTTGCCCGAGATCACCGAGGCCGAGTCAAAGTCGAAGAAGCCCATTGTTGCAGTTGTTCTCTTTTTTCTTTTTGCCTAGTTTCTTCCTTGCTTGCTTGCCACTGAGAGTTTGAGTTGGAGGGTGTTTAAATGTGCGACTGTCCAGGATCTACGGTAGAGAAGATGCTGAAGGCACGGGTGTTTAAGGGGTTTGGCGGGGTAATTGAGACAGCGCGTGGGTTGCCTCGTGGTGTTTGTGAGAGGGAGGGAATTGGAAGAAGGTGGAGGAGAGATTATTGTAGTGGTGGTGGTGGTGAGATGCGGATACACACCCCCCCTTGTGCGAGGCTGTAGGGATGCGACGTTGGGGTTTTGAAGCTCGAGCGCACGTGGTTTCCTGGATTGAGAACTACTTTTGCGACCAAGTTCGTAGGGGTCCCTTTTTTTCCAGGCAATTGATGAAATGGATCCCAGTTTTCTTTTTTTGGAGAATGGAGAAGAGTAAACAGGGACAGGACAGATCCCTAGCTTGAAGAGGAACAAAGATGGTGGTCTTGGAAGGGGCTGGCAGGTTGAGCTAGGGGGGGCCTTGATCGTGGAGCTTCAGGTCTGCCTCTTTCCGTGAAAGGGATGGATGCAAGCGATTGTGCGTTCGCAGGTCTTTAGTGCCGGGGGTTTTTTTTACTTTGCGCTCTCAGATCCTCGTGTGCGGCGGGTTCAGCATATCATTCTGAGTGGACGGGGAATGTGGAATGTGGGAATTTCTTGCTCTGATGTGCGGCGAGGGGAACAGGAGGGGAGGGTCGGAGAAGAGACTTGAAGGTCTGGAACACTGGTAGCGAGGGCTGGGATGTATGTTAAGATCCAATTGAATCTGTTTTTTTTTTTTTCCCTCTCTCTTGCCGAGCCTACCGTTAGTGCTTTTCGTTCTTTATCTGTTACGGCCCTCTCAGTCTAAAATCAGATGTTTGCTTGTGCTGTTATTATCTGCTACTGCTGCCTTCTTTCCTCAGATTAAAAAAAGAAGATGGCTGGGAAGGCGAACGCTTAAGAACGGGCAAGCCGGCATGCGGCAGGGTCCCCCTACATATTACCCCCCTTTCCCCTCCATCAAGTTTGCCCGGTTCGTGCACGGAGCTTTTGAAGCCAGAGCTTGGGGAGAGCTTTAAGTATTACCGGGGTGGATAGGATCAGATTTGTCGCGCTAGGCGGGTTTGGGATTGGTGCGAGGCGGGTAGGTTGATCAGTTGCGGTCACTGGTTTGTTAGCTTGAGCAGACTGACCAACTGGAAACTGAAGGCCCATCAGTCTCCCCTTCTTTGCTGTAGTTGTGCGGTAGGACTTACTACCCTCAACTAGGTAGCTGTCAAAAGCTTGCAGTTCCATTCTTTAGTCCAAGGTGGTGATTGTCCACGTAGCTTACAGGGGGCCAGGCCTATGTAAACATTTCGTAACGTCTCTTTTGGTTTTATTCAGTATTGCGTGTTTTTCTCTTGTGATATGCAGAAACTATTCATAGGAATGCAAGGGATGGTTAGTGTAGGTTTCACAGGGGGTGAAACAGGGGGTGAAACGGAATTCCGTTCGTCAATAACAAATAACAGTAAATTGGTTCTAATCGATGGTTCATGATGATAGTTGAAAGTGGTGTTGTTGACTAGAAGGTGGGGATATTCCCCCTTGGCCTGTCACGTGGGTCTGGGAGGCTTGGGCCTCTCAGCCTGGCGGGCGTGTGGCTGGAAGTGCCACACGGCTCCGTATTCCAACTATCGCAACAGTTAGCGAATGTTACAATGTACTCTTAGCCAACACCAAAACCACGGGGGGGGGGGGGGGGGGTGGTTTCTTTCAACTTCTATCAATTCAGCAGTCAAGTTTACTTCTAAAGTCTGGTCATAAACAAGCTCTATTCTAGCGCACAAAGGCAACTGGTTCCGAATCGCCTTATTTGAGTCCCAGGTTCGATGCTATAAAAGTCTTCCAATTGAAGTCTACCAACACCAGCAGTCATAATCTTGGTTTGCTTTACTGTTTTAATGGTTAGAATATAACATAGCAAATCGATGGCCAAAACCAGCTCTGCACTTACTATCTGCAATCGATTGGGTTCTTTCCGCACTATTAACGGCCTTTGGTTAGCGGGCTGAAAGGGCGAAATTCAAATCATGTTTGAACTGACATGCTCTGGGCAAAACTTCTGGCAGCCCTTCCATGCTTCTGAATTTGTCGGGCATCGAGGTGATGAGCCCTAGAGGAAGGTCAGCTACCTTAGCCCAAGTCTCGGTCCACGGTCAACCTACAGAGGGCATAGTCCGGCAATACATTTCGGCGGCAGCTGGCGAAATGAGAAGGAACGCCCCGAGGAAGGAGTAAAGCTTCATGGTACCGGTTCTGAAGGGGTTTTATCTGCTGTGTCTTTTGGTTTCTTGGAGTTGAGAGAGCAAAGACGAAATTTAAACAAGGCCGATGGGCGCTCATATAGACGTCAACACCATTGCTACTCAGCCTGTGAACAAGCAAAAGTGCACGATCCACTCTTCATAAAGGCTTAATGCCGTGGAATCAAAGTTTGTTACATTTATACTATACAGATTTCCTAGTCGACCTGACTTCCACCGTGTTTAGGTGATGAATTCCTGCGTAGGTAGCATATTTCCGTGTCCGTGAAGCTCCACTGCAACTAATGTAGGCGGGAACAGAGCCGTAAAAGGAAGGAGAAGCCACCGAGGAAAGCTTAAATAATAGAGCTATGGAAAAACCAGCTTTAACGAAAGAAATACCAATAAAGACTGACTCAATTCCTATACTAATCTTAACTGTTACAGTTCCATTACTTGCAAAGCAAGGTACGATTAACCACGATCGAGAATCATGCTTTTTCTCGCTGAGATGACCACCGCCCATCATCCTGACGAGAATGTTTTCTCGTGGTGTTACAATGCGATAATTGAAGGAAGCCCTTGTTCTATGGAGTTGTCCTAGGGTATCTGGATATTGTTCTAGCCAATCAAACACTCAGAGTTGGCCTGCCCATTTTTTTCTTTTCTCGATAGTCTACGGTGGAAGTATGGATACTGTACTGAATCTACTTGGCACAGACGCTGAAACGCATTAGTTGCCCACATGGCGGAGGCTCTGGTTCGTTCAATGGACAGACGGAGATAATTACCAACCCGGCGGACGTTCACAGGAAGCCGAGGTCAGGTTTAAACCGGATTCTGAACATCGGGAACGATGCCGGGTTGTCGGAAATCACGACATCGACGGGAGAAACAGCATCGTAAAATCGTGCCAGAGGGTCGTTCCGAGACCAAGTCACAAGAACATTGCCGCATATAAATACTGTGAACGTGGGTTTACAGAGGTACTGGCTTAAGTCACCCTTTCTTTATCATCTTTCTATAACAAGTGTGAAAAAAAAAAAAAAAATGACTGCTCAGCCCTTCAAGGTGATTATCGTCGGCGGCGGACCGAGCGGCATCACGGCGGCACACATTCTACATCGCGCCGGCATCGAGTCTGTCGTTCTCGAACGGAGAGACAGCATCGTCGAGGATGTCGGAGCTAGTTTGGTCCTCTCTCCTGGATCTCTCCGGGTGTTCCATCAACTTGGGATTCTTGACCAGCTCATGGAGATTTGCAGCATGCTCTCAGCAAGCAAGGGCTTCACCACCGACGGAAAAGTCTTTAAACAGTTCAAAATCGGCCAGATGATGTTGGAGAAGTACGTTGCTTGACTTTGTTAGGCTACTCGTCTAACCTTTCCCCTTTTATCTTCTTCTTTTTTTTTTTTTTTCTTCTTCTTTCTTTGTCTAATGCTTGCTGTCTACAGCCACGGTACGGGACTCGCAACGTTCCATCGCGCCCACCTTGTTCAAGTCCTCTATGATACTCTCCCCGAGTGTGTAAAAGCACGGTACCATACGGGAAAAAAGGTCACAGACATCACACCCACCGACGGGGGCGTTGTGGTAACTTGCGAAGACGGCTCGAGCTACTCCGGAAACATGGTCATCGGCGCCGACGGCGTTCACTCCGCCACCCGGCGCCAGATGCGCAAACTCGCCCTCGCCGAAGACCCGACTCGCACGTGGGACCCCGTGAACCCGTTCAAAGCACACTACCAGTGTTTGTGGGCGTCTTTCCCCCGCCCCAGCGCGGCCGGGGAAGGCTTCGAGACGCAGGGCACAGATCGGTCCATCATGTACCTGACCGGTAAGGAAAGGGGGTGGATCTTCCTTTACGAGAAGCTACCCGCACCCACCTCCGAGAGGATCTCCTTCACGACCGAGCAACTCGAGGAGTACGCGGGGCGGTTTGCTGAATGGCCAGTCACGGACACGCTCAAGGTGAAAGACGTATTCAACGAGCGGTACAGTGTAGGCGGGGCTGGCCTTGAGGAGGGCATCTGCTCTCACTGGAGCTGGGGCGGCCGCATAGTGCTCGTTGGCGACGCCGCGCACAAGTTCACGCCAAACGCGGGTCTAGGGTTCAGCAACGGTATTCAGGATGTTGTTGCGCTGTGCAACAGGCTGCGGCCGCTTGTTCAAGAGTCATCATCCGCCGGAGGCGGCGGCGGTGGCGGCGGCCAGCCCCTGACAGCCGATTTGCACAACATGTTCGATATGTATCAGAAGGAGAGACGAGCTCCGCTGGAGGTTGACTTGAAGGCTTCGGCCCGGGTAACACGAATGCATGCATGGGCATCAACTTGGCACTGGCTATTTGCGAGATACTTGATGGCGTTCTCGTTTGTGCAGAAGATTTTCTTTTCGTTCGCTTTGTCGCCCACAGTTCAACAGTCGCGGGTGCTGGATTTCGTAACGGCTATGGAGGCTTTTGAGGGGAATTTCAAATGGCTACACCCTCTACCGAGCGACAAGTAGTTAGAATGGATATTATGTACATATATGACTTTGGCAGAGCGGGGGTTAGGGTTAACAATTGCGCCTTGACAACCCTGAAGCGAATCAAAATACTTAATAAACATAAATAGTTTACAGTGTACAGCTAACTACTAAAGTACATGCGCACTCTTGCAAGTCTATGAATTATACTGGTATCTATTTTCCCTGACAACGCCCGACTTTCTTGTGGTATCCTGCACAAACGATTGTCATGTTTGAACTGCCGCCGGTATCGAGTGTCCTGCATCGTGCCGCTTCGCTTCATACGGGTGACCTTAAAAAAAAAAAAAACGCTCCAAAAAACTAGGGATACCACCGAGTCTAAGGCCACCGATCAAAGGTAACTGTGGGAAAAAAAATCAAGGCTGTCCCAGAGCACAATCCAAAAGTATTGACGGCGATATCATCCGTATGACATTGAGTGCCGTCAAGCCAGCAAACCCATCGAGTCCAACACCCTCAGAGCTCCCGCCTTGTCTACCAACTCTTGACCTCTGCTCATCCACGCCTCAAATGCATCCGCTGTTTCATCTCCGGGGAAATCATCCCACACCTCACTCTCAGTGTCGGGGTACTTCGACGGGACTCCCCGCAGCGCGTCGATCGTGGACCACATCGCAAGCTTCCTCCGCACGCTGCAGTAGTAGAAGTATAAGACGCGACAGAGCATCAGAACCCTATTCTGACATTGCGCCCTCGCTCCTTCGTCATCATTGGCCAAAGAGTTTCCAAGCGTCACAGCCCACCATGAGGACTTCCATCGCAGCATAGTGAGGATGTAGCCCATCGTCTGCAAGAGAGGGAGCAGCTCTGTCTCCGAGAGATTATCAGACTTGTGTAGAGTACGTTGGAGGTAGGCGAACGCCTTCACCTCTACTTTGCGGTTGATGATGCGGGTGAGCTGGGCAGCTAAGGCGAGGTTTTCGGATTCGTCTGGAGATTCTGGATCGATAAAGTGTTCTTGCGCACGGGAAAAGCTGTTCTTGTAGACGTAGGAGTAGCGAGCGCGACTAGGCATATTACTGAGGACGCAAAAGAGGGCCAGCGGGTTGTCGCGGAGGAGGCCCAGGTTATCCATGCAGTTTTCCCACTCCTCGCTTTTCGAATCTATGCGAACCAAGTCCTTGTCAATGAAGGACCGCAGACTATCGTCTGCCCTGCCTACTTGTGTGCTGAGACTCAGGACGTAATCGTAGCATTTTTCGAGGTTCAGCACGTAGACGGGCTGATGTTCGTAGTAAACTCGCAAGTCAAAGTCGTATCGGACACGCTCTAACGTAGCGATGATACTGTCGATAGGGAACCCTCTCGGAAGTTCCTTACGAATACGTCTGGTACCATCTACAGATGGGTGGTTGATGGTCCGCTGGGAAATGTAGTTGCACGATCCGGAGAGAATAATATCTTCAAAATGGGCTCTCACACAAGGACCTGGCCACTTGTTTGATGAGCCGTGTTTGTCACACTGAGAGCAAGGACTATCAGGCGAGTCGTCGATTCTCTTGCATGCTTGCTTGGAGTGCTTGCACCGGATGCAAACCATTTTCTTGTTCCGCGTATCTTTGGCTTGCTCGCGAGATGCAGAGTTCATAGGCCCGCTGCGCCTTCCGCGGGCAGGTCCTTGTCGAGTACTCGGACTTGTACCTGTTGGCGATATGGCTTTTGTTTCTGGCATTTTGGAGCCAGAGACGATGGGTACTGGCGCGGCCATTCCTGAGCATGCAACATTTCCCAGGCTTGACCGTTGAAATGCGTCGGAGCGGCTCAGCGACAATGGAGATTGTGAACGGATGGGTCTAGAGGCAGTGGGACGAGATGACCGGTGGTCGTTGAACTTCAATACCCGATGAGTTCGGGTTTGAGTGTTGAGAGCGCTGCTTGGCCGGGTCGGATCTGAAGGGCGACGTGGTCTCGAAGACGGCCTAGGAAAGGGAACTTCTAGACGGCCCGTAGCACTAACAGTCCCAATTTGAATCTCTGAATCTAGGTTGCTCTGTATTCCGCCCTGAATGACATATGATGACACGTCATCAGTTTGATGTATTGGTGAGACTGGAAACATGGTCGAGGCTTGAATGTCATCCATCCGGTTGGGTTGTCCCGAAGCCTCGGGAGGGTGTACCACCAGGGCAGGCCCCGACTGGTCCTGGTCAATCAATATGAAGTCTTCCGGCGGAAATCCATTACCCCATGGTGACTGGCTGAGAGCCTCGGGCATCTCATCTGTAAACGGGGTATTCCAGTCGTCATAGTATGCTGCAGTTGGACTGGGACTAAACTCGGTATAATCAGACAATTCAACTGACAAAGCGCTACCATTCTGCTTAGAAACAGTCGTTGGTGTATTCCGCGAGGTAAGATCGCCCGCTGAGAGGCCATGGCCAATGTAGCTCGCGTCGGACGGGTATGACGAAGCGTACAACAAGGCGTTTCTTGACAAGTCCCTTCCGTCGGTTTGTATATTGAGAAAGGGGCGTCTCGAAACGGTAGGGCCATCATCCAATGAAGCATTGCTAGATACTATCACTTCAGAGAAGTTTGTCGTCGCTGGACTGTTGAGCCTGTTGAAAATACCCTCGCCGAAGCTTTCGTACAGCTCGTCACTTTGGCTGAAGGTGACTGACTCGACCTCGTCTATCCCGTTAGAACTCGCATGGCTAATCGTCCGGGCAAGACCGCAAGATGCTAGACCTGGTACATCGACACCGAGATCATGGTTCTCAAAGAGGGAACTCCCAATGGCAAGGTCGAACGAGAAGTCTGTATAATCAGCTCGAGCCCCATTGGTGTGCAGGATTGGGAACTGACCGAAATCAACGCCCTGGGGTTCGGGGCAGGAGGGGAGATCGGCGTTAAACTCCCTATGCAAGTTTAGTATTTCTTCGAAGCTGGAATCGGGTTGTAGGGAGACATACTGGATCAATGACTGAGGGCTCCTCTTCGCTTCCGTGTTGAGGAAGTCGGAGGAGCCCACGGGTTGGGAGTATGAATCGTAACCCTCGACCCATTGCTGGCTGCCGTTATGGGCAGGCTGTCCGGCCCAAAAAGCGGCGTTATGATTGCGGATGTTGTTGCGGTTGTTCCTATGTGCCATGCCAACGCTGAATAAGGCTTACGATGTCTAGCTGTGTGAAGCCACTCCTGGAAGAGGCTGTGTTTGTAGATTTCTTTTTAGATGTGGCAAGAAGAAGTCGCCCTCGTGGGCGAAAGGGAGCGTCTCTCATCTTAATATGTGTGTGTGTCTGCCTTCATGCAGCCTTGTGTTCTCTACGGGGCTGTATGTTTGATTGGATCGTACCAGGCAATGACATGTGTTTGGATGAGATGATGAAGATGAGTGGTCAGGACAAAAGTCTGGGTACCCGTCCGCCTGCTCCTGTGAGGTCCTTTCGGCTAGCGAGTGTTAGTGTGTTTCTCTGCAGTACTGAGTGGACCGGTCAACCATTGCCGGACACTGGTGGACATTTTCGGTGTGTTACACATCCCTTGAAGGCACTGAGCTTCCGGGGAAGACTTCCGCTATGCTGCGGCTTCTAGTGGGTGGCTTTCCAACGGACTTGAGGTTAAGGTACGTAAGACTGGTATCTAATCTACCGCCTACATATCTAAGGTAAGTGCACTTTCCACTCTGACACTGAGCGCCTGCCTCAATACCCAATACCCAATTACCTCTTTCCTAGAACACATTGTACCTTGAAAGGTAAAAAAAAAAAAAAAAAAAAACAGAGTAAGCCGCAGCAAGACAGGGCGCAGGCTGGGCAACTCGCAAGGCGCACTACTCAGGATGCCTCGTTTTCAATTCCGCGGCCTTCTATGGCTTGCAATCCAGGCTGAGGCATTATTGTAACAACTTCTGTTCTACTCTTTTGGCCTTAGCCTATTATTCATCCCGGCCGATTCGCAAGTGCCGCATCTTCAGCGGGTCAAGCTCATGGAGCGAATGATTCACACACGCACTTCCAGCGGATAAAGTCATGACCGCACCTCGAAAGAGTCAGACTGAGAGCCCACTTGACCAGGCTTCGACTTCTCCAAGCTCCTTCAAAAGCAAAGTTACTTCCTCTTCCAGCGACCGGGAGCGTCATAGTCTCTCCTAGATGTAGTCTGGTCTGCGCTCATACACCCCGTACACCGCCCTGTACACCTGAAGTCTTCGCCTGGCTGCCTGCTCTTGGCCTTGGTTGCCTTGTTTTCCCTTTATCCCGCGAACCCTACTCAGCCTCGACGTGGTTTCACACCCAGTCTTATGGGAACGCAGAGTCTTTTTATCACCAAAGTGTCAATATCTGTCTGCAAAGACAAGGTCTCATCTCCCAAAAGGACCTCGGCGACTTGCCAAAATGCGCCTCATGGTAATACCCTTTACCTAACCACGATATGCATCTTGACCACCGCATACTATGACGCATAATCGACCGGACACTAATGCACTGCCTGTAGGTAGTCAACGACGACGGTCCGCCGTCGTCCGTTTCGCCCTACCTTGCTCTCTTTGTCGGCGCTCTGCACGACGCAGGCCACGAGACCGTCGTTGTCATTCCTGATCGTCCGCTCTCCTGGATCGGCAAAGCCCACGCCGTTGGCAAGACCTTAACCGCCGCAAGCAGATGCCCTGCCTCCTTCGCTGACAAGACCTGTGCCGTTCCCGGCTGCGCCGAGACTGAGGACCGCCAACACCGCTGGCTTGTTGTAGACGGCCCGCCTGCTAGTTGCACTCAAATTGGTTTGTTCCATGCAGGCTTCGCCCCTTCAGATTTCGATCTGGTCGTCTCGGGCCCGAACCACGGCCGCAACGCAAGTACCGTGTATGCCCTTAGCAGCGGCACTGTGGGCGGCGCCATGGAGGCAGCGCAGTGTGACAAGCGGGCCGTGGCACTCAGTTTCGGTAGCAAGGAGCCGCAGCCTGATGAAGTCATCCAAGCTGCGTGCGTGCGAGCCGTTGCGGTGATTGGGAATCTGGTCAGGGACTGGCACCCGGAAGTCGAGGTGTACAGCGTCAACGTGCCGATGCTGGCCGATATCGAAGATCGCCCGGTGAGAATAACAACTACTGCACAGGGACGCTGGATCACGGGGGGGTTATTCAGTCCCGTCGCCGCCGATCCTGAGAAGCTGGCCATCTCAAGGACGTACCAGTTTCGGTGGGCACCACAGCTGGCCGATATCAAGCGTCAAGCCGAGGAGAGTCCCGAAGGCGAGGATTTATGGGCTTCGCTCAATGGTGTTATTAGTATCTCGCCTCTGAAAGCAAGCTTCACTGCAGTCGATATCCAGAATTGATCTACAAGGCTCTCGCATGACTAACGGGCCCAGTTTTACAGTGATTTTACGTTTTATAGTAAACATGAGATCATAGACATAGAGAAATAGATGAATAGACAGGCCTCGGCCACCAGATTCAGGTAGACACACAACCGTTGGTGCTATCTTCAATGAAGATGCCTCCATAGATCTGACCTTCGTCCAAGTTACTCGACTGGTACCCCGAGTTAACAACGTCATCGGTTCCTGTGGGTTTCTTCAGAATCCCAATCTGGTATTGGCCGTTGCCCGCGAGATTGGCTGAGATGGCCTCGCCTTGCTTCTCGAGGGGTGCGTCCTCAGCCGAGTACCAAACCTGAATTGTACTGAGGCACGTCAGTATCTCTCTCGCGTTTTCTCTCTGCGACCAAAGGCTTACTTTTGATCAAAGTCCAACGTCAATGCAAAATTCTGCCACGAGCCGTTTGCCTCCATGGGTGTCGACCAAAGCTGCTTGTTATTTCGATCCAGGAGCTTAAAGGTGTCCTCGGCCAAGCCCGTCTGGCCGATGATGGTGCCGACTTGGAAATTGAACTGGTTCGCATCGTACGCCGCCGTCTCGTGCCAGACATTCTTGGTCAAGCTCAGTCAGCCAACTCATACTTAGGGTTCAAGGCATGCCTAGAATTCAACGTACGAGGTACTCATGCGTCAGATTCAACGGCCTCTCTAAATCCTGCTTCACGCTGAAATGCAGCGTCTTGACCCCCACATTCGCGGGGCTGCCGTTGTTCGCGTCCTTGCTAAACTGCAATCCCGCCCGCCGGAAACCACGCTGGTTCATGAAGATGCTCTCGTCGGATATCGTCACCTCCAGAGCTCGCGTGTCCGAGTCCTTATCGAAGCGGGAGGGGCCGGTATCCGGAAGGACAATGATATCGGACCACAGAAGGTTCGCGCCCTTGACGTACGAGGGGTTGAACGGGTTCCAACCGCCGCCGGAGGCGACATCGAAGTCGGCTACAAGAGCGTTGGACGGAACTCTGCCATCGAAGACCAAGGGGCACCGAATTATCGAGCGGCATTTCAGGGGCTTGGACAGCGCCTGGGCCGCAAGGAGGGTTAGGATTGTTAGAGCGTACATTCTGGTGGTGATAATGGCTCTGCAAGAAGGCCAGAGGTATGTAAGTGAAAAAGCCAGACTTTCACTCGGTAAAGGAAATATAGCCATTTTTGTGGCCATTTTCGACACACGGCAAATAGAATGGCAAATTAGAACCTCCGTATAATGTCCTAATCCAACGACGGCGGTCTGACTCCGACGACGCGGGATAGCTGCGCTTTCATCCTAGCGAATGGCCATATCCTCGTTCCCTGGTGGTTGGGTTACCCCGCCAATCTCGGAGATCTGCTCTTCGCGTCGCATCGTGTAAATGAATTGCGTTTTGGAGAAGCTGCTGGGATCGCTGAGCCGGAACCGAGTCCTATTTGTCGTTTGCTCTGAGCGGTCCGGGTAAAGTCGTCAAGTCCCGATATTCCGCCCGTAAGCCGTTTGGCTAGTTGCTCATGGAGAGGAGAGCCAGCGAGGCCAAAGTCGTTCTCCTATGGGCACAGAGACCGCGAGAACCCTGCATAACGAATGTCAACCAGCAAGGCTGCCCTCTCCAGTTCGTCTTGCGCATGGCTGCAAACGGAGACTGCTCGGCGGGGACCGGGAGACAATTGAGCTCGCTGAACAAGACAAACAGACAAGATGCCAATAAAAGCACAATTTCGACAAGTAGGAGTTGCCGATTGTTGCTTGGATGAGGATCAATTAAACCCTCAAAAGTGCCGTGCGAAGCTTTTTCCTGAAGCACGCGACTGCTCAAAAACATCGCATCTCGCGGCGGCTAGGCACTTGACATCATCTTACACACGAACAAGCCCGCATCCCAAACCGAAGAATCCCGGTGAGCACGGAAATACAGGGGATCGCAAGGCTCGATACCGTAAACCACCGATCAGCTGTCTCACCCGCTCAGTAGTGCCCTGCCAAGAGCCACCGGACAGCCTGATCTGGGGCGCGGGAATGCACTAGCCACTCGGGACCGTCGTTTCTGCCTCTCGTCGATGCAGATACGAAATACGGTTCGGGGCGGGGCCAATGGCGAGACTGCGCCTGCGCCGGGTGGGGCCGATTGTGATGCCCGACTTACCAGCTTGTTGCTGGCCTCATAGTTTTACAGCGAGGAAAGAATAGAGACGTGAGGATATTCCTAAAGGTGAACATGTTTTTCTCTCCATGGCGGAGAAGTATATAAGCATCCTGGATTCTAGGCCCTGTGGTAATCTTTGGAGCTGTACCTCATCCTTTTTGCGAACATAAACAGACTACTATCGCTTTACCAGCATATCAACAATAGCATTACTCAAGGCATCGCCTTCACTTACAAACTTTACCATCATGAGCTTCACTAGCAGAAAGTCCGACGCCAAGATGGACGATGTCGCCCACATCCCACCTGAGCTGTCCGACCTCCACTGCTTTACCGAGACCGGCGGCGTCATCACCACAAGTACATCTCACTCACCACGAGACTCACCAGTAATAGATGGCAGCTAACAGTTACTCACAGCAATGTTTGACATCCCGGGATACCGCGTCGTTCGCACCCTGGGTGCGGTATACGGTCTCTCGGTACGATCTCGCAACATCGCCGCGAGCCTGGCAATGGTAATCAAGTCGTTGGCGGGCGGCGAGCTGCGGTGGTTCACGACGATGCTTTACAACTGCCGCAACGATGCGCTGGGCCGCGTCGTCAACGAGTGCAAGCAGCGCGGTGGCAATGCCATCATCTGCCTGCGCTTCGACGCTGCGGACCTGGGCGGTTATGCGCAGACGTGCGCCTACGGTACTGCGTGCGTGGTCGAGAAGATTCACGATGACGAGGCTGTTGCGCCGCAGCTTACTCACCATCACTAGAATGTGTGAGCTGGATGGATGAGGAGAGGGTGTGTTGTAATGGTTTCAATTGCGTGTGGTTTTGGGGGGGGGGGGGGGGGGGGGGGGACGTTTAAGGGTGTCGATGCGAGGTTGATACCACTTTGTATTTTTTCCCTTAGGCTTGTTTTCATAGGTGTTTTGAAACTCGATAGACGGTGTTTAATGATTTTGAGTGTTTTTACATCAGCTTTCCAGAAAAGTAATTGAGGATTGGCTCAATGAGAATCAGTCAGCATTGAGCTATATATGTTCTCATGAAAATACTTTTTGTTCGAGTGCAAGTGGCAGTTCTCATTGACTGTGCAAACGAGACTTCTCTTTTCCAACTAATCAAGACCAACCAACCTGCCTGAAATGGCCTTCAGAGCGGTCTTGCATCAAGCCGAAATCCTTCTACAAGGGCCGGCAGCTGCTCTGGGCACGATAAGGCATAAATATGCACTGCTACCCCTTCCAGCGGGGCAGGCCCGTGCAGAACCCGTCAATCAGGTGCAGCAGTTCGCAGTGCGCTTAGTGTGATTACTGTAGCTGGTCTCGTCCCAAATGCCCGGCTAACACCAACTGGGAATGTAACAATTGAAACGGGCCAAGTCCACCCTGCCGCACTCCGCATCCGTGAATAGAGCTCTTCCGTTCCATTGGGAGGACACGCACTACCGTGTACTACGCATTTTGGAGGGGGGCCCTGCAGCAGCACCGCGACACTAAATTCCAGGCCAGCTAAGCCAAATCCACCCGCCACCACTAATCCCCCTCCGAACAGATCCCCCAGACCAGGGGTCCGCCGCCGAAGCATACGAACTCCAACTTTCCAGATTGCCCTTTGTTTCCGAATCCCAGCAATAGTTGGCTCGCCACTCCACGATCTCTCCCACCTACAACAAACACACACGCACACCCCCTCCGGCGCCCTTTGACCCTCTCTACCTTTACCCTTTCCCCCTCTTCTACTTCACATCCGTCTCGAGACTACGCTCCGATCCATGGGGTGTCGTCGCGTCCTTCCAATTCCAAAATAGGGCTGAAGCTGCCTCGAGACAGCATGCCGTTTCACGTCATAACCAAATCCAAGTAGTTTCGATCCCATCTTTTTCCTCTATCCTCCCTTGGCTCCATATCAGGGCCCGCCGAGGCATCAGTCTTTACAATGGCCGCTCCATCCGTCGCTACCGCCTCTCGTCAACCGACCGACGCCGAGGACAACAGGATGTCCCACGAGTCGTCCATCTCGAGTGTTTCCACCACGAGCCTCGTTTTCGAACGCCTGCACGAGCAGACTGAGAAGGCTGCGTACTCCTCTTCGTCCGCCTCCCAAAGACGCCGCACTCCGTCTACCTCCCGCCCTGCCTATGCCGACAATCCCGACGACTTCGACGACGAGAATGACGTTAAGGAATCCGATACGAATGACCCCGAGACGGGGCCGTTAATGGCATCTACCGGCGTAGGCCGCCGCGTCGGCATGGACCGCGGGCTCAAGAGGGGGCTATTGCTGTTGGCCGCCGCCTTCATCTTCGCATGGGGAACTGCCCTGTTCGTTTTTCTGTCCAACAAGTCTTATAAGCACGGGAGCCAGGTCGACCACGACCCGTCGGCCACACAGCGCGGGTCCGGAAAGCCGGTGACGCTGGACCAGGTTATGTCCGGTTTCTGGTCGCCGTACTCGCACTCGATTAGCTGGATTGAGGGACCGAACGGCGAGGACGGATTGTTGCTTGAGCAGGGCGCCCGGGGCAAGGACTATCTCGTCGTGGAGGACGTCAGGTCGGGCAACAAGGAGGCTCGTCAAGTGGCTGTTGATGTTGTCCAGAGTCGCACGCTTATGAAGAACCCCTGGATCGACTACAATGGCAAGCAATTGACGCCATTCGAGACCTGGCCAAGCAAGGACATGAAAAAGGTGCTGGTCGCGACCGGCCGCCAGCACAATTGGCGCCACTCCTTCACTGCACTGTACTGGATCTTTGATGTCGAGACTCAGACTGTTGAGCCGCTCGATCCTGAAAACGACTCCGGCCGGGTACAGCTTGCGACTTGGAGCCCGCAGAGCAATGCCATTGTCTTCACAAGAGACAACAATCTCTACTTGAGGAATCTGGATAACAAGAAGGTGACACAGATCACCAAGGATGGTGGCCCCGAGTACTTCTATGGTATCCCTGACTGGGTGTATGAAGAGGAAGTCTTTGCCGGCAATAGCGCGACGTGGTTTTCTCAAGATGGCAAGTTCATCGCTTTCTTGCGCACGAACGAAACGGGCGTCCCGGAGTATCCCCTGCAATACTTCCTTTCTAGGCCAACCGGCAAGACGAAGCCTCCCGGCGAAGAGACGTACCCCGACGAGAAGCGCATCAAGTACCCTCGTGCGGGCAGTCACAACCCTGTAGTGGACGTGTTGTTCTATGACGTAACGCGAGGCGACGTCTTTTCAGTTGACATTTCCGATGCATTCCCCGACGACGATAGACTCATCAACATGGTCCTGTGGGCTAACCAGAAGGTCCTAATCAAGGAGACCAACCGTGTAAGTGATATTATGCGGGTGGTCCTCGTTGATGTCGTAGCTCGCACTGGCAAGACAGTAAACACTATCGATGTCGGCAAAATCGATGGTGGATGGTTCGAGATTTCTCACGAGACCCAATTCATTCCTGCTGATCCAGCCAATGGAAGGCCTGAGGATGGCTACGTCGATACGGTTATCCACGACAACGGCGACCACATTGCCTACTTTTCCCCGATGGACAACCCTAAACCCGTTTACCTTACCTCGGGTAACTGGGAAGTCGTGGACGGCCCCTCTGCAGTCGACTTGAAGAACAATCTGGTGTACTTCGTATCAACCAAGGAGTCTTCAATCCAGCGCCACGTCTACAGTGTCCACCTAAACGGCTCCGATCTCAAGCCCTTCACCGACACCAGTCTAGAGAGCTACTACGGCATCTCCTTCTCCAGCGGCGCAGGCTTCAGTCTTCTGTCCTACTATGGCCCCAAGGTCCCCTGGCAAAAGGTCGTTAGCACGCCTGGCAACCCCGTTAAGTATGAGCACATTGTTGAGCAGAATACTGAACTCGCCGAGAACGCCAAGAAATATCAACTTCCCATCCTCAAGTACGGCACCATCAAGGTCGACGACGTTGAGCTCAACTACGTGGAGCGGCGTCCGCCCCACTTCAGCGAGAAGAAGAAGTACCCCGTTCTTTTTCAACAATATTCCGGACCAGGTTCGCAGTCTGTGAGCAAGAAGTTCTCCGTCGACTTTCAGTCCTACATCGCCTCCGCGTTGGGCTACATCGTCGTCACCGTTGACGGCCGCGGCACGGGTTTCATTGGGCGGAAAGCGCGCGTGGTTGTCCGCGAGAAGCTTGGACACTGGGAAGCCCACGATCAAATCGCCGCCGCGCAGAACTGGGCTGCCAGGAAGTACGTCGACCCCTCCCGCATCGCCATCTGGGGCTGGAGTTACGGCGGCTTCAATGCGCTCAAGACGCTCGAGATGGACGGCGGCCAGACCTTTAGCTACGGTATGGCCGTCGCGCCCGTCACCGATTGGCGGTTCTACGACTCCATTTATACCGAGCGCTACATGCGCACACCACAGCTGAACCCCGACGGCTACAAGCAGACGGCCATCACCAACGTCTCGGCATTGGCGGGCAATGTGCGCTGGTTGATGATGCACGGCGTCTCCGACGACAACGTGCACTACCAGAGTACCCTTACGCTCCTAGACAAGCTCAACCTCGAGGGTATTGAGAATTATGACGTTCATGTTTTCCCCGATAGCGACCATGGTATTTACTTTCATAATGCGAACAAAATTGTTTACGATAGTAAGTCTCACAATTCCTCCTGCGCCCTATTTTCCCCGTAGCTGTGGCTAACAAAATCCACGCAGAACTCAGCAACTGGCTCATTAACGCCTTCAACGGGGAATGGCTCAAGATCACCGACGCCAAGCCCGTGATGGAGCCTAAAGAAAAGGAACGTAGCCTGACCGCATAGATCCCAGTGTGTTTGTGCGTGTGTGTGTGTTAATCTAGCCGGCTTCAATCCATAGAAAGAGCAGACCAACATTAAAAAAAAAATGAGAGGAGTCCTGGGGTTTTTGATCCTGTTTTTCATGAATACTTTGTTTCAACTATTGTACGGCATGTTAGAACGGCATGGCATGTAAGGAAAAGACGGATGGGGTTTCATATATATACACTAGTAATAGCGATAAATCACCTTTTGCGAATTCAGCATTGGGTCATCTGCGTGTCCTTATTTTTTTTTTTTTGGCTCTCAGTTTTCGGGTTTCAACATGTCATCTCATTCAAAGTGATACCTGGATGGCACCCTACCGCGATCCTAAGCCATTGCCATATCCCGCCACCATCAGATCTTGCGACTATTGTAGGTACCGGCGGGATCCATGTCTTTGACTCAGACCTGGATCGCTAGACATTAGTTGCTGGGTCACTGCCATTATAGAATTCCACGAGACCAGGTTACGACACGTCAAGTCATCAGATGCTGTCCCGTCACTACGCATCCTGCACATGAGTATTCATAAAAAAAAATCAACATCAATAGACTATCATACAGTTGTGGGCGCAAGCTTCAGGCTCGCAATATCCCTAAATCGGTAATGGCGAGTCTAGGTTCGTTTGTGCAAATAATGAAACTCGCACATCTCCATTGTTCCCTCACATAACAGTCATCCGCCTGCCTGAAAAGCTCATCCGTCCAGAGAGCAAAGAAGATACGATTACAGGGTACCCTCGGATAACACAACGCCTCCGTCCGCGTTCGTAATTTTTTTTCTTTTTGGCAACTAGCACGTCGGTCTGAGTGCTAAATATCTCATGTCGCCTGTAGCCATAGGATGTGGCGACATGGACAACGGTTGCTGCCACAGTTGCTGCTGCTGCTGCTGCTGCTGAGGCACATACGTCCAACAATAAATGGGCACCCTCGTCTAGAATCCAAAGCCAGTGGGCTGAGGTGCGAATCCGTTTGTCTGACCATATGGCGCAGGAGAGCCACCGCCCATGCCGCCGGGACCGGCGGTGATCATGAGACGGTTGCCACCAAGAATAGGAGTGTTGTCCTCGTCCTTCTCCTTCTCCTTCTCCTTGCTCTTGCGGGCCTCGTTGTCGGCCTTGAGGGTCGCCAACTCCTTAGTTTGCTGGCACAACATGTTGATCATGTAGGGCATGGTAAAGTCGTTGAGGCCGTGGCGCCAAGAGATCTCCAACACCAGATCGGGGCGAATGAGATCGTAGCAGGAGTAGAGCATACCGACGTAGCACTCGCGGCTGCCAATATCGACGAACTAAATGTGACGTTAGTAGATGTAGAATTTCTTCAACAACATGTGAACTTACGTATCGGAGCAGGTCCTCCACAACATCGGTCTTGGCTGAGATGGCGGCGGTTTCGATGGCATCCTTGAAGAGCTTGTCTTGCTTGGAGAGGGCAATGGACTTCTCCCACCGCTTGTTCTTGCGGTAGATGCTAGCAGCAATCTGGCGGAAGAAAATCAAATCGTGCTTCTCCAGGCGAGCAGCAAGCTCAACGGGGTCGTAGTTGTCGTAGTTCTCAACAGAGTCCCGCAGAGTCTTGTAGTCTTCCTCTTCGATCAAGAGGTCGTTGATGGCGTTGTTGACAGTACGCTTGTTCTGTGACTGGACGTTGATGAGGAAAGGCTTGATGAGCGGCAGGTTGTCGCTCTTCTCGAACATCTTGACAACACGGTTGACATCAATGCGAGGTGTAAGCGCCTGAAGGAGATCAGTAAGCAGAGAGGGGTGCTGCTCGAGGTAGAAGTTGATGGCGCGGTAGTAGATCTCCAAATTGGCCACCTTGACAACGATCTCCTTGAACTGCTGGTGCTCCCACGAGTTCTCGGGGCGCTCAATGACAGCCAGAGCAGCATTGTCAAACTCATCGTAGTGGTAGTAGCAGAAGACCAGTTCGGGCCAGAGGTTTGCCTCCTCGCAAGCACGGATGATCTTGGGCAGGTTCATTCTGCTCCAGAAAAGCTTCAGATGCTCCATCAAACGCTCGGGATGATACTTGGAGAGCGCGATACCGAGCTCAGTGAACATACCCATGTGGGCACGCTCCAGACCCAAGCCCTGTTCCAAAAGGCTGATGAGCTCATCAAAGTATCCGTTGCGCTCGTACTGCTTGACAAGAGTTTGAAGCTGCTCGGCATCAACAATAAGGTTAAGACCGCAGATCTGGGCAAGGCGGAACTCCTTCTTCTCAACACAGGCCTCGTGCACCTGCTTCCAGACCTTGATGTTGTTGGCCTTACGGGCGCACTCAACAGCAGCCTGGTACTCCTCGAGGTGGACAAGAGTAGTAGCCAGCTTGGCCCAGTTGGAGATGCTGGTGTAGAAGATCTTGGAAGCCTGGTAGAGACCCTCCTCATAAGCCTTGTCTCCAGACTCCTCAATGTTGGCAACGTTAGTGCCACGAAGGAAGTCCTCCAGCTCGCCAAGCTCGTCCATACGGGCATAGCAGAAGGCTAGAGCGGTGTCGATAGCCGGCTCACGCAGCGTCTTTCTTGCCATGCGCAAGTACTTGACGAGATCCTCATTCTTGCCGGCGTGAACAGCAGTCTCGATAACTTCCTCGTAGTTCTTGGGGTCCTCGGCCTTGATGTAGGACTCAATAGAGTCGCTGACGCGGAGACCGTCGAGCTGTGCCTTGGCGACCTTGCTCCAGACCTCGGGAAGATCAACCTCCTCAGCGTAAGCCTGGGCACGGTCAATGCTGACGACGTTCTCAACTAGAACGTTGACGGCGGCGGACTTGTCGCCAGTCTTCTTAAAAATCTCGAAAGCCTCCTCGTGGAGACCGACGTCGATACAGGCGGAAGCAATATCGGGAGCGCTGAAGTTGTCCAGACGCTGAATGTAGTCCATAACCTTACCCTTGTCGGCCTTGGCAGCGGTAAAGAGCAGGAGGTTCTGGAGGTTGGCGTTGTCGCTAAACGGCGAAGGCTCGAGCACAATCTTCTCAAGCAGCTCAATGAGCTCCAGAGGAAGGTCGCAAGCCAAGAAGGCAGCAACAGCTTCAGAGACCTTGGAAGGGTCGGTAGACTCAGGGACAGCAGTAGCGTTCACCTGGTCGATGACAGAGCGGCGGTGAATGTTGTTCTCGCTAAGCACAAAGGTCCAGAGCTCGCGGTCAGCCCGCTCGAGCAGGTAGCGGGCCTGGTTGCGGTACATGCCATTCTCGTTTGTGATGTTGACAAGCTCAAGGTCGTTCTGACCCTTGGAGTAGGCAATGAAGGCCAGGTTGGGGTCGCGCTTCTCGCAGTACTTACCGACGACCAAAGTGTCGTATTGATCGTTCTCCTTGAGGAACTTTTCGGGGTTGTTGTTGGAGTCGATGTAAATCTTGGCAAGAGCGTTGTAAACAGCCTGTTGCTGGTTACCGGCGGCCAAGGTCGCCTCGAGGAAGGGCAAGAGGAGCTTGAGGCGGTTGCGCGTCTCAACCTCAGACACAAGCTCATCAATGGGAATCGAGGCGGGGTTGACGGTCGACAGGAGGTTCTTGATAATGCTCTCGTCGCAGTCGACGTCCAAGAGGCCGCCAATGACGGCGGGCGTCCGGCTAGGGTTGACGCGCTGGACGTATGTCTCAATAGACTTGAATTGCTGTTGCTGGTAGAGGTAGAGAACCAAGTCGTGGACGAAGTTGAAGCGGTCGCAAACAATAATAAGAGGAAGCTGCTCCTGGAGCTTGGCCTCCTTCAGGAAGTTCTTGACCTTCTCGGCGTTGTAGTAGTTGCTGTCTCTGCAAATGCGCTCAACCTCGTTGAACTGGCCCATCTTCGTGGCGGCCTCAATGTACTTGAAGTGGACATCGGGGTCCTCGGACAGGTTGACAATACTGCCGAGGTAGTAGAAAAGACCCTCAGCAGTCTTGTACTTTTCGAACAGGTCAATCAGCTGAACAGGACCGAGAAGATCAGAGTACTTGGTGGCAACTTGAACAACAGACTGCAAGTTCTGGCGGATGTTGTGCTTCATCATGGCGTCCAAGCAGTCCAGGGACTGCTCAACAGACAGCTTGCCGAAGAAACCGGTCAACCAGTCCAGGTTGAAGTTGGGAGTGGCCGCAATGTTGACAACAACACGCTTGACGGCTGCGGGGTCCTCGTAAAGCTCCAAAGCCTTCTGAGCCAAGCCAGCCTGTTCGCAAAGAGTCGCGATCCTCGTCTTGTCGAAGTGCGAGAACATATCGTTTCCGAGGATGGCATCGGCAACTTGCGGGGCGTTCATCAGGTTCATCTCCAAGAGACGAGTCTGAAGGTGGCCCTGGTCAGGTCGGTTGTCCTTGAGAGCATCCAGCAAGAATGCAGTTGCTTGCTGAATCATGCCCTGGGATTGGAAGATGTCGACCACTCTCTCGATATCAACCAGAGAGCCACCCTCGTGGTTTGCGAGGGCTGTGGCGAACTCCGCTCCCTTCTCAGGGTTAACACGGACAATGTGCTGAAGAAGCTGCACATAATCGGGCTGGTAGCCAACCTGGGCGGCGTAAGGCAGGATCTTCTCGAACTGACCCGTCTCCGCAAAGCCAGCAACAACCTTGTGGGGAACGTTGGCCTTGAGATACATGGTAAGGGCCATGTTCAGGTCGTGGGGGCGAACGAGATCACCGAGTCTCTCAGATGCAGTGAGCTTGCCCTCCTTCTGCCACTTCTCCAGCAGGTTAAGACGGTTCTGGGCAAGGACAGGCTGAGCCAGTTCAATAGACTCGTGCTCGTTGAGCGCGCCCTTGTCAAGCAAGAGACCAAAGTATTGCAAGACATACGACATCTGGCCAGGTTGTTGGGGAAGAGCCTTGAACTTCTCGATCGTCTCGGCGGTCCTGAGGAACTGGCGAGGAGAGTTGGCTGCAACCTTGGCCGCTTCCATGAACTGACCGCTGTTGAATAGCTGCTCGAACTGGCGGGCGTACAGATTATCAGCACCAGGGAGGCCAGCTCGTGATGCCATCTTGATAGCCATGTCGGTGTTGGCCGGGTTTTGCAGAAGATAGGGGATGACATTGGCGTCGTCGATCGAGACGAAGAGCACCTGACCCTTGCGGTTGATACCGACGATGCCGCGAGATTCATCGTCAGGGCAGGTCGTAAAAATGGTGTCACTGGAGATGCGGTTCATAAAGATACAGGCAGCAGTCTCGAGGTCATAAACGTGGATGAATCCATACTTGGTAACCATGAAGATGACACCATACTTTTGGGACACCTGCATAGCTACCGGGAAATCGCTAACGGCTTCCGGAGGGAAGAAAATGTCGACCGCCTTTTTCTGGAAAACGGGGTTCGATTCGGCGTGGTCGACCTCGACGATGTGCAGCTTCGCGCCAGTTGCTGTCCTCACAGCGAAAGTGAAGAGCTTGGTATCTGCGGGAGCACCCTCCAGGCGCAGGGTGCCGAAGGCGGCAGCATGACCCTCAATAGCTTGGCTGATACCGCGGTCCTTGGAGTACAGCTGCATGGAACCGACGACGCGGCCCTGTTGTTGGGAAATACCGACGACAACCATCCACTTGCCTTCGGCGTTGGTTCGGTAGTTAATAATTTGGCAGCCCTGCGAGTTAACTGATTAGCTTGTGCAACGGCAAGACGCATTTCGAAGAGGCCTTATGAACGCACATTAAGGTTGGCATTACGCTTGAAAACCTCGACAGGCGCAGCCTGGGTGGCGTCGTAGACGTCCCAATGGTAAACGGCTGAATCTGTAACCAGGCCCAACGAGGTCTCGCTGATCCACTTCCAGTACTGGACATCCTCGTTCATGGTTGTAGACTTGAGTTTTGCCTTCTTCTCAAGGTCGAAGATCTGGAGTGTTCTCGATTGCGCCTTGAGGGCGATGACTTGCTTGGACCAGTGCATAATGGCGCTGTCGGCCTTGATAGGGCGTCGTGTAACATTATTGCCGTTCTTCAGGTCGACGATGACGACTTCGGGTTGGGCAGCCTCGTTCTTCTTTTCCCGGATGCACACAAACGAATCTGACTCCAGTGTCTGGGAAAGATAATGTCAGCGGAAATGATGCCATTGACGATGTGGATAGGTTAGGTCAGGTAGCAACATACGCAGGAGTTGAAGCCGATCGAAGCATCTTCAACACCGGCAGTTTGGAGCTGGATCAGCTCCTGGAACTTGATAGGTAGAGGCGCCATAATGGCGGTAAATGTCGCAGGAAGCTTCCAGATGCAAAACCGTGCCTTTCAAGCTAGGCGTCGTTTATTCCAAGTGGTGGATTAGGCTATCGTCGGGGGTCGCGGGAATTCGTGGCAGGCGACGTGGTGCTGTGGAGTGAGGGAAAGGAGTAAGGAGCTGGACGAGCTTCCTTGCAACCCGAATGAATGCGCAAAAGGCAATTAATGCAGGGAAACAAAGAGCAAAAAGGATGAGATGTGGATTCCGGCTACGATGCACCTCTCAGTGATGGCAATCTGGAGGGCAAACGGTGATGATGGTTTGTTTGGGAGGTGGAGGGAATGGGAAAGATGGGTACGGGATACGTAGTGCGTGTGAGAGAGACGAGAGTGGAAGGTTGGAGATTATTTTAGGTAGGACGTTACCTGGCCTGGCCTGCCCGGTTCCTTCCAGGTTGTTGCGCACTGAACTTGTTGCGCGACACCCAATGGAAGGTGGTGCTTGCACGCTGTTTGCTGTCCACTGCTGGCAGCTGTGCTTGCCGCTCTTGCTGTCCTTAGCCGGGATTTGTGTGGCCTGTGCTTGTGTCCGTACCAGAAAGGTGCTGTCACGTGGTATTCTTGCTGAGGTGGCCGCTTCCAGTTCAGGTTGCAGTTTCCGGAACGACATTTGGCCGGATGCGGGATGACATAATCAACCATGCCCTTGTATCTGTGTTTCCGTGTTTGGACCTGAAGCCATTTCAGGGTCCAAACACTGGGGCGAAACAAGGCGCTATTATGTTGCAACAGTACAGAATATGTTCGCAGGCAGAGGAAAGAATGGAGACTACCCGGGCCTTCCCAATTCTCCCCGAAGTGAGACAATTCTGTCTCAAATACAGTCTGCGCAGGAAAAGATACGGGAAGCAGCACGCGCTTGTCATCTTGAGAGCGCAACATTAGGCATCTATATTGCATGATGTTTTAAGTTGGGACCAAGAGCATCGACATATTACCAGAGAACTGTGTCAACTTAATCTTTACCGCCTCGTTCAGGTCCATGTTGCTGGCAGCTGAAATCAGAGGGGAAATATCAGGTTCATAAGATTCAGCAGTGGTCTAGAAGGAAGTAGAGCCGACAGTGTCTGCGGCCGCAGAGACGACGCTGGGCATGTTGAACCCCCTACCTTCATAGCTATGACTAAGTGACAGTTGCGAATCAAAAAAAAGAGATAAAGTACGATCGATCCATGTGCAGTGAACAGAAAATGATGTGCTGATCTACGGAGCAGGCCTTGAGTGTGTTGTGTGAGTGACAAAGAGAAAATTTTAGTCTACGGGAGGGCAGGCTATTCTCCGAGAAAATGACAGGACTATGTATGAGAAATGAACAGAGAGATCTCTTTTTTTCCGTGCAATGCCTTCCAAATCGTGGCAGGTGCATCCAATATCTAGCTGGGTCAGGTCAAGCTGCGATCTGCCTAGCCTTCCGGAAGGTTGCAGCATACAGTGCCAAGCAGCCATTGCCCAGCATCATTGAGGGCGCAACAAAATGAACCCCCATTATTCGGGACATGACCGCGCAGCGGTTCAAGTCTGTCCGATTGATATATAGCTCAATATCCTCTTAATCCTCTCCACGCGCGACAAGGTATCCAAAGTAACTTCGTCTACATGAGCAATCTCCAAGCACCAAGCAGCAAGGCAGCAAAACCAGTGCACACGCCCATCAGCCACTGTAGCGTTTGGAACTTGACTTGCTCCAGCTTCTCTCTCAGAGCCGCAACCTCTTGTTCTATCTTGGTCTCTGTTTCCTTGATTTTAAGCTCCTGGCCGACAGCCTCCTCGCGAATGCGTCCCTTCTCCAGGTTAAGGTCTAGCCGCACACTGGCCTGGGTACGTCCGATCTCGTCGCGCAGCCGCGAGCTCAACTTCGCAATATCGTTTGCCAGGCGCTCATGGGAGGCGCGCGTTGTGCTTGACTCGGTGCTATCGGCGGATAGAAGCTCGGATCGCAATTTGGCGAAGTCGACCTTTTGCGTGTAGGTGGCCTTGGCGGCGTCTTCGCGAAGGACCATTGTTCGGGTGAGGTTCTGTATGCTGGAGGGGTAGTGAGCAATGAGAATTCCGAAAGGCTAAGTGGTGATGGCTTATACCTCTCTTCGATTACATCGTTCAGAACCTTCATCATGGCCTCGGCTTGCTCTTCCGTGAAGCCATCCGACTTGAGACGCTGTACAAACTTGAGAGTGTCGAAGTGATGATCTCGTTGCCTTGTGGGAGTCGCGTGGAATGATCTCTTGATAACGGGATTCTCAAGCATCGATGGGCTTCTGCGGTTGGAGTTGCTAGAACGGCATCGCTGGGATCGGTTTGCGCTGCGGAAGACATCCGGCTGGCTATGCATTTGTCGGCGGGAGCTCGGAGGGTAGGCCGAGAGGGGTCGCAAGACTTGGGAAGCTGTTGAAGGTCCAATCCAGCTCAGTCTAGGAAGTAAGAACCTCGGAAGGGCGTCCGCAGCCATTATTGCTGGTTTGACCATTTTGGACGACTATTCTGTGTTGTGGAAGGAAATCAAGGGGGAAGCGGGAGATTGAGTCTCAAAGACCAGCTCGGGAAATGGATACAGTCGCTGGCAGCGAGTGACGGCATGTTGTTGCAGATGACCCACTCTAGAGTTAACCTTGCCGAAGACCGGCCGCGGGTGTCAGCAACTGAAAGCGCAGGGTCGATTGGACCCTCTCCAAGGCGGCTTCCTACCCACCACTTGGGTCGGCCAAGGGCAAATCTCATGAATGCCTGAGGCACAAATCTAAAATTCTCTTCGCGGCTACAAAAGTAGACCTCCACCGAAAATCTTCTGTTGTTCTTTTCCTTTCTTCTTCATTATTGAACAACGCAAAATATCACATTCATGTTCTCGTGAAATTTCTGGTGTGAGGTTCGCTTGACGAGCCCAAGACCATCGGATACGGAGATCGAAATGGAGAAGGAAGCGAACAATCTTGGGTGCGGTGCTCCTCTGCCTTCGGGCCAGTGAGGAGGACCGCAATGATTGAACGTACATATTTCGACCGCATTTTATAGTTTGTGTGTATGCGGTCTGTCGGAAAGCGATGCTGTCTTAAGCAGCTGTGATCTGGCTTATGAGGAAGATCATCAATTCTCGCCATCGTAGTGTTGCCACGACGTTGATGTCGTTCCTCCTAGAAGACATGTCTGGAACGCCCGTTCTCGAGTTGTTGAAAGTCAAACTGGATTAAGACAGCACACGCACTGTCGTCCATCTCGCAGGAGCATCAAGCTCGAGCATTGTGCCAAGACTATGGTTTTATCTTCCCGTGGCCATTGGAGGTAAAATGCCCTCGAGGCAAAGCCCATATGGCTTTGCACCAGGTACTGGCGCAGGACACGCCCGCCGATTTTAATCCTGCTTTTGATCACGACGCGGAAGATGAGGCAACAAACACGGGCCTTCATCAATAGTTTTGTATGCAATATTATCCGTACAGAACCGGCAATCCTGATGGGTTTTCTTCCACTGGTCTTGGGCTTTGCAAACATTACTGCACACAAAGAGAAGTAAAACATAGAGGAGTGGCTCTTTTCGCCAAAGATTTTATTATCTGCCATTGACAATGACGAGAGCATTAACTGTACCAACGGCTCAACACCACCCCCAGAACAGGGTCAAAGAGAATCTATGAAGAAGGGATACTCACACGTTTACCGCAATCTTTGTGGCACCCATTCTGCCATATCAAAATCTTAGCATTGCGCAAGAGAACAGCAAACTTTGCTCAAAGTTGATAAGAAACATCGTGGCATACTGCCGCCCTCTGTTGACACAGGATGCTTGAAGTCGAGACATCTAGTCAGCCGTAGCAAACGCGCATCTTAGTCAAGGTCAAGGGTTGCAACAAGGGACTGCGCGGCGTCCCTGATGGCAGAAAGATCGCGGGTAGCCTTCCAGCAAGGCTGATCAGGTGAGCGGCACCATGGCTCAGTCTCGCGTTTAGTGACAGTGTTGATCTCGCTAGAAGTAGCGTCTTCATCATCAGCAATAGCCTCGATGACCGCCTCGGCCGCGCGTTTGATTCTCCAGCACGGTTGCCCACGCTGAAGGCACCAGTCCCTGTCCTCGCCAGGGATGCCTCCTCTCTCAGTATTCGTGTTGATGTCGCGCTTCCAGCAAGACTTTCCAGGATCACGACACCAGGGGTCCGCCTTGGGTTCAGCAATAGCCTCACGGAGCGTGACAGGTTTAGTATCCTCGGAAAAGCGCTTCCTCATCTCCAGCTTATTGTAATACTCGGCAGGATCATCCTGCGAGACTGCAACGGCGTGAGCGAGCTCGTCAATGCCGCGTTTGGCCATGAAAGCAGCGCCGCCTTCCGAATGAGAGAGAAGGGCCTCTATAGAGTCGTCGACACTAACATTGTCAAACTTGGCAAGAGCGTTAGAGAAGGCGTCGGCGGCGCGCTTAGCCTTCCAGCATGGTTGGCCGATTTTGTGACAACGGGCTTCGTCATCAGGAATGGCGACAGCATTGGCGGCAACGACTGAGGCAATAATGGTGATTAGGAACTTCATATTTCTTGCGACTGCCTTGCTGGAGAGATTTGTCGAGTAACGAAGAAAGGAGAAAGGCGATGATAGAGAGCCAGGCTCACTGGATTTCAAGTAATGCCTGAGCCTGACAAAAGCGTGGACCTAAGCGAAGATAGACTGTTGCCGAAAGTAAACGTCGTCTTCATATATGCACATATCTCGAGGCCAGTCTTTCTTTTTGAGTTAAATATAGCTATCGAGGCGAATTCATGCTCGGCAATAAATTGAGTTGTTGTGACCAAGTCGCTTGATCCCTACGAACAAACATGACTTTGAACTAGAGAGCCAACACTTCAAAGGCATTCTCCCTGGGGCTGTTGTAAGGCGACGGAAACCCCTACATTTCGGAGAAAAATGCATTTGTGAATCAGGCAGCATGAAATAACACCAAAGTCTTCCAGTGGCACGGCCGCCCTCAGTTGCTCGTACAAGAGTGGAACAATGGTGGCAAGGGAAGCTATTCTGGAATTGCCTCTAACTCACCCTTTCATTCTCGAAGTTTCATGCCAAGATAGTCTTAAATCTCGCCCAAATACTCTATAGAAGTGGACATCTCAATATCATGATGATAATTGTTTGGACTTGAGCGATGTTTGATTGTCCAACGAGCCTTCTTTTGCTGAAGGGAACATGACAGATGGAGTAAACGCGATATCCATTACTGCCACACTCCACTCCACTATTTGGTTGACCCGAAACCTGAAACCAATTGGATCCGATACAAAGAAACGATTGAACATGTTCTCATCACCATGTCTTATTCAATTTTGTCCGGAACTTGCAACAAAACTAGTTCACCTTCACCAAAAGTAACCAGTGACACTTGGTAGCGCAACCAAGGGTCACTTTCGTGAATCAGTAGTTATGCAGTCTCTATTCAAATTTCAGATTTCAAAGCTCTGAATATGAGTGACGCTGTCACAACGGGCTAATACGTACGTCTGAAAGTGATAGCCGACGAAGCATGTTAGTAGTATAAAGCAAGAGACCAACGCCGATGTAGCCTTCGGCTTTGGTTGATTGAGCGACTCCTACGTTTCATACCTTGGGTTTGGTTTTTTTGTATTCATAACCGTATCATCCAGGTTCAGCATCAAGATCGACGCTTCATTCACGTTAAGATAGTGCAGTCAGTCAAGTTTTCTCATTCCAATCTTACTCGCCTCTCTGTCGCTCAGGATGACGCCTACAACTACGGCTACGATAGAATAGCTGGTTACAACAGACTTCCCAAAAACTTCTCTTTTCCTTTTGCCTATTCACAGTTGGACCTCTAAGGGAATACTTGTCTCTATCACGTCATCACTTCTGAGACGATGTTAGACACATTTGAGCTGGGGTGTAGCGTTTACAAAAAGTTGTATCCACCCGGGTAAATGATAGATAAATGGAGGCTGCTCAGCAATTTAGAATCGGGATAATACGTGTGAGATCTATGACGTATGGCAGCTCGATTTTGGGGATTGGTCGCACAAGAAATATTCGGAAGCAGCTGCCTACTAAAGCAGGATGTAGGCGTATATGCAAGCAATTAATTGGCTTCGGCATTCAGAATTTTTAACTGGCGGATGTTGATCATGGGGACACGCGGATATCGTTGTGTGATTGGCAATGGTGACGTTAATTCCGAATCAAGGTCATCCGTGCATTTCACGGACGAACGCTGGAATATCAGTGTTGAGGTTATCCAACGTTATTTGTTCATTAGATAACATCCGTTTCTGTCAACATTCAGCTGACGGCGTATTCTGAGGTTAGATTTAGATTTGAATCAGTGTTTAACACAATCAAACATTACCGTAGTGGGAGGCGACATACGGATAATGTGTTGAAACGTCATGGTTTTCTCCCAAATGCCATCCTAAGCTGCAGTGCCTTTGATGTCTGCATCGTTACACAGCAGGAGGCAAGTGTCTGGTTTAGGCAACAACCCCATGTTGATCAAATGTCACAATACAACCTGAATAAAAGAGACTGGCCACATTTTCCTCCCTCGCCTGCTCTAACACTGATAAGCAAAAGCTAAGATAACGGTTATGTAGCACCTTTTCGTGATGGAGCACCCAGATTGGAAGTTGTATGGCTGCTGGAGATAAGCAAAAAAAGGCCGCTTTTGTCAGCAGATACCCCCCCGGTCGTTGAGCCTAGTTCTCCCCCAGACTTGACTAGCAAGGGGGGTCGCTGAGCAATGTGCACACCGAGCTTCCTTCGGGTCTTGACGTGAGAAATTTAATGGCAAGTGTCATTGAGCTACAATGGAATAACTGCGGGGATTGAGTCATTTTCATTCGCTGCTCCAATTAGTGGCAATCAACCAAGTAGGAGAACGAGGCGCTCTGATCGGCACTGAGCAACGGTTTGTCTTAAATACACAAAAAGCTTACCGTTAACAACCTTCAATTGGGTTTCAGTCACAGATCGTCTGGCGCAACAATGCCATCTCACCAACGGCAGCACCCGATATCCCATCTCACAACACCAACAGCTGCATAGGATGAACCTTGGAGGTGTAATTGACGTGGGTGGCTCAGTGGCCACTGCAGATCGCTCGATGGTTAACTGATCAGGTGGAAATGTGCATGCTGCATGGTGGGTCGGCTGGCGGGCCGTCAATGCCGTTATTACCTGCTTCTGCCCCCAACCTCTGTGACCCCGCAACTATGCGTTCACTATCAGAAAGCACTCCTTTCTCGCTCTCTCATCTCAGATTTTTCTTTCACAAACTCCAAAATCCAGTCTGAGAGGAAGAAGGGAGATCTGGAACCGTGATATCATGCCTCAAAGAAAGGACAAGGACCCCAATGCGTTTCCCACCCGACAGCTACTTGTTCTTGGTAAATCACACCCTCCATCCTGCAGCACCGTTTTAACCTTTTTGTGCCGCTAACGCCATCCAGCAATATGTCGATTCTCAGAGCCCATCGCCTTCAACTCAATCCTGGCGTACACCTTCTTTATGGTGATCGACTTAGGAGTTGAGAAGCAGGAAGCCTCATTCTATGCCGGCTTGCTGGTCTCCGCCTACGCCGTGGCCGAAGCATTGACTTCAATGGCCTGGGGCGCCTTGTCCGACCGTATTGGCCGGAAACCCGTCGTACTTTTCGGCCTGGTTGGTGTCGCCATTTCCAGTTTGATTTTTGGCCTGGCGAAGCAATACTGGGTCGCTCTCTTGGCACGATTCATCGGTGGAGCCCTCAACGGCAATGTGTCGGTTATGCAGACCATGGTGGCTGAGATGGTCAAGAATCCTGACCATGAGCGTGAGTTTGTTCAAGAGTCACTTTCAAAAACCCCAATCCATCTCATCTTGTTTCTCATTTTATAATGATGCTAACAGTTTTCTCCAGCCAAGGCCTATGCCGTGCAGCCGTTCGTCTGGACCCTTGGCGGCATTATTGGTTCTGCCATGGGAGGTTTCCTTGCCCAGCCTGCAGTTTATTACCCTTCCCTTTTCTCCAAGGACGGCATCTTTGGCCAGTACCCGTACCTGCTTCCCAACCTAGTTTCCGTTATTGTCGTTGCCATTGCTGTAATCCAGGGTTTCTTTTTCCTAGAAGAGACCAATATCCACAGGGATCACACCGAAGAGGATGATTTTACCGACGCGGACTATAACGAAGCCGTTGCCGACGAAGACTTCCCCGATGAGAGAACACCGCTTCGGAGAGCCCCGCAAAGAAACTTCAATCGCAACCGCTCCATCTCCACTAGTCACTCAAGACCGCGATTCGTTGAATCGAGTCTTCCCCTTCCAATCGAGCATGATTTTGACCTTAGGAGATCATCTTTTGGAACTGTTCACTCCATCAAGGTTGTGCCAGATGAAGTGCGCACTGATTTGTTGCGCCCGAATGGCCAAAACGGCCACAATGGCAATGGGCGTGCCCAGCCCCGGACTCCCAAACCCAAAGTAAAGACGTTTAACTTTACGGTCATTATGCTTACCACTACACTGGTCATTTTCTCCTACCACCAGATGGCAGCTGGTTCGCTCTTGCCGACTCATCTACTCGACGACCGATTAGCACCCCCTGGACATTTGGACCTGCGTGGAGGTTTGGGCTATGACCTCCATGACGTGGGTACCTATTTAGCAGTCAATGGTGTTCTAGGACTTCTCATCCAGGGTCTCATATTCCCCATCTTTGTCGAGCGTGTCGGAGTCTGGGGCTCCTTCATCTGGATGGTCGTTCTTTACCCTACGGCTTACCTCCTGATGCCTTTCTTGTCAGCTTTCCCTGACCTCATTACTCAGGCAGGAATCTATCTGTCTTTGGTTATGCAGAGTTTCTATGGTATTATTGTCGGTCCGGTCACCCTCATATTACTCAAGAACGCAACACCATCCCCGCAGGCCCTTGGAAAGGTTAACGGGCTGGCCATGTCAGGCGCCTGTCTCGCTAGAACGATCTCCCCGCCTCTTGTTGGCGTTATCTACAGTTTCGCAGGCTCTGCAGCGGCCTGGTGGAGCTGTTCCGGCATTGCATTGGTAGGTGTTCTGCAGGTCATCTGGGTTCCCAAGAAACATATCCATGTCGACCATGTCGAGGTCGACAACGCTCTGGCTAGGCAGACTACGAACAACTCGCAAAGAGGAGACGAACCCCGGGGTCGTGTCTGAGCAAGTAACAAGTCATGACCATGGCGTAAGCGGTGTTTTTCTGTCTATTTTTGAGATTTCTTTCTTGTTTGGTCTATATGCATTGATCTGCTTTTCGAATGCATGGAATGAGCTTGACTTGATTGGTAATGGCTTCGCTTGACGTACCGCAAATTGCAATTATGGGTGTAATACACAATGGACATAATAAGAGGGCTATTGGGTATATACAAAATTACGTTTGACTTTAGGGCCTTTGTGGCGCAATTCGAAGAACTAACTAATGTACGCTCTTAACCGAGTGGCAAGTATATGAGGTGCTACGTCCTTTGACAGTGTAGCACTCAAGAGTTCCTGTAGAGCCTACAAAGCCCCTTTTCTGACATATGCCACCTTGCTGGATTTCACCCAGTCGGGCAAAAGCTGCGTACAGCCTTGCGCATCGTGCTAGCAAGATTGAGCTTGGAACAATAAGAGTACATGGGGGATTAGAGTATAATAGTATGTACAGCATGCACAGCTTTACTCAACTTTTCAGTAGAGTGTAGACAAACTTTGCGCTCGCCAGACGAGTTGGCTTTTTCAGGCCCTGCACATACGCCCGCTGTTGTCCACCGTCCAAGCATCACTGCCGACAGCAGCGACGTTGTACAAGAGACTATTGGGGTCATACTTGCGCTTAATCTCCAGCAGCTTGGGATAATTGACGCCGAAGAAAGTCTCCTTCCAATCCTTCTGCTGGAAGTCGGCTTCGTTGATGTAAGCTCCCGCGCCGGGCGTTGCGGCCTCGATGACCGGCTGAACCACCTCGGTCATGCGGTTCTGCTCCGCGACCATGTCGGCGTAGGGGACCTCGAAGCTCCAGGGCAGGGTGAGCGAGACCTGGACGATGGAGTCGCGCCACTGCGGCAGAACGGCGTTGTCGCCGCCAAAGCGGGAGACGTTGAGCCCGACACCGATGTAAGTGACGCCCAACTCAACGAGCTTGCGCGCAGTCGGACCGAATGTGGGCAACTTGGAGCGCGGGAGGAGACGGCCCCCGAAGAGCTGGGTTCCGACCTGGATGTTGCCGGAGGGCAGAGGGCCCCAGTAGTGATTGTAATGGTCGCGGTAGCTCTCGAACTCGGTGTACGTGGGCTGCAGGGTAACTCCCAGAGCTGCGAGGGAGTCGATAAGGGGCTTGAGGATCTTCTCGGTCTCGGCCTGCGTCTTGTTGTAGGCCGTCATGGCGGGAGACTGCAGGAAACCGGGGCCGAAGAAGTAGATGATCATGACGCCTGAGTCCACGATGTCAGGGAGGGCCGCGTGGAAGGCGTCAACGACGGCGTACAACGACTCGGTGTCATTTTGGGCAAAGGTAACGGCGAACTTGGCGCCGCTGACAATGGCTTCAGGATGGGCTTGGACGGTGATGGAAGTAACAACGCCGTAGTTTCCTCCTCCACCTCCGCTGAGCGCCCAGTACAAGTCCTGGTTCTGCGATCTCGACGCGGTGAGGAACTTTCCGGTTGGAGTAACCACGTCAAAAGACAAGGTGTTATCGGCAGCCAAACCGTAAATACCTTGGGACTTGTCAGCTTATTGTTTCTCAAGCTCAGAGGCACGGCGATACGAACTTGAGAGGGCACTGTGGCCACCAGCCTGGATATATCCGCCAGCGAGGCCCACTGTAGGACATTCTCCAGTCACAATGGCCAAGCCAACCTCATGTGCGGCAGCGATGGCCTCGAAACCTTGAACGCCAGCGCCGGCCTTGAGGGCCTTGCCGACGTAGTGTCCGTCATCCCAGTCGACTACCTCGGTCCCCTTGAGGTAGTGTGTCCAGATAGCGAGGCCACCGGCGCCAGTAGAACGGCCATTGTAATCATGGCCCGTGTTGCGGATGACGAACCGCACGTTGTTCACGTCGGCGAACCTTAGCGCGGCCGCGACGTCTGCAGGCCCAGAAGCATTGACGGCATAGCTAACATAGTTCCCAAGGGTGCAGGGGGAGTCTTTGGGCTGAAAGGGATCACAGCTCGCGTTGGCGAACAGGGGAGCCATAACGGAGGACGAAGACCCCATGCTGTTTTACGAGTCATGGTTAGCCGCTGACTAGCCGTTCATCTCAAGGTTTTGAGATGATCATCCCACGAGGAGCAAAGTTCGGTGAAATATGCATGGAGAAATTCCGAAAAAATAAAATAAAAAATAAAAAATGATAACAGACTTACTGGACTTCGGAGTAAAACCATTCCTCCTGCAGCCGCGCACACTCGGCCGCGTCGTAACTCTCACCGTGGCAAGGTGTTCCCAAGGGAACCGTGGCAACCAGGCGGCCACCGACGGTCTTGTTTAGCTTTGCCCACGTATCCTGGGACGGCCATCCCTCATCTCCAGGGAGGTATTTGCAAGACGGTGGCCTGCTATCGTTTCGCGAGGGACAGGCGGCGGAAGCAAGGCCGCTGGCCAGCACCAACGAAGCAAGGTTAAGAATCGCGGATCGCATCCTGATTATCTGTCTCTTGGCGGTTAGGGTGGAGGGGGCGTAACCGTGGAACGTGCTTTTCGCAGATCTGCTGCAGGAGCAAGGACGCAAAAAGACACAACGGAGAAAATAAAAAGGGCACGCAGGAACCGGGCGAGGGCTCACCGTTCTATTATGATATTGCTGTGCTGCCCAAGGGTGGCTCTTCATGAGATCTTGGTTCCCTTCAATTGGCCGCTATGATTGGTCCGCAAACCCGGAGAAGAAAAAAGTGGCAACTGTAAGTACTATGTAAGATAAGCTGCGTAATATGAGCATTAGTCGGCGGCGCTTTACGCGCATCTGTTAACATTCCAGGATATGATCTCCATAGCTGGGCAATAAGCACTGCCTATTTGCTGTCCGCAAACAGGCGGTCATCACACTCTGCCTGTAAGGCCTGCATAACCTAAGGTACCTTATGCAAGGAAGTTTTGTCGCACCAAGCCTCACCGCCAAGCAATTGACACAGAAAAAACAACGGAATGTTGTCCTCTTGCTTAAAATGAGCATCTGCATTATAACCCTTGAACTCGACAACCGCAAATCACCCACGGATTACGGATGCCTTGGCGATGGCAAATCTTCAAGGTTTTAGGACGGGAGCCCACATGCCGGTATTCGTGTGAAGATGTTTCCCCGGCATTCCTACTGGATACCGTTAGTTCGGACTTGGCCGTTGGGCTCTCGGTTGTACTTTGGACTTGACTCGCGAACCCTGCGGGCCGGATCAGTATCCGTGAACTCTAAAGCTGATAAAGAGGGGCTTGAAGAGTGTTTGACAGGCAGACAGACCCTGAAGACTTTCATTCCAGTGCCGTGCCTTCCAGAATCCTGGCTCCTCATCTTATTTCATCTGGCTTGCATACAACCAACGAAGTATTGTAGGAGGGATTTTAGTGACGGGATGGATTGAAAATAAATGATTTTTAATTATTCCGTAGCTCTCAGTCTCTTCTAAGATTCTTAGCAGCTTTTTCTTGCAGTTTCTTTTTCTTTCAAAGATAGGTAAGTAAAATCTTTTACGGTCACGCAATGTTGAGATAACACAGTGGAACGGGAACACTTGTTCACCATAACGACATCCTGTGAATGGTCAGCGGCTGAGATTTACGTTGATCAGAGGGCTCTTCATAGCATTCATACTCTCGGCGTACTTTGACACGAGCTCGGGTACTTACGAGTCCTTTGGCCAACACCACCTCCACAACCGGTCTCTTTCATACTGGCAAGGTGCTGTGAATATTCACTCACGGATGCCTTACCCCTGCCCAAAGTTAGAAGCCGCGTCCAGAGCATCAATCAAAGGATGTAATTCGTGTATATCAGCATCCTGTTGAGCAGGTTGAAGCTGAGAGGTTGTTTTTGCTCGTGTATGAAGCGTAACCCTGATGCGAAAACAACTCGAGCTATCAAGAATGATGTGCGATTTAATAAATCTGCTAAGACATGTATGCATGGTATCTAATGCCCTTAGCTCGTCATTTGGTATGCGAGCCAAGCCGGGCAAAGTTTTGTAGATGGACGGTGGGTCGCCCTTACCGATCACAACTTAATATCAGCGGCCACCCCAGGGCAATTTCGACGCCTCATGCCTGTGCCGCACCTAGGTACGCAGCTAGGGTCTACTACGCCCGAAAAGAGCCTTAAGACATACATAACAATGAGGCTTTCCTGCTGTCCACCACGTCAAGCGGCTTTGCAACGTCTGCCCCCCAAGTCTTCTCAAGTCGTTCCGATACCACCGAGATGGGCTGGACGTACGGCACAAGCGACGATGTGCTAACCGACGGCCCTAGAATTGCGGCGGTCAGTATAACCGTGACATCCATCGCGCTTATACTGGTGTGCTTGAGATGGTACGTCAGGACGACAGTGGTCAAAGCTGTCGGCTATGGTGAGTTTTGTCGCGATCTGCAGACCAGGGAAGCACGGTCAACTAATGCACAACCTTCCTCCAGACGACTGGTTGATCATTGTCTCTTGGGTATGTTCCGGACCTGTTCCCACTTGTACCTTATTTTGTTTGTGACTAACCATCGACGACCAAAAGCTCGGAGCTTGCGGCTACACGATCTGTAGCGTAATCCGTATGGACTACTTCCTAGCCCCTTTTCTCGATAATGAATCTAACAAACCATCAGAGACGAAATGGGGTCTTGGTATTAAAATCATCGATGACATGCCGCCACAGAATGTCTTGCAATTTGGCAAGGTAAGTTGCAACAAAGCCCTAACCCACTTGGCCATCGGTTTAACAATGAACAGCTTCAATACATGGGTGGTCCCTTGTAAGCCATACCAGTTCCTTAAACTCAATTCGACATTGGAAGATGTTCGATACTGATGGTATTGCTATAGTTATGTGCTTGGTATCTGGGGCTTCAAAATGAGCCTGCTTTTCTCCTACTTGCGATTCTTCCCGGCCGGACCTTATCGGATTACAACCATTATCGTCGCCACAGCATGCACAATGGGTCATATTGCCTTTATTTGTGTCTTTCTCTTCCTGTGCACACCAGTAAGACGAAGCCTGGACATGTTATGAGGTTTTGGATGCAGCCGGCTGATTATGATATTCAGATCGAGAAACAATATGACCCAACGATCCCCCCTGAGGTGGGCCATTGCGTAGATGCTATAGCATTCTACTTGTCATTTTCCTCCTTGACTATAGTCTTTGATGTTGTCATGTAAGTCATGTACCTCTGGCATCTCAAACCCCTTCTGACCTTAGTTTAATAGTATGCTACTACCCTTTCCTGTCATCCTCACATCTCAGATTCAACGGCGGAAGAAATATGTTCTCCTTGGTCTCTTCATCCTCGGTGTCTTCGTCACCGTTATTCAAGCGATCCGAATCCAGACTATCCAGAACCTTGTCAACTATCTCGACTCTGCCAGAGCTATCGAATGGTCCATTGTCGAGACTGATACCGGCATCATAATCGCGTGTATCCCGACTCTAGCACCGTTAGTCAAGTACTTTGCCGAGAAAAGTCGAAGTAGCACTGCCGGCGGGTCGGGGCAAAAGAGTTCGAGATATGCGCTGCAGAGTTGGAGGACCGCCAGGACGGGTATGCAGCCACTTGGAACCGGTGTCGACCGAGAGACCTCGGTCAGCGCTAGTCGGGCAACGGAACCCGATGATAGCACTGACAATATCCTGGAGCCGGCGGGTATCACGAAGAGAACTGAGGTGCACGTGTCAGCACAGGATGCTTGGACAGGCAAGGAAGATAGGCACGAAGATCAGCGGGTCTAATGGCTGCACGAGAACCTTAAGTGCAGAGTGCTACGCGATGTCTATGAATCATGTCGTTTCCACCCCCTAGACAACACAGATAAATGGTTAAAAAGCGTCACATTGATGTTTAATGGCTCTGTATATCTTGCACAACACGTCTGTGGTTAAAATAAAGTGGGTATCCCACTCTGTGTTTCGGTGGTTGTTAGTACCGTCGTAGCTCCTGTCACATCATTAACTCTATCCAGAGTTCTTGGCTTTTCAGATGTGTTAACGTTAAGTATTACATCATGTGTTTCCACAATAACAGGGCTAGAATTAGCTCCTCAACGTCAAGTTTGTAAGCGTATCTGCCTTTTCATTCAAGAATCATTACACCGCCACCCGTTCACACAGCGACTTCAAATCGGAGAGGTCTCTGCCAAAATCAATAGCACCATGCCTCTTCAAAGCACCTTTATTTACATCGAACTATATAGTTGAAGGTTTTTATATCAACTCTTCCAGCAAGTTGAAAGCGTCCCTTTGCCCTCCATGACCGACCTCTCACTCACTATCAGTGCAGTATTGATGCCATCACCATCCAGTTCAATATGCTTTTTGCAACACAGTTAAATGCGTTCAGTTTGCCCAAGACAAGGCTATCTCCTTTTCGTTTTGTTAGCCCTTAAGTCTTCGTTTTAAGCTAGTAATTCTTTGGTGGATTTAGTCGGTTTATCAATGTTAGCCCTCGAGGATGCATCACTGTCTATAGTGGCACACTTGCCAGTCAAAGTATATGTGTCTCATCAAGTGCTAAATTAAAAGTGATTGCTCTGGTGAGTAAAGTACTGGGCGTCGAGTCTCTTATTGTGCCAAAGCTTGGGTCAGAATCCATTGGCAAAAAGAGGGGCCCGTAAATAAGTATAACTGAAGGGTTGGAAAGGCAACCTAAGCATATTGATTAGCTAGCGTAAGCAGGCTGCCTGGGACCAGCCGACGCCCTTCAGGTGTAGCCATTTCCTTCATATGCGTACTTGTCATGTCTCATCTGATACTTGTCAGATTCTTCTTTCTCTTGGTGGCCTGTTTTTCTTCTGTCTTCAACCGTTTCTCCGAATTTGTTTACCAGTTAGCTTTGTCTTGGGTCACTTTATTCATCCCGTGATGTGTGGTCTCTGCGTCAGTGCTGCAAATCTGGACAGCTTTGTAGATGCCTCGGGAAAAAGAATCGGTTAAACGCTATCATTTAGCGTCTCGATTTCAATTATGATTAAAACTTAGAAGATACATCACCAAGTAGCTCTTATCTCTACACAATTTTCCAAGAATAACTTGTGGAATATTAATTAAGCATCTCAAGTCAAGGGAACGTCACTAGACGGATTGGTCATGGCAACGGCACGAAGTTACTAACTGGGGAGTTTGGTGTTAGGCTTGTTAATTCACCTTGACGCTTGAGCTAGTTCTGAGCAGTAACAAGATGCAGTCTCGATCAGCAGTCAAAGTTTTGATCTTTAGCTCAGTTCTTCAATCATCATGGGTCCACAAGCTCCGAGTAAGATCTTGTTTGAAGCTTGTCAGTGAACGAAGAAGTTGCCAGCCTCGAATGAATATGATGCGATCACATGGTGGCACTCCTTTGAAACCAGCTTCATCAGTTTAAAATGTGCGTGTATGGTTTCGAGTACAGAAGATTGGAAGTGAAGGCGGATTCGCCGATCCAGTAGAAGCCCCTACTATTCTTGAAGCACAAGGTGCCCTCGAAAGATGGTGATCGTGTTTTACATTTCTTAAGCTATTTTGAGCCGACTAACCTTCGCGCCATGTCTGAATTCATCCTTTATATCCAAACCGCTAGCCAATTTTCGACAACATACAGATACGTCATTTGATCAGATAAGACAAGAAACCGTTTCCAAGAACCAACCTGCATGTACCCACTCATGAAGGTCTTGGTCTACAATGCCTTCACATCCGTTTGGTTGCATTAGGGGAAACATGCCCGATTTATAATATGGATACACTAGTGACTGCCGGTCCGAACAACCTGAATCTAACAGTCTCCAGTTCTGCATGTCAAAACTGCAACTCACTGTGTAAAGACACAAGGGACGAGGCAATCCCGCAAGTGCCTGGCAAAAAGTTGCCGACGAGCTTTGGGCGATTCAGATCCGGCTCTCTATCATGTTCCTTATCTGTAGTTCTTGTCGCGGACTAATGCGAGTTTTTGACCGAGTTCTCGATGTAGTGGTTGTGTTGACCAGGTTGTCATTGGATGGATTTGGGGGTAAATAAACGAGATACTGATGTCGCCTCCACCCACAGATAGGGGTAGGTGGCCTTCATGAGCTTTTCACAGTGCACGGAGTACCCTAGCCCAGATTCCTAACAGACCCCTAAATCCCTCATCCGGGCCGATGACGATTTTGACTCCACTGCGGCACCGGTGGCTCCCGGCGCTACCCCGGTGGCTTGAGAACCGCGCGCGTCTCCCTGGGTATGCTCAGCGCTCTTGTTTACTTTACCTTTCAGGGGCCAGTACCGAAGAGGGCCAAGGCGTTGATGAGCAGAAGCATTGGACATCATGAGTTTCTAAAAAGGGGAAACGTATGTTTGTATCCATGTGTCAATCTATTTTAGATATGCCTGAAACATGCAAAGTTTATATGCTGAATACAACTTGATAGATCGGCAATGGTAGTGATTCAATATCTGGCTGTTACATATTGGTACTTTGGAAAACAAGAATATGCCAGTTGTTTAAGTGTTGGGCTGAAAATGAGGCATGCGAGTCCAAAAAACTTCAAAATAGGTGCATCAAATGAAGAGGCGATACAAAGTCCAGATACAAGACATTCAAGAGCGACTTAATCCTGATAAGTTAGTTAGACCTTGCTTTACCAACACATTGACCCCATCTATCTTTTTCTTACTTGAATCCAACAATTTCCGTAGCGGGCCACGTTCACACAGAGCCTGGAATAGGGGTACGTTCTGTGCGTTTTCGATCTTGCGCACGCAACCCGCTAGGCAATGTCAAATGCAGGAACATCTAAGCTTGGGCTGGTCAGATAGCGCCATTTCCACTTATCCGGCTTTATTAATGCATTAGTGACAATCCGAAGGTGCCGAATATGGCCCTGTGGAGCTGCATCGCCCTGTCATCCTATTCATGTCAAACCTGCAACGGCCCACCCTTAAGGTCAACAAATGTGGAGCCAAAAATCTTGTTTCTTGCTCTTGTCTCATCGCGGATGATGGAAAGAAGTAACACGGAAGTTGAAGTTTTTGAGCTTTGAAATCACTCTGGGTTTGGAAAGAAGTATAGAATTCGAGCCAGTCTCTAAACGCTCCGCATGCCATAAGATAAAGGTAGTATTAGAAACACATACTATGTAAACTGATTCAATGGGGCGTAGATGTTTTCATCCTTGGAGTATTGGCCTCCATGAGTGTCTAGAACCAAGTTGTTCCCACTCAGTCAGTGGAGAAGGCGGATCAACTCAGCCAGGTTGCACTAGAAACCTGAAGAGAGATTTGGGAGAATTCCTAAGCATGACATAAGTTGTTTTGCGGTTCGTAAGCTGAATGTTGGTATGACTGCAGCCGAATATAAACCTGCGGAATGGTAACACCAAGTTGCTCTTATTCCTACTAAAGCAGAGCCGATCAATCACGACTTCATCATGTTGGGTTCTATCATCTCCTTGCCCCTCTTGGCGGGCACTGCTCTTGCTTATCCCGCTGCGTCGTCGCAAAAGTTTGACTATGTCATTATCGGTGGTGGCACCAGTGGTTTGGTTGTTGCCAACCGTCTATCGGAGCTGAAAAACGTCACTGTGGCTGTAATTGAGGCCGGCGGCTCTGTCTACGACAACGCCAACGTTACAGATCTGGCCGGTTATGGCAAGGCATTTGGCACTTCCATCGACTACGCCTACGAGACTGTTGGCCAGAAGTATGGTGGCAACAAGACTCAGACCCTTCGTGCCGGCAAGGCCCTCGGTGGTACCAGCACTATCAACGGTACGTCCTAACCACATCCTCACAGCAACCTATTTCTAACAAGTCGATAAGGCATGGCCTACACTCGTGCTCAGGACGTTCAGATTGATATTTGGGAGCGCCTCGGCAATGAAGGATGGAACTGGGAGAACCTGCTGAAGTACTACAAGAAGTCCGAGACCCTTCAGCCACCCACTGCCAATCAAATCGCCGACGGCGTCACCTACGTTCCCGAGCAGCACGGCAGCACCGGTCCTTTGAAGGTCGGCTGGAAGCCCGGCATGGTCGATATGTCCTTTGTTGAAGCCCTTAATCAGACCTACAATGCTGTTGGTGTCCCGGGACTGCAGGACATTGCTGGTGGTGACATGGTTGGTTGGAACATTTACCCTGCCACCATTGACACTGGTCTTCAGGTTCGCGAGGATGCTGCTCGTGCCTACTACTTCCCTTACCAGAACCGCACAAACCTCCGCATTTTCCTCAACACTGAGGCGCAGAGACTTGTCTGGGCCAACGGCACTGAAGCTACCGCATCAGGAGTTCTTGTTAAGGACAAAACCGGGGCTACTCGCACCATTTACGCAAACAAGGAAGTTATCCTCTCTGCCGGTTCCCTCCGATCCCCGCTTCTCCTTGAAAAATCGGGAGTCGGAAACCCGGACATCCTGAAGGCTGCTGGTGTTCAGACTAAGGTGAAGCTTCCTACCGTTGGTGAGAACCTTCAAGATCAGATGAACAACGGTCTGGCACAAACTAGTTCGAAGAACTTCACTGGTGTCACCACCTTTGTCTCTTACCCCAATGTCGATGATGTTTTCGCCAACCAGACTGGCACACTCGCTGCGGACATCAAGAGCAAGCTTTCCCAGTGGGCTTCGCAGGTCTCGGAATATACCAACGGCATCGTCACTGAGGAGCAGCTTAACAAATTCTTTGAAATTCAATACGACCTCATCTTCACTGATAAGGTGCCCCTCGCTGAGATCCTCATCACTCCAAGCGGTTCCTCCTTTTCCACAGAATACTGGGCCCTCCTCCCCTTCGCTCGTGGCAACATCCACATCGCTAATGCCAACTCTTCTTCCGCCAAGATCAACCCCAACTACTTCATGATGGACTGGGATATGACCGAGCAGATTGGCACAGCCAAGTTCATCCGCCAGCTGTACAAGACAGCTCCTCTCAGCCAGTACTTTGCCAGCGAAACCAAGCCTGGCCTCACTGCCATCCCCGAGGATGCGTCTGACAACGTTTGGTCTAAGTGGGTTCTTGACAACTGTAAGTGCTAGTCCGATTCAAAAAGAAAACAAAAATCAAGTAGTGAATTAGATCAACGTGTGACTAACATTTGCTTAACAGACCGATCCAACTTCCACCCCGTTGGAACTACTGCTATGATGTCCAAGGAGCTCGGTGGTGTTGTTGATGGCAACCTCAAGGTTTACGGAACTACAAACGTTCGTGTTGTAGATGCTGGAATCCTGCCTTTCCAAGTTTGCGGTCATCTCGTTTCTACGCTTTACGCTATTGCTGAGAAGGCCTCGGACCTCATCAAGGCTTCTGCATAGATGAGACAACATGTTGCGCATGATAACACTTCTTTTCGTCCTACTACATAGAGCTCCTGAGATAGATGCTTTCAATCCCTTGTCAAAAAAAACAAGGCAGTAACTTAATTAGATAATTTGGATACCTGTGTTTATTTCTCAAGGTTACATGAATCTCCTTGGAGACTTATAATATCTGGCCATTCAATTCCTCACACTAATATAAAGGCTCCAAAAGGCAATTGAAATATGTAATGTAACTGAATAAAAAAACGGCCCAGCTTAACCATGTGATCGCCAGTCAAGTCAGAAGATACAGAGAAATTTGCCTTAGAGCTGAAGAAGGTTATGTGACACTAACGAGCGGAGAGGAGAAGAACCCATCATCTATTTCCATTGGGACGACGGATGTATCTAGCCCTACACTGTTCTTTCTTCTCCCTCCCTTGTATGCCCCTTACAATCACTTCTTAACATTGAAATCCTTGAGGATCGTTGACGTTACTGCATCTGTACTCAGTTGCGGCCGTTGGTGGGTCAACGCTGATATTGGTGAAGTTCATATTTTCGATATGGACATTGTCGCAGCCCCCATGAGCCCTGCTACATTGCAGATAGGCTACACGGCCTCCCTGAAGAGTACCTCGAAAGTTGGTAAAGCTAATATCAGATATGTCAAATAGAGAGGAACTACAATTGCCCTGCTGGCCGTTGTAGCTGATGCATTGCATCACATAGATGGGGGCTTGTTCCGCATCGTAGATGGTGACGTTGTCCCAGCCTGTACAGCTTTGATTAGCATTAAATCCCGAGAATGTAACTTTATGGGAGCAGAAGTTGACAATAAGGTGCTTTTGGGATGCTTGTATTGACTCACTAATGTTTCTGATATCTGTTAAACTCAGGCATGTTAGCAATAACGTCGCACACCCACTTCTCGCACACCCCCACATTTCGCACACCCATAAATCGCTCATGTAGAATTTTACCCTCTTCAACATTCTTTAATATCTTCACCACTTTTACAGCGATTATTATAATTCTTTGAATAGTTACTCTTATACGCTTAATGGGCCAGTATACGGAAACAGAAGTCAATCAAGCTCTCAATGCAGTTGCAAGTGGGCAGAGTGTCCGAAAGGCAGCTCATGATGCTGGAATTCCACCATCAACCCTCCAGTCTCGATTAAAGGGTTCACAGGCAAGAAATGTAGCTTTCTCTAGCTTCCAGAAGCTATCTCCAGCACAGGAAAGTCACTTAGCTGAATGGGTGCGTATCCAGGCGGCGTTAGGGCTGCCGCCAACACATCAACAACTCAAGGAATTTGCCCAGCGAATCCTAGACATCAGAGGCACTACCCAGCCACTTGGGAGAAACTGGATTCAGTTCTTTATTAAGAGAAATCCATCAATCAAGGTTCATAGAGCTAGAGCCATCGATTCTAAGCGTGTCAATGGGGCCTCAACTAATGTAATCAGGCAATGGTTTCAACAACTCGCCCTTCCAGAGATCAAGGCGATCAAACCACATCATCGCTATAACATGGATGAAACTGGTATCCTAGAAGGCAGAGGATCAAATGGCTTAGTACTGGGATCATCAGAAAGCTCATCAATGCGAAAAAAACAGCCTGGGTCTCGGGCTTGGACAACTATGCTTGAGTGTGTCTCTGCAACTGGTCAGGCGCTTCCTCCACTTGTTATTTATCGAGGGAAATCGGTTCAACAACAATGGTTTCCTCTTGATATCCATAAACGTGATATTTACAGTGGTTGGAAGTTCACAGCAACTGAGAATGGCTGGACTTCAGACTCTACAGCTGTGGAATGGCTTGAGAACATCTTTATCCCTCTGACTAAGCCTGATCATCCCTCTGAGCAGAGACTATTGATCCTAGACGGTCATGGCAGTCATGAAACAACAGAATTTATGTATCTCTGTTATAAACACAAGATATATCTCCTTTTCCTACCGCCACATACATCCCACGTTCTCCAACCTCTAGACCAAGCAGTCTTTGGGCCTCTCAAGGCGACCTATCGAAAAGAGCTTGGATACCTCATTCAACACAACGATTCTACAGTTGTAGGCAAACGGAACTTTCTTACCTGCTATGGAAAAGCACGCCAGATGGCATTTTCAAGCAAGAATATCAGAAGCGGCTGGAAAGCAACAGGACTATGGCCCATTTCGATAGCTCGACCGCTCATGAGCCCTCTACTGCTTGAGAATGCTTCCAAGCCCTCAAAGCCAGGCTATTCTACGCCTATGAGGGCCTCTGATGGTGGAAAAGACGAAAACTGGGCATCTGCTACATCCATAGTAGCCTGGTCAACGCCCAAGAAGACAGTTGATCTATATGATCAACTTAGCTTATTCAGCAAGTTGGATAAAGATCAGCAAACCCAGCGACTGTTGTTTCGGAAGGTTCAAAAGGGATTTGATGAAAAGGACTATCAATTGGCTACAGCAGAGAAGAAGATTGCAATGTTGGAAGCAGAAGTTGAGGCTGGAATGGTACGGAAGCGGCGTAAGGTCCAAATGAGCCCAAATTCGAAGTTTGCCAACATTGAGGCAATTCACAAAGCCCAAATTGAGGCTGGCGAAATTGAGGATAGCTCAGATGAATCTAGCGAGCCTGAATTACCTATTAAAACTGGCGATAGTATCACAGTTGCAGGAGACGAATCAGACTTATAGTTATGAAGTTGATGAATACCTCATGATGACCCAATTTATGGGTGTGCGAAATGTGGGGGTGTGCGAGAAGTGGGTGTGCGACGTTATTCAAGTTGTTGCAAAGATACTAAGGGGACTGACATCCTAAGCCACCACCGCCACCATTAGGAGGGTAGCCCAATTGATCACCGGTCCATGTCTTGATACGGCCAGCATAGCGAGATCCGTGTGCCAACACATTCCGGATGGTGACGTTTTCGATAGTTTCGAACTGGCCGAAATACTGCCCAATACTTCCGATTGCGACCGACTGCCCATCATGAAACTCCATGTCTTCAATAAGAATGTTTGTCGAATTAGCCTTTGCAGCAATACAATCATCGCCGTTCTTGACTGTCCACCGGCGAAAGTGGATGTTGTCGGAGAACATCGTGTTAGCTCCGTCAGTATTCCGGGCTGGATTCCTGTTGGAGCTCGTGTTGTTGACATAGATATCCTGGAGAAGTACTCGCTGGGATCTTGTGATGGTGACGGTCCTGTGATGATTACATATAAACCATTAGCTTCGGTCACAGGAACAAAAACAGCAAATGGCTTTTGGAACAAGCCTGAGACCTACCACATTTGAGCCTGGACGAAACGGAGACCCTCGAAAACAGAGTCTATCGCCCCATCGAGGAGAAGCGCATGTGGGCCCCCTGGCAAAAGACACTGTAGTTAGCCACAGCCCGCTAAACTCTGTTGAGGAGGCCGATTCGAGTGCAACATACTAGGGTAGTTTGACTCCCCCTTAACCAAGTCATACCAAGTTTGGCCATTTCCGTCGAAAGTTCCGTATCCAAAACCGTTGACATCAAGGTGCTTACCACCTAGAACCCAGGCAGTCGTTTGGTTCTGATAGCCAATCGGGATGGAATTTTCAAGCCAGTAGGTTGTGTTCTTACTCCACTATAAGATATATCAGCTATTGGTTCGAGGCCAATAAGATGCCTCAAGTGATATGGGCCGAATGAAGTTGAGGTAGAAACATAGCATACCAAGAGGGTCCCTTTGATATCAATCTTGACATTGTACAGGTCGGTTGTCTTCATCACCTGATGGATGTGATAGGTCACGTTGTCGAATATGATGTGCCCATTAGATTTGCACTTGTCGAATGCCTCCAGGATCGCAGGTGTATCGTCAGATCCGTTGCCATTGGCCGAAACAACGCACTTGGTGGTTTTTGGCTGCCTCCTGTCTAGGCCTTTGACGGGCCCTAAATCCGCAAAGGCATTGGTAGCCCCCAAAAGAAGAGTTGTTGCGACGACGAAGCGTGAGAGGAGCATGGTGCTTTGCTAAAGAGAAACCCAGCTGCTAAATGCGCATTTGAATCATATTAACTTTTCCGCAAGACACAGCATTCTTAATATACTTTCCACGGACCCTATAACAAAATCTCTAAATACTGACTATGCCACTTTCCAATCAACTTCCGCAAGTCCGGTAAAGACGATACAAAGTACCCTAACATACTCCGTTACACCCCTCATACTAAAGTGAGACACGGAGTCTAGGGTAGAGCCATATGCGCTAATCACGTAGCATATTACCAGAACCCCCACGTCAGTGAAAGAGCAGTGTTTAGCATTCCATCAATAACGTTACAACTGCAAGTACAAGAGAATGCTTGCATATGAGATCAAGAAATGCGGAGACTACCGAGGTGGAACACTCGGACAACTAAAGAACGATTCGGCCCAAAGGACATGATGGACAGATGTTTACTCCACGTGGCAAGGGAGCTTGGCGTGGGAAAGGTGCCAAATCGGGAAAACTCTACGCGCTTTTTTTACGCTTAGTTCATCTAATCGCACGTCAAAGTATGGTTCAAAAAGGAAGTTATTGTGAAGTAATACGAAAATTGCGGATCACAAGCAATAACGAATACGAAAAAGAAGAAACGCTGACAGGGAAATCCGCTAGTGGCGCGGGATCATGTCTTGACTTGGAAGATTGACGGATAAGAATCCACAAAAATAGCATTGAATGGTTCGCGGGATAATGCACATGGACAAGTTCGGTGTCTGTTTTGCGCAGAAGCCTTCGGATATCTAGGTCCAAGCTGACGATCATGGGCTGAAGTAGGTCTAGCTCGTCAGACTTTATACCGACATCTGTCGTTCAACCAAGGGGGGGTTGCGCAGCGTCCCCCCGCAGATACCAACGAAATGAATGCTTATTGGGGTAAGCTTGCGGGGATGTTATGAGGGCCCCAGACGTACTTTATTCCACACTTTCCCTTGGAGACAATTTTGGGCAATTTTCGGGGATGCCCTCATCGCTTGGTAGCCGTACGTCATCTTGGCTACAGCAGCCATACTGTGTGTTTGGTCCGAATAACGCGCCCAGGAAAATCATCCAGGAAGCAATTAAACCGAGTTGACTAGTTGTGCCAGGAAAAACAAAATCTGAATGTCCTCATGAAGGGCAGTGAGCTTGGCATCTGAGCAAGTCCGCATCCATTGCTCCGAGCTTCGGTGAAAGATCCCCCATGATGACGCCTGTAGGCATGGAAAAAGAAGGGGGAAACACGATGAAAGAAAGTTGTCTTAAAGAGCGAGATAGAATGCAGTTATAACAGGCCTCATATGCCAGAAACTTTGGTTTGCTCAGCTACTCCACAAAGGACACTTCGAGGTAGTTTCAATCATACAGCTCTGAGGTAATCGTCCATTGAGCTTACAAAATGCGTATCGAAAGTCTCTGTCACTTCCTCGGACTTGCAACCTTTGCAACGGCCAAATGGATCGTACCAGGTGCCCGCTGGCGTGACACAGATGGCAACATCTTTAATGCCCATGCGGGTGGGCTTGCCGTAGATCAGGAGAGTGGCAGGTTCTACTGGTTTGGCGAGTACAAGATTGAAGGCCAGGTTGAGGGCGGTGGCATTTCCGTCTACAGTTCTGATGACCTAGCTACTTGGACATCTCATGGCCTGGCTCTTGGTAAGCCTCCCCCTTTGGCTCTTTCATAAAGCGAACATGCGTTGGCTTACCATTGAAAACTGTAGAACCAGTTGAGGGACATCCTTATGTCTCGTCTCACAATCGCATTCAACGACCTAAAGTGATCTATAGCAAGGAAACCGGCCAGTACCACGTAAGTCGTAAAACCCCGCGATTATGAGGTAAACCCTGTCTAATAACATTTGCGTGGGTAGATGTGGTGGCATGTCGACGATTCAAAGTACAGCCTTTTGCTCCAAGGCCTTGCAACTTCCGACAATATCGCTGGTCCTTACAAGTTCCAAAACGCCATATCACCTCTTGGCAACTGGTCCCAAGACTTTGGAGCCTTCACAGACTTCAAGACCGGCCACTCGTATGCGCTCTACTCCAACGGCGACAGGCCTGAAGCCCGCGACGTATATGTCAGCAAGTTCAACAGCAACCTTACCGACGTTGAAGAGGTCACCTTTCGATTTCACAAGTATGATTTCGAGGCCCCAACAATTCTGCAGACGGAGAAAAGCTACTATGCTCTGTTGAGTCACAAGACGGGATATCGGCCTAATAGTAGGTGACGTCCAATTACTCCTGGCCTACTCCTGTTGTAAAAGAATCCTAAAGCTGATGTTGCGATAGTTGGAATACGGAGTCGTGTGGCACTTCCAGCCACACGCCCGCCAGGCTGAGAGGCCCAAGCCTCCCAGACCCACGTGACAGGCCAAGGGGGAATATCCCCACCTTCTAGTCAACAACACTACTTTCAACTATTATAAACTATCGATTAGAACTAATTTACTATTATTTGTTATTAACAAACGGAATTCCGTTTTACCCCCTATGAAACCTATACTAATTAGTAGTAAACCTTATAGTTACTATTAATTTAGTTAACTTTATAATTACTACTTTGCTATGGATAAACCGTAGATTAGCAAGGTTAATATTAGAAGAGACGACTTCTTAAACTAGATACCTAAGCCTAGGTAAAAGTAGGGATTTCGTACTAACGAGAGAAGAAGCGAGAGTAACTAGGATCTATGGAAACTAGTAGAAGAAAGCTTCTTTTCCTCGAATCTACTAGTAATCCGATTATTCGAGTAACCTAGGGACTGCTATGCTTACCTTAGGCGGGATAAGGTTAATCGTAGCTAATTATCGCTAGCAAGAGCGTTCTATTACGCGTTTTTAATTACTAGAAGAAGAGACTTACCGAATCGACGGTCTTCTAACCTCTTTACGCTATAAAGGCGAAGATTTACGAATCTTATAAGGGATAATAACTTCCTTAACTATAACTATCCCCTACGCGCGGTGCTAATTACAAGGCGCCTGCTAGTTTCTTAATAAATCCCTAGACGAGGTGCTAACCGCAAGGCGCTTATTATAAAAGACCTCCCTACTAGAAGAAGAATACGCTGAAAGGCGAGCGGAGACTACCGGTAGTAATCCGCCTATATAGCTATATGTATACGCCTCCGAGGCTATAGCTTAAGAGAAACGTACGTAGTTATAAGCGTTATAAGGCTAACTATCTACTAGATTCTAAACTTCTTAATAGTAAGGAGTAAAGCTTAAAGTAAGAAAGAAAGATTTATAAGAGAATCTATAATAAAACTTTCTCTTTACTAATTCGAGACTTATATATACCTTTATATCCTTCGAGAATATTAGTAAGAACGGCGCCGACGGAAATAAACGATAAACCGACGAAAATCCCCGATTTTACGATTCTTTCCTTTTAGAATCGTAATATCCTAAATCGTCTTTTAACTCCTACTTCTAAGCTTATATCTTATACTAATCGTAGCTAACGCTATTAAGGATTAGAATTTAAGATTCTAAATAGAAGTAATCCTTTTATACTATTAGAATAAAGCAAAATTTACGAGAAGGATCGCCCGCGAGTAGCGTTACTATTAAAAGCTAATTAATAGTCCTTATCTTATAGAGAATCGAAAGTATAATCGATCTAGCAGTATAAGGTAACTAGGTAATCGACCTTATAAACGCTAGCCTATAGCAACTAGGTTCCTATATAGGTTTCCTACTTAAGACCTATAAGAAGAGGAATCTTATAAGCCTTAAGCTATAGAACGAAGTTTCTCCCGATTTCGCCGACTAGTTAGAAGAAGACTTCTAGAACATACCTCCCCTAATCCTACGATTCTTTAGAGACTATTTAATCGGTAATAGCGTCTACGTCGAAATAGATAGCAAGAAAATCTCGAAAAACGTAGTATTAGCCTTTAAAAAGGAAGAATTCTACTACTAGTTACCTTAAGAACTTAAACAAGGCGTTAAGAGATATCGCAACCTAAAGGCTTTAATAAAAGACCCCGAATTCTACGAAGAGATCATGAGACCGGCAATAGTAGCTAATAGTATAGGAGGAAGAGTCGAACCAACCCTATAGCTACCTCCTCTATAAGAATAATAATAGTAGTAACTACTATACCGACTGCTTGTTACGACCTGTTAAGTATGCCTAATAGAGAAACTAGCCTTACTCGAGGATAGCGGCTAGAGACAAGATATATATAGGCGACGGAAGGGACAAGGGTCGCCCCGCCGGAAAAGGAAGAACTATATTTAAGTTACGTAATAATAAGAAAGGAATAAGAGATACGACTCTTAGCATATCGGCTACCGATAATTAAGATATTAGCAAGCGACGACGCAGACGTCAGCCTTAGGAAACGGGACTTATATATAGACTAGGACTTAAGCATCTGCTTAAGCCCTCTAGATAGTTCTTTAGCAATCAACTTGTAATTTATCTTCGAATAACTTTTAGCTTACCTCTTAGTATTATAAATACTAAGAACCTTGTTACTATAGTGTAAGACTGATTACCTTACCTTAACCTTACGATCTACTAGAACGACCTCTACGAACTAGTATTAGTCTCTTACTATACCTTCTATTAGCAAAACCCTACTATTAGATAGCTAGCCGTAATACTTTGATTACTCCTATTTAGTAAGTTACTTTTTAAGACTAACGAATAGTATAAGACAAGATGTCTTCGTACGGAACTACCGAAAACCCTACTCCTAGAACCTCGTCTACGTCCGAGAGACGTATTCCCTAGAATCTAGCCTAAGAGATTCAAGACTAGGAAATAAAGGAGGAATCCGATAGCGATAACGATAATGAAGAACTTAAGTAGCAACTTAAGCGGAATAATAACAAGCTTAGGGAAATGAAAAACCTATTCAACTAGAACGTCAAAGCCCTCAAGGAGCTATAGGAACAAGCCTGCCGTACTAAAGAACTAGAGAAGGAAGTTATAACCCTTCGAGCTGCCGCGAACGTCATATCAGCTCCTGTCGAAGGAAGAGAACGCCTTAAGCTTAATACCCCTACTACCTTCGACGGAACCCCTAGACAGCTTAAAGGATACTTAGTATAGATATAGACCTACTAAGCCTTCTATATTAATACGTTCTAGAACGATACCGAACGTATCGTCTACGCCGCTACCTTCTTAAGAGGGAAGGCCCTCGCTTAGTTCGAACCCCTCCAACAAGAATAGCTAGACACCCCTATCGAGAGATATAGTCAAGAAGTAAAGGATATCTTTTTCAGCTTTAGTAGATATGTTAAAGCCCTTCAATCTCTCTTCTTAGACCCCGATGAGAAAAGACAAGCAGAAAGAGAACTAGCAAGCCTACGACAAAACAAATCAGCTATAATATACGCCGTAGAATTTCGACGACTTGCAGCTAGACTCGACATGACCGACGAAAGCAAAGTCTTTGCTTTCTACTAGGGTCTCAAGGACGACGTTAAGGACGAAATAGCCAAAGTGGACACGCTACCTAGCTTCCTTGATTATGTCGAATACGCTATTAAGATTGACAACCGACTGTTTAAACGACGTAAGGAAAAAGGAGAAAAACGTTAAACAGCTAACTTAGGAAAGAAATACTAATAGCAACCTTAACATAAGTTTAATAAAAACTAAAACAATAGGAATAATAATTAGCAAAGCTGTTGAATGGGCTCTCTGTACGATCGTACTGTCATAAATGTAGGGTGAACCAAAGATTCTATTTTCCGTGATTACCTTTCCTAACTAGATGTTGCCTTCCGTACGAACAGATATATCTCTGTCCATACCTAGACACGAGTCGTGCATGACAGGTAATAAACCATGATCCCTTCCTCAGACATTTAGGTGTTACAGGTGCTAGTCATGCCACCTATACACCCCTTTGCCTGTGACAGCCTTGTCGTACGGTCATGTGATTATCGTTATTCCAACACTCACAACTTTTCTTTTTATGACCGTACGTGCCTATCCTTTGTCCAATTAGGTTGCGCTATTCCAGTTCGTAATAGCTTTACTTGATTAATATGTGTCGTAAGGGTGAATGTAGGAAGTCGTCTCGTACGCCTTCCTCTCTTGTCGGTTGAGTAAGTCGCGTGTCCTACGTGCCTTCCTCTATTGCTTCACCTCACTTTTTCTTGTTTTTTTTCCTGCCTACTTAGGCAGAACTTTCCGTATTGAAATGATAAAAACGCGTCTTTTCTTCTTTTCCTCTTACTTACCTTTTCTCCTCTTCGTACACCACTTCTTCTCTCTTCTCTTCGTACGTTGAACAATCATTCTCATTCAACGCTTTTTTTTTTTTTTCTTCACATTCGACGTACGATTATTATCTTCATCATGTCTCTCGCCAACGTTCAGCAGTTGCCGACTCCCCTTGGTACGATTGCCGTTCGTAACCACGATGGTGCTCGCTGGTTGCAGATTCCGATTTCTCACCCGGGAAACCGCGCCTTTCTCCTCTCGTTGGCTATCAACGTACGTACGAGTGCTTTTTCTTTTCCCTTTTATGTTTTCTAACCATGGTCTAGAACGATGAACGTAATGCTCTTGCCCTGCCGTCGCACGACATTGAAGTGCGTATGACTGGCAACATGAGCGTTCAAGAGTTCGTCGCCTCTATCATACGACGCTCTAGTTACTTCATCGCGATCATCATTCAGTCTCGAGGTCGTACGATGCCTGCTTGCGCCAGCAAGTGTGCGACCTCTGGCTCTCCTCGATTCCGGGAGTGTGTTCGTCTCAGGACCCTCTCTGATGGCTCGTGTGCGGAATGCGTCTAGCAGTCGCACGGCGCTCGTTGCTCTCACCGTGGTCAGGAGGATGGTTCGTCCGATTCGTCTGGTGGTAGCAACCATTCCGACAACGATGATGATGATGAGTCTCCCCGTCGCTCTAACTATCGGAAGCCGTACGCCCGTGGCGCTCGCCAGCCCGACCGTACGCCTGGTCGCAAGCTTGGTCGTGGTGTCGGCACCTCTGGCAGCTTCCTTGGCTCTTCTCACAACCCGCAGCTGATTGAGAAGGAGTAATTGGGGGATTGGTTCATTCGTACGGTGGTTATCTATGATCTCAAGGGTCCGGCTCTCATAGACTAACATCTGGTGGTGGATCTTGGTATTGGGGTTTTCGTACGATAGTAAAATCGCACGAGTTGATTGTCATTCGTCTTTTCCCCCAAGTCTATCCACGTACGCTTCGATTCTTATCCTGAGCTTGCTTGTCGTAATTAACTGCTCGAGCGCTGAATTTGGTGACTTCTTTGTGAAAGCATCTGCTGGATTGTCTTTGCCATCGATCCATCTCACTTCTGAGATTTCTTTCTTCTCGTACGACTCCCTCAGGCTCATGATATCGATCATAAGTCTTTTCTCATCAGTAGTTCCTAGTCGTACGAGGCATTCATACAGAGATCTTGAGTCTGTACAAATCACGACTGGAATTCCTGGGAGGTTGAGCGTACGAAGAATCCGGTTCAAGGTACTGCTTAACGATATGCCACTGTCAAAGCCTGTAGTCATTCCGTATAGTTCGCTAGCTAGTACGCTTCGAGTCACTCGTTTGCATTTCGTTGAGCTCCAGTGGATAATATTTCCATTGATCTCAAAGTCTGTCGTCGTACGAGCTGTTTCCTCTGCAAGTACGATAACAAATCCAAGCTGTGATGAAAGGTCTGTATTATTTGCAAATGATCCGTCTGTGAAGATATACATCTTTGTTCGTACGAAGTCGAGTGGAATATATTTAAGACCTCGATCAGGGTTGTCTATTTGCCATTGAAGTCGTACGTTCAGAGCTTCAATGTCCTCTTTACTTGGTTCTTTGATCTGAGCTGCGACTGCTAAATCGTACGATGCCTCTGGCTGGCATATTGAAGCAAGGTATGCGCCCCTTGCCCGCTGCGAAACGTACTGTTGTCGTGCATCAAGTGCATCTATCTCTATAGTATTGAGCTGCTTAACTTGTCCTTTCTGTAAGAAAGTAAAGTAGTCTTCGTACGACTGAATCCTGCCGCCATTGAAATCTACTTCTTGGTTATGTGATAGGATTGTTTTCGGCTTCGCACGAAGGCCCTTCTTCTCCAATTGTTCCTCTTCCCGTACGGAGAAACTTGCTGTTGCGAAACTCATTGTATCGTCTGTTTGCATTGCCGTGATACCAAAGTCGTCTGCTCCTGTCGTAGTATAAAGGAGGCATGGGTCGTACGTTGACTCTATCATTCCAAGGTCCTCCTTGTGGTGTGTAGCGTACGTCTTATACCAGTAAAGACCTGATTCTGCTAATCCGTAGAGCGGCTTCACGATATGTAGGAGTGTTCTTTCTGGGTATTTACCCTCGAGTTCCCTGGGAAGTCGTGCGATAATTGTTCTTTTTAATGGATCGTCCGATTGGGTATATGCCTGCGTAATATCCCTGAGTTCTCCTTGACACTTGAAGTCTCGTACGAGGGTAGGTCCAAGGGCGAGGAGTAGTCTCTGACTCATCCTCTGGATCGTTGGTGCCTGTGTAAGGATTTCCTCCTTTTCCTGGTCACCATATCCTTGGATTACTAGTCTTGACTTTTCGTACGGCTTCGTGGTTTTGTTTTTGATTTCTCTAACCATTCGTGTACGAAAGATCCGTATGTTGGAGTGTTTGTCTAGGTCGTACCGAATAAAGGTAAAGACTCCCTGGTTGATTAACGCGTCGATCTCAATCCTATCCGACTCTTCGTACGGTAATCCTGGTGTTGTGATTATGTTGTCAAGTCGGAGTTTTACTGCTAACTCGTAGTTGTCTTTCTCTTTCTGAGTGAGAAAATGTCTTGGGGATTGTCGTACGGCCCTTCTTTGACCCTTCTTTGGCCGTCCTCTTTTCCTTGGTTGTGGTTGAGGGATTTGCCGTGCGACGTCTGGTTCAGACTCTTCCTGGGGTTGTGTATCGTCCCTATAGTATGGTTTGACGTGTGTCGCCCGAAACTGTGTAGGTCCGTTTATCATGTTCACAGTTACATTATGTCCCTCAATCCCCTGTACTTCGTACGGTCCGGTCCATCCCTTGTTTTCTCTCCATACCATGACTTCGCTCTGGATAGGGAGGGATAAGACTTGTTGAATATTAGGACCGTTCCTTGTATTGATCGCACGGTTGATCTCAACCTCTGCGCGGATGCCTTGAAGTAACTTCCTTGCCTTCTGGGCGGCTTCTGCCCGTTGTACGATTTCTGGTGATGGTGGTGAATCCTTGTTAATACGTGGATAAGTACCGAATACCAGAAGTGTTGGTACGATTCCGTACGGTCCAGCTGTATCGTTTAACGCTTTGATAGCCATCTGTAGGATTGTCTCATCGTCTGTATTATGACTGAGTTCGGTATGAAGGATATCGTACGCTCGCCTTAAGGGAGCGTGAGCTCTCTCGACTTTGCCGACTGCCCAGTGTGCTTCTACTGGCATCTCATCGCACGTAATACCCATAATTTCGGCATGTTTGCGGAATTCAGTAGATGCGAAGTTTGTCCCCGGATCGTGTACGATATGGTCTGGTGGACCGACATAGGTGTTAATCCAACATTTGGTTAACGCATTCCATGTGTCTCGTGCGGAAAGGGATTTTAGGAATGTTGCTCCTTGAAAGCTTGTTTCCGTATCGATCACATGTAAGGCATTTTTGTCCTTCAGTCGTACGACATCTACCACGATTTCGTAATTGAAATAGCTCTCGTCCTTAAGGGAGAACTTAAATCTCCTTGGAGCTGGATCGTGCGACTGGCAGTTGTGACAGAACTTCTGGACCTTTTCTAAAATCGACTGGCTAATATCGTCGTGTCCAGCGTTTTTCAGAAGTTGGTATAGTCGTTCCGTACGAGGATGTCCAAATCGTCTATGTAAACGCCTTAGTTGTACCTCCGTAAAGAAAATACTTGACTCTCTTTTGCTGAGATTGAAAAAAGCATGGCCCCATTTGCGTACGACTGGAATATGTTTCCCATCTCGTCGTACGATAACATTCGCAATGTTGTTGAAGTATGCCTTTAGTCTATCTGCATCTTTTAAAGAGAATAAGAATGGCGTAGCTGACTCGAAGATATGGTACTTCACTCGTCCGATTGGATTCTCCATGATGATAGTCCCGATTGATGTGTTTAAGCGTCCGTCTCCGAATCGTACGTAGACCGACCCTGGTTTCCAGGATACTTTTGCTTGTGGGTTTTCCCTGAGGTATGCTATGACCTGTGACTTGCCGACTGTAGAAACTTTCGCTGCACCTGTGTCCCAAAGTTCCCCTTGGTAAACTGATGTATATGGGTCTTGTAGTACGAATTGAGTTGCTTCTACTGTCTTTGGAGCTGAGAAAATGTCTTCCCCTGTCGTACGGTGGAAGAATGCTGCTGAAGTAAGGAAAATTGAAACCTCCTCGTCTCCAGTATCATCATCGTCACCATCAGAAATATTTTCAACAGGGTTATCTCCCTCTACTTCTTGTAGATATGCTGTAAAATCATCGTACGGCTCCTGGTGGAGTGTATAACATGCTTGTAGGTATTGGTCTCTTGCATATTTGCGTTCCTCATCAGAATGGTTTGTCGACCAACAGCCTGTCTTCTTACAGATGAAGCATCTTTTGCTTGTGTTCGTACGGGTAGGTTTTCCTTGGGATATGTTCCCTTGGTCTTGTCTTTCGTACGTCTGTCCTTGAGGTCTTCGGTAGGGTTGTTGCTTATGTCTGCTTCTCTGGTTGGAATTATACCGCCTATCGACAAAGTTAATGTCGTACGATATTGTCTTCCTATCGATTGCAACTTGTAGCGAGGCTCGTAAGTTAGAGAATAGCTCCTCACATGTCTGGTCAGACTTGTGATTACTGAGGGCGTTCTCTAGCTCTGGTACGCCTCGGCATGCCTGGATAACTTGCGTGCGAAGCATAATTTCTCCTTGGAATCCTGTACCTAGTGCTCGTTGTACGAGAGATAACTTATCAAATAATGCTTCGAGGACCTCGATCGGTTTCTTGTCTGGTTCCTCACGTTTAACTCGTACGAAAGATAATGTTGTCCAATCTGTATAGTAGAGATTGTGGTTGATGTCTGTATTGAAATGTGCATCTAGCATCTTGTAAATCTCGTCCCACCTCTTTGTTGGCCCGATATGGTGGAGGTAGAATTCCTCCGCACGATCGGCTAAGATGTCTGGAAACACGGCATGGTATTGGTCCTCTGTTATTCGCAATCGTCTGCAGAAGCTGATGAAAATCTTGGCCTTGTCATACAGGATATCGTACGGTTTGCCAGTATAGTTCCTCTCTTTCTTCCATCCCTTCTGAAAGACCGCAATCGTGCTTGGTTCGCACGGTCCATTCTGGACTATGCGTCGTGGTGGAAGATCGTAAATACTGTTTGCTGTATAGATACTTGTTGTACGATCCTGTATCTGTGGGAAGCTCTCGATCTCCTGGGTATATCTTGCCCCTGGGGGTAGATTCTGTGTGCTTGATTGATCTCGAGTATTTGACTTCCTGCTTGCTCGTTCGGTATCGTACGAAGGTTCGATTGACTCTATCGCTGGTTCAGCTAAAGTCTGACGTGTAGTTGTCTCTGGGGTTCGGACCGGTGTGCGTGTAATAATGTTCGTACGGCTTGATGTTCTTGTCTGGGAATTATCCCGGTCGTCCGTAGAATCGAATCCTTTTGCTATGTCTGAGACTATATCGACTAATTGTTCTGAAACCGTCCTTGATTTAGGTAGTTGAAAGCCTTTTAGTTTAAGTAGTCGTGCGAACTCGGTTTTGTACGTCCGGTTAACTAAGTCCCATTGGTATGGCGACCATTGATGGAAGTCCTCGTACAATTTCGTAGTAAGTACTTCCTGTGGAGGGTCTAGGTGTATGATTTCCATCATTACGTAGCCGACGTATGTTGTTAATTGTTTCTCCGAAGGTCCTGTTTCGATATCGACTAAGTCTCCCCAGTATTTCGGATCTGTAGACTTCTTCCATATACTAATAGGAATAGTACTCTTTGCACTCATGTCTTCGTACGTGACCTCATAGTCATTTTCCTCCTCCTGGAGGAGGTCTTGCTGTACGATATCAGGTTCTCCTGATGTCGTCATGTTGGCAACCGTTTCGTATCGTACGGTATCTAGTTGGATGGTTGTTGAAATGTGCCGTTGCGCACACTATTTGCTAAAGTATTGCACGATAGGATTCTTGTCCGGTTACGACTCACCGCAGCGACAACAAGAATCTGTCTCGTACGATATTATAACAAACCGTCTTCTCAGGCTAGTTGTCCGGTTACGACTCACCGCAGCGACAACAACTAGGCTAAGGCTCTTAGCACAAGAGATTTCCTAGCGTGACCCCTTAGGTATTCTTTCGAATTTCTCGCCTCGTACTTGCGTACGAGACTACCCGGTAGCCCGGCCGTAAAACCTCGATCTTGTCTCTTCACTCTTGCTAATCTGTGATCGCACGATGCAATCACTCGTGACTGCCAAGCAATCACTGATCAGTGTTGAATGGGCTCTCTGTACGATCGTACTGTCATAAATGTAGGGTGAACCAAAGATTCTATTTTCCGTGATTACCTTTCCTAACTAGATGTTGCCTTCCGTACGAACAGATATATCTCTGTCCATACCTAGACACGAGTCGTGCATGACAGGTAATAAACCATGATCCCTTCCTCAGACATTTAGGTGTTACAGGTGCTAGTCATGCCACCTATACACCCCTTTGCCTGTGACAGCCTTGTCGTACGGTCATGTGATTATCGTTATTCCAACATAGATACTATATATAGCCTAAGAAACTTACGGTACCCCCTAAGCAAGCTAACGCTATAACTAAAATCCCTAGCTACGAAGAAAAGGGATAGACAGCCTGCTATAATAATAATTATACTATATATAGGTATGCAAAAGAGAATAGTAGATAATACCCTTAAAACCCTGTAAGACGATTAAGATACGATACTACTAACATACTTAAGGCTATTACTATGATAGACCGATATACTAGTAGACCGGATTATACTAAGTAGCGTAACAGGAGCTACTCGACGACTAGGAACAAGCGAAGAAGGCCGCGGAACTTAATAACGCCTTCTAAGATAGTAGCATTATATACTAACCGGGACTCTTATAGGATATCCTACGCCTTGCTAACTATCGATAGACGAATAAAGTAAACACCCCGGAAAGTTTCTTAGAAGAAGAAGCTAGGAAACTCGAAAAAGAAAACGAGATAGCTATTAAATAGATATAAGACGCTATCAACTATACGATGCAAATTCGAAACAACAGCGAAGTTAGAGACACCTTCTAATATATACGGAAAACCCGAGACCGCTATATCGTACTACGCGAAAACACCCGAGGATAGTATTAACTTAAGTATAAAGCAACCTAATTTATCTACCGACCCTAAAACGATAGAAAGACGGAATAAACCCTCGCGGTAGCTAGCAAATACGCTTGCAAAGCTACTAAGCAATTAGATAAAATGCTAAGATAATAATAATTTAGGGACGCTAGCACCTAGACCTAAGTATACTAAGCAAAAGACAACCTAAGCTAACGATAAAGCTTACTATATACTATAGTAGCTAGCGACTCGACCTTTGAATTACTATAAAGAACCCGCGCTACTCCTTAACCTATCTCGGAATAGGCTAAAGACGTCGTAGACAGACTACCCTCGGCGGAAGTACGTCTATAAGGAACGTCGATAGACGATACCGACCTAGAAGACGTAGAAGAAAAATACTATCTCGATAGAATAGAAAAAATTAAAGAAGTATTAGAATATGTTGGAACGGTAGGTAGGAATCTCGTAGATAGTACGATATCCTTATAACAGGGTATTAGAGTAAGGGAACTTGTACTTATGAAGTAGGGCTTTAATAGTAAAGAATGTATAGGCTTATATTGAAGCTGAGTTGGTTGAGGAACTAATAGCTAGCTAAGGGAGAGAATTAGGCTAGTTATATAGTAGTATAACGTCGCCTATAATAGCTAATATAGGAAGCTATAAGCTAGGTTTAGTATACGTAAGTATATACGTCAACTAGCTTATAAAGCAGCTTATAAATCAGACTAGAATCTTCTTTAACTAAATAGACTTTTAGATAAGGTTAAAGAGAGTATTCCATAGGGATCTGAATGTCATATGTTTAAACTAGCAAGCAGCCATTCTTAGCTAGTTACTTTTGTAAGTCCTACTAAGTCTTAGATAAGACTAAATAGGATAAATAAGTAAAATAGAAGTATAATATACTTATACTTCTAACAGAAGGCGATAAGCAAAGTATATAAACTTTACGTAAGGCGATAGGTAGTAGAAGCTATCGCTACTTATAATAGCCTTAATATAAAGCTAATTATTAATTTACTATTATAGTTATAAGTATAAGTATAACGCGAAAAGAAAGGCTAGACTAGACTATTTACTTTAGTAGCTATAAATAGCAAAACCTATACTATCGATACGCTACGTAGTCTGAAAACCTTCTAGTCTACTATAGTTAAACTATACTACGAAGATCCTAATTAACTACTTAATTCTATCGCTATGCTAGAAGAAGAAGAACCTAAAGCTAAGATACCGTAGTAGGAAGTAGTACGCGACGAAATTATTATCGCCGGCGGAGGTAGTAAACCGGACAAACCGCAAGAAGCACCAGAGCTACCGAGAAGACGCCTAGGCAAACCCCGGAAGAGACTACTACTAATCGCCTACTTTATAAAAGAATTTAATAATAACCTAGATTATTAATAAATATTCCTATCAATTAAGGAGTAAGTAGATAAAGAATTAGTAATTAAACTACGACGAGAAGGTATTATTACTATACTAAGCAAACCGTTCGAATAGTTAACTAAATAAGAGATTAATAGCCTTATCGCTAGAAAAGTATTTAAATTTACCTAGTTTAATAAGAGAAGGCATTAGAACGTACGAATCTTCCGATCTCGTATCATTAACAAAGTCAAGGGTAAAATAACTAAACCTTATAAGAAATCGAGACTTATAATACAAGGTTACGCCGACGATAGTAAGAAGGCTATATTAACCTAATCGCTAACGATTTAGTAGGCAAGTTAATAGCTAATTCTATTAATTACCTTATTACTCCTACGAGAAGGGAAATAACTATAGCTTCGAGATATTATATAAGCCTACGTTTAATCCTCTATAAGGCTTAATCGTACTATTCTCGCCTACCTACCGAAGCAAATTCAAGACTAGTACCTAAAAGGGACTATTATAAAGGTTGTAAAGCCTTTATACGGAATCGCAGAAGCTAGAACCTACTAGTAGGCAACGTATTATAAGTATTATAAAGAGAATCTCTAGATAGTTACTTCTTCGTACGATCTATGCTTATTAATCTTATCTACCGAAAATCTATACTTTAGCTATATCGGTATATAAACCGACGATACCCTCGGTTTATTAGACAAGGCGTTCTTATAATTAAAAGACGAATAGTTAGAAAAAGCAGCTTTTATAATAAAAGCGAAGAATATCCTTATAATTAACAAACCCTTCTAATTTAACGGAGGGATAATCGCGCTATTAACCGATAATTCGATTAATTTAAGGCAAAAGGGATAAGCTAAGAAGTTACGATATATTAAGACTACTAAACCTAACCTAAAATAGTAATATATCGAACAACGCGCTAGAAGGGCGTATATCGCGTTAATTTGCTAACCCGAGGCCTGTTTCGATTTATCTACTACTACCTAATACTAAGACCCCTTGCTAGAAGCGATAAAAGCACTAAATTAACGGATTCGATAGTAAATAGAATCGCCTAACCGAGGAATAACGTTTATCCTACTTAACCTTATAATAGCTAAGCTATTCGTTTTCGTTAACAGGTTGTTTGCTAATAACTACGACCTCTCCTCCTAATTAGGGTTTCTAATTATCCTAGCTAACGATACTTCTTCTAATAGTAATAACGGAGAATTTACGATTTACGGTAACCTTGTTTATTATAGCTTTACGAAGAGTAAATAAGTTACTTATAGCGTATTAGCGTTAGAGATCTACGGGATAGTCGCTAGCGTCGATATAGCCTACGCCTTCGCTATAACCCTAGCGATAATTACTAACTACCTTAACCTACTAACGATTTAGATAGTTATCTATACCGATTCTTATTCGCTATACGAGTATCTTGTAAAGCTAGGCATTACTAAAGAAAAGCGACTTATAATCGATATTATAGCGTTAAGACAATCGTACGAAAGACGAGAACTATAAGAAATTCGTTAGATTAATAGCGAAGACAACCTTGCTAATACCCTTACGAAGAGCAAACCAAATCAAGCCTTCGAGAGATTTATTAATAGCAATACGATAACGATATATATAGAGGAATAGGTAACAAGACCGTAACTACGGGAGAAAGTAGGGATAGGAGGCTGAATTGACAAGGAGACGGAACTATATAAGGATAACGTATTCTAACCGCTTTAATACTATAAAAAGAAAGTTTCCAGTATTGCGATAGTTAGAATACGGAGTCGTATAGCACTTCCAGCCATACGCCTGCTAGGCTGAGAGGCCCAAGCCTCCCAGACCCACGTGACAGGCCAAGGGGGAATATCCCCACCTTCTAGTCAACAACACCACTTTCAACTATCATGAACCATCGATTAGAACCAATTTACTGTTATTTGTTATTGACGAACGGAATTCCGTTTCACCCCCTGTGAAACCTACAGCTGACGAATCGGGTTGTAAAAGACGTTGTGGCAATGCGTGCCGATAAGCTCGAAGGGCCTTGGTCTCAACCGTTCTTTGTATCACCTGCATACACCCGCACTTTCAGCACCCAGTCAGGTTTCTCGTGGAGGATCAAGGGTTCGAAGACTACGACGTATCTGTACATGGCAGATCAGTGGGACATGCTCTCGTTGTGGGAGAGTCGCAATGTTTGGCTCCCTATTGAGATTGATGAAAGCAAAGGCAGCCTAAAGGTTGTTTGGCACGATATCTATGACTTAGACGTGTAAGTGAACCTAGGAAAACTTAAATTTGTCATCCACTCATACACCATTCACAGGAAAACTGGTGTATGGAAACCTATCCGCGGCAAGACATACACCTCCAGATACGCCAAGACAACTGGTGATGCCCACCTCCAAGAAGCGGTATGTTGCATCGGCTAGCTGTTCAAACCAATCAAGTATTGTTCTAAACTAAAAGCTTCTAGACCTTTGGCAGCCACAACGCAATCGCTACTGGAATCTACGGCAACGACAGCACCATCACTTTTGAAGTCGAAGGCGAAGGCCGAGATCAATGGGTATCATTTTATCACCAAAGTAAGAAAATTTCCCCCAACTCTTTGGACTTTTCAGGACAGACTGCTGATTGATTCCAGACATCGATGACATGGGCTTCGGCGACCAGCCCTTCGGTCAACCTGACCGCATCAACGGCACTTGGCAGCTGCGCCGTATCAGCAGCGTCGTTGTCAACGGCGACAACAGCACGGTTCACACGCTCTACCAGAAGGATACCCACAAGGGGATCATCCTGTCGACCCCGCTTCTGCTCCCTTTGCAGAAGGGGAAGAACACTATCACCGTTGGCGGTCTGTACAACGGCTTCGACTACAAGGGTGCGGATCTGGACCGTATCGTTGTTTACCCTGCTGAGGAGACCTGGCAGAAGCGTTCCTTGATTGACGCGATCAAGTTTTGGTGAAAATAAGCTCAGAAAGGTTGTATGGCCAAACTTCAAATTTTGCAAGACCGGCAAGATGAACAAATGGACAGTGGGATGCTGCATTTGGGATGTTGTCTTATTGACTAGTTTATTCTATGACATTTTTGTTTTCAGAACTCTCATAATGTTCATTGCTTAATCTGCTTCCTGGGATCCCAGTTGGCGTCGACGTCGTCGAGCAAGTTGCGCGACTTGAGTGCATCAGCGCCGAGAATCTTTTCAAGGCTGACCAGCTTAAAGCTGGCTTCCGTGCTGGTACTTCCACCCGGGAGCTGGTTCGCGTCGTCGTGTACAACAACAAGACCATGAGGGAAATCCTTGCCCAAGTTTGTTCCGACCGCAGTGATACCATCGGTGTTGGAAACTGCATCGACCTGACCGTCTGCAGATTTGGTGATGGTAAAAGTCGTGACGTACTCATGCGGAGCGGCACGGCGATACACGTTGTAGGCACTCACACCCTGGCTAGAGACAATGACGTAGCCCTGATCAGGCTGAGCGCCGTATACCAGAGTAACGCCCTCCACATCGGCATAGATATGGCCGTCACCGACGTAGGCGACTCTCACACCTGGTTCTTTGGAGTCGGGCTCGGCGTCATATCGCCAAAGAGCAGATGGCTCCTCGCCGAGGAAGATCCAGCCGTTCTCTTCATCAGTAACGCAACCCTCGACTTGACCACCCGAGCCGCCGGTGAAGTCGCGGACCAGGGTAGTTTGAAGGGTACCGTTTGACGTGGAAGTCAACTCGTATTGCAGATACCTGGCGGACTTTTCGTTGACGAAGAGGTATTGCTTGTTGGTCTTGGGGGACCGGTAAACGCACGAGCCGTAAACCGTGTAGCCGGGCACGACAGGCTGGATACCGCCTGGAATGTTCGTGAGAGTGCCATTCGAAGTCATCTCAAAAAGGCTGATACCTTGTTAGTCGGGCTGACACGATCGAAAGGGGTGTATCTTTCTTACCATAGAGTGTCGTCTGCGCGGCAGGCAGCAAAGGCGAGGTCGACCTTGCGGTCACCAACTTGGAAACCATAAATGATGTCGACGTTGTTAGGCTCACCGGCGTAAATGGTCTGGAGTAGCTTGCCAGTCAAGTCAAAGACACCCAAGCCAGCTCCTTGAGTGGACTTGGTCGTGGTAATGATACGAGACTTGTCGGCAGACTCGGGCGAGATCCAGATAGCGGGATCATCACCATCGCCGCCATTCTGGTCAGTCTCGTACGAAGGCTCAACCAGAAGGAACGAGCAATGGAGTCCTCCCCATCCGTTCTCACACTTGCACTGATTCGGGCCGACGCATTCGCCACGCCCGGAGCAGTTATCGGTGCACTGGAACTGGTCACACTTATCGCCCGTGAAGCCGGAGAAGCAGGCGCATCCAAGGGCGTTGTCTTGGCAGTACCCGTTGGTAGAGCATGCATCGCAGATTTTGGAACGAGTACGGCATCCGACTGGGGATCGAGGGTCGTATTCGGTGTTGGAGGAGACGGCGAGTTCACTGAGGGCACCATCCAGAGACACAAGACCAAATCCAGCGACATCGTCGGCCTCAATGGCGAAGGCAATGGCACCATTGGGGTACTTTGAGGTTGCTCCCTGGTAAATACTGAGACCCTGAACTTCAATATCCTCCAGACCAGTCAGTGCAATAGTACCAAGAAGCTCGAACGGATATTCGTAAACGGCAATGGCGCTTTCCTGGGCGACGAACAGGTAATCTTGGCCAGTTGAATTGGAGGCATACACAGCGATGCCAGTCACATCCTCTGCCGCCTCGCCAAGCTTCGTAACCTCGGGAGCATCGGTAGATTCAGTGAGATTGAACACATAAATGTCCTTGTCGTCGTCGGCGGAGAGAAGCATCTTGGACTGAGATCGAGAGACGGCACAGCCGGAGAATTCGGTTGGTGCTGAGAAAGTTTGGATCTAGGTGATTCAGCAAATGGTACTCAACACGAGATTCAAAGATAAACCAACCTCAACTAGCTCAATATCGGATTTCCCTTGACGGATGAGGTATTGAATGATTTGTCCCTTTCCGAAAAGAAAGACATAGTCGTTCAGACTCTTGCTGCGCCATGAACACAGGGCGGACCAATCGCCCAGAGCGGTGGTCTGGGCAGCCTGGATCTCGGTAAAAGAGGGGACCTCGAACACACGGATGATAGAGTCCGGCATGGCGATGGTGACCGCGAGGTCTTTGTCGCTCACATTGTAAACGGTCGTGACTAGCTTCGTCCGGCCGGTGGTCAAAGCCTTGATCTCGGAGAGAGGCGTGTCGCTGTTCAGGTCCCATGCGTGAAAACCACCAGTAGCTGCGCCACCGTCGTTTCCGAGCAGCAGAGGGTTCGACTTGGAGTAGTAAACACTGGTCCAATCCGACTCGAGCTCACCGCCGGTCAACGCTGTGACGTTGAGCTCGAGGTTGACAGCGGTAGCTAGCCATGGCTGCACCACCACGGCGACGAGGGCCGCGGCGAGAGAGAGGTGCTTCATGCTGATTGAAACGGTGTCAAGCCGGTAGAGAGTAACCTGACATGGCAGAACCGGCAGAACGAAGGTTCGCCAGAAGAAGAGGAGGAGCAGTCCATTTATCATATCGTCTCATTCTCTAGCGGAAGTGGTCCGCGACTAGGAAAATGCAACAGTAGCAACGCCCCCACGCCACAATTCCGGGATCGCAATGCAGGTTCAGCCTTCTAGCCATGCAGGCCAGGAGCACTAGACCATGACGGGTACCGAATTAACTTCGTCTAAAGTCTAGATCTGCAAAGTAACAGGCGCGTCTGCGAGGGAAAATGCAATGGTGGCACCAGAAGGGTAACTTTGCTGAAGCAATTGAGAAGTGAAACGCGTGGAGGCATCAGAGGAAACAATTGGTGGACGCCAGCGAACAAGGAATAATGGAGCTTCCATTTTGGGGGTCGTCCGTTCTTGGCGCTGGCACGTGTTGTTCACAGGGGGGCGTAGTAGTAGTAATAGTAATAGTTTGTAGTAAGATGTATAATAAGCACTTGTGTAGAATCAGAACTCGCTAGGAAAACCATCAGTTGTAATATTTCTGCCGCGTGAATACCATGCCATTTTGGAAAACTGATACTAAGGTACCTATAATGATTTAATGGTATTGGGAACGCTATCAACTTTGCCAGTTGCTTTGTTCTCAATTGGTCTGTGCTGTTGCCACTGATTTCTACATGTTTCTTCAATTGCGCTTTGATCCTAATGTTACTCTACTACGTAGTAGAATATGTCATAATTCCTGCAACAGCCATCCATTTACGTTGAGCCTGGACGTATTGAGACCAAAGCGCACCCCACACTCTGCTGTTTGGATTCTTGAACTTCACTGAGAAGATGTACAACCTTTTGAGTTTACACATTTTGAGGCCTGTGGGTTTTCTGCTCTCCACAGAGTAACAGTATTTGTTTTCTGCCAAGCTACTAATGCGGCTCAAAAAAAAGCTTCAACTTTAGCCAAGTAAACGAACGAAGAATCAAGGAGAAAGGCCTGTCAAACGTTTCCCTCTATCACTAGTCAATTAGGCGCAATCACAACACTCTAAAAAGACACCAATTAAATAAATGAGAAATGTGCGCTTTACCAAGGCTTTAATGTTCAATGTGTCTATCTGTAGGTATCTGAATATCATACAATAACGAAAACTTGACACGACAGGCGCCCATCGGCAGTTGGGACTAGGCAACCAATTCCTGATCACGCCTTAAGAAGGGGGAGCGCCGGTACCGGAAGGGGGAGCGCCGCTGGGCGCAGTACCGTTGGCGGTGCCGTTGCCACCACCGGGAGCACCACCACCACCGCCACCGAAGCTAGTGCCGGAAGAGTGTCCGCCATTCTCGTCAATGTAGCCAGCGATGCTGTAGTAGTCGTCATCAGTGTAGTCGGCGGAGGCGTTGACACCGATCTGGATCCAGGCGAAGAGGCCATCCTGAAGGTCGTTGCTGAGGTAGACGAACTGGGGGAAGGGATCGTAGGAGGCGTCGGCCTGAAGGACGGACCACATGTCCTCGGCGTTGCTGGTCACGGACTGAGTGTTGGTGTTGTAGGGGGCGAGCTCCTCGACGGCGGAGCGGAGGCTCTCGGGCCAGAAGAGCTGGCCAATGTGAGAGACGGGAGCATCCCAGACAGAAATTGTGCCGTTGGGCATCACAGTCGCGTTGGTGTGCGACAGGAGATGGGTGTGGGTGGCACGGCCCTCGTAGTGACCGGGGAAGATGGTCTCAAACTGAACAACACCATCGTGGTCCGTCAGCTGGATGCCACGGAGGAAAGTGCTGTTGAGGCCGTCGGCGGCGTAGTTGCCGTTGGTTGAGATTCCGGAGTAGATACCGGTGGCGTTGCAGTTCCAGATGTCGACGGCAACAGCGGGAATGGGCTCGCAGGTGCTGACATCGACGTACTGCACCTCCAGGAACAAGGGCACACCGTCGCAGTACTCAGACTCAATGACGTTGGAGCGCATGTACTCGCCGACAACGTAGTAAGGGCCGTCGGTGATCTCAGGAGCCAAGACGCAGCTGGTGTTGGCGCTGAAAACGTCCTCAAGGGGAGTGAAGATGCCGTTGTTGCTGACACCGGTCTGGTTGTGGTTGACGGCCTCCCAGGCGGTGAGGTCGTCAGAGTCACGACGGTACTTTCTGGCGGCTGTGGAACTGTCAGCAAAGAAGAACATCCGATATTGTTCAAGCAAAGTTTACTACTTACGAGCCTTGAGACCCTTCTTCTCGCGGATCTCCTTGACCTTCTGCGCACGGCGCTGGACGGCGCGAGCCTTCATCTTCTGGGCGCCGGCGGAGTTGGAGCAGGAGTTGAGGGAACGCTGGCCGATGGCGGCAACGTTGTCGCGAAGCTGGATGTTGCGCTTCATCTCGTGGTGATCGTGGTGCTCACCGGGGTGGGCAGCGACATAGCCGCAAAGCGCAAGGCCAGCGGCCGAGAGGGCGGAAAAGCGGACCATTGTGTCGAATGCTCAGGAACAAGACAAGTTGTAGCGAATGTAGAAGCGATTGTCTAAACTGTTGTGATATCGAAAAGAATGTTGTTGCGGTTGATGCGCCTGATGTCGAGTCCGAGATAAACATGACAACCGGCTCCTACACCAGCCTTTATACAACTCGACTTCGCACCTCGTCCTCCATCGGCCTCGTCGCCCTCGCCGCATCCGTGATGTGGACTGTGGAGTGGCTCACCACTTTCCTCTCCTCTACAGCCATGGAGAGCCCTCGTCATCCCCACGTCTCTCACTGCTATTTTTGATCGTTTCCGTCCAATGTCGCGGACCGTCGTCTGAACACCCGTCCAACCAGGAACGCGCGAAAGGTAATGCACTACCCGTTGCCGTCGTGGCTCGCAGGGGTTCCGAGCCTCACATACACAACCTCGACCCCCGCTGAGCGCATTTTAGAGTCAATGCGGTCCCATGCGGCTGTCCTTAACTCAGCCTCAGAGCAGACGCCAAGTCAAAATGTGTAGACTCAAGCTTTCACGGGAGCAAAAGATGGTTCTAAAGTGGAAACCGGGGTCGATCCGGCGTGGGGCTTCCCGGATGGCTCTCCCACATTCCGTCTATTTATGGGTCGGAGACGTTGACAGAAGCATGTTCGCTGGGGCTTCCGCTGACGAGGCATTCTCCACTTCGCCGGTGGCGCCGCTGCGCGTCTGCAAGCTTCAATAAGATTGGGCCAAATTTTGCTGACAATGACATACCGGGGAGGGGGGCTTTGTCTATGCAAGGACCATCGGTCTGTGGGAGAGGTCCGGATAGGGGTGAAAGACAGGCGGACCTGGTTGACCATGGGCTAAGATTGTTGTTGGTGGCATCGATGACGAAAAAGGAAAATATGAAGAAGAGGTGGATGCTATCCATTTATTCGGATCAACCATTTTTCTTCCAAAACAGATGAAAAACTTTTTCTCTCTCTCTCGAATACCCATAGAAAAAAGGGAAAACAGTTAATGATGAAATAGACTTCTCATAGATGAGCAGCAGTGTTAACAGTCTTGGAGATCAACCCTATCTAACAGAGTTCGTCTCGTTTCGACCCTCCCGTGAGGTAAAACAACTGAATCGCCCAGGGGTGTTCTGGGGATGCCGGACATAGAGTTGAAAAACGCCCGACCGGCCGGGATCCCTAAATTTCGGGGACGACGAACGGGCCTATCTGGATGCAGTCAATCAATCTGGAAGCTGGCCATTGGCTACCGCGCTAGTCTAACCCACTTACAAGTCGAGGCCATTGTTAGGCGGTGTCTAAGTCGTCACTCGACGCGTCACTCTTCCAGAACCGTGTTCTCCAGCCGACGAGGCCCCTCACCACGCCACACTGCCTCTTGAGACTTATCAAAATATGAATTGCCGAGGCCTTCTTACCTTGTGGTCTTCTTCCTTTTGGAGCAGATACATATGGACCTGAGCCACAGGTAAATTCTCCAACATTTCCTACCGCTTGTAGTCCCCGACGAACCCACACTTTGCAATTTGGAATCAAACACAAGCCGTATGACATTTGTGTTGCGTGGTTGTTTCTTTCAAAGAAACTTATTGGGCGACAGCTCATGATCACACTCTCGAAAATCGAGGTAGAACGGCACCCGCTTGGGCAGCCATACAACAAAGTGCTGGTTTCCTGCCCCCTAAGTGCTGGACAGGTAATGACCATGGTCTGAAATTTACTCACAAAGTTGATAGACCTTGTTCGCAACTTGTCCGGATTCAAAGTTGTAAAACCACGAGGAGTCCTGTACAAAACACCGCAAACTGGGCGGTTGTAAAGCCAGCCGTGAATTTCAACAGGGTCTGAAATGCGGGCACCATCTCCATCGCAAAGTCCTCATTTTCCAGCACGACAACAGTAAAACGCATCTTCTGTTGCAACACCCCTTCCAAACCAACCTAAACGGAAGACTAAGCTTGATAGTAGCTCATAAAGTCACAGCTCGAGAGAGGATCTGCCATCTCACAGAGATGCTCTCTGTAGCGCCTGAGGAGCTAAGCAGGGCAGTCGCCATCCCGATGTTACCGAAGCCATTTTGGGATAACCCTGTGGCGCTATATCGAAAAGCCCCCTCCTCCAGTGGAATTGCCGTCGTTTGAGTGTAGAAAGGATAGCAAAAAGGTTTGTTATTGCTACTAGATCCAGAATGCCTACCAGTAAGACAGTTACCGCTGGATTCTGGACAGACCGTCGACAGTCATTCCCGAACCAAACTGCGGTGAGGGGTGAAAGCCCCTTAAAAGTGATAGGACGGGGGCAGATAGGAATCTTCCCCAACCGCTTTACAAGAACTCTCGCGGCATTACTAAAAGTTCGTGAACGGCAACTAAAGCGTTAAACTTCACACGTGGAACAGCTCAATTCAATCTTAACAGGTTCATCGAAGATAGGAACGGAAAGAAAGAAAAAAGAAAAAGAAACTCAGGACGTTGTAGTGGGATAGGTAACCGGAGCAAGGGGGCAACTGATGTGAATGTTCAATTTTACGCCGCACCCGGTCGTCGTGATGTTGGTTAAATTTGACATAATTTACTTCTGTGATATCAAGCTTCAACGACTTAGACAATGACTGAAACCTGTGCGATCACCTTTTCCACAACACAGGGAAGAAAATAGGAAATTGTAGACGAGCTAGCAAAAATACTCGTCAATTCTAAATTAATTGCATAATAGAGGCTCTTGAGCGCGACATGTTCACATGTCTCGAGGTTACTTCTCGTCGAACATCGCGAGAAGCATCAGTTTAAACAGCGACGGTGGAAATCTTGTACCCAGGCAGAGTGAAGCATAGGCTAAGGACCCCCTCCGATCCTGAGTGCCCGCAAACGTAGTTCGGCGTGCCGGTGCGAACACTGGCAAGATAGAGACTTTCGCGACCTTCGGCGCCAATAAAAGCAATCCAGGACTCGATGTTAGAACCGAGAGGGAAGTAAATTGTAGCGTTGTACGAAGGGACGGTACAAGGTACCGCGGGAGTGGCGCGGTTGACGTCGTCCCTAGCCGATCAGTATCTGTGGAGTAGAGGCTTTAGAATCGTACTTACCATTCACCGTAGCAGTGGGTGGTTTGGTTATTAGCGTTGTCGATAACGTCAAAGTCGAAAGTGAGGGTGTTGTTGACAAGCGCCTTGGCAGAGACGTTGGTGATCTCGACTTCGGGGGCATTTGAAGTAGTAGCAGGAGCGGCAGCCACAAGGGCCGCATAGAAAAGAGGAGAGAAGCGCATTATTATGGAGGTGAAGTGAGAAAAACGATTGTATAGAAGCTTGAAATCTGGGCAATTGACTTGTGTGTTGAGCAACTACGAAGTGACCATGACCGAGATCTCTTATTATACCTGTTCGCTACATCCACAATAAAACTTGTTGTCAACAAACATCTCGTATTTCAGATATTACCAGTATTATGTGATTAGTGAACTGGGACTCTTCACTGTGGAATTTCTCGATACCATCACGGATACTGGTTGAGGCTCTGATTTGGCCGCGGACTCCGGCGGTCAAGTGAAATAGCGTGAGACAAGGCGTAAGAGACCGTTAGTGAATTATCAGAGATTAGAGAATGATTAAAGCGAGATACGAGATTATCGGCAAAGCCGTAAAGCCGGCAAATCTTCGCTCGCTTCTGGAACAGCTAGGTACGAGACTTTCGGAATCTTCGTAAACCCACCTATGTTTGGTGGATGGCCCTCTCCAGGACCGAGGTACAATAAGGAACCTAGATCGCAATACGAGAGCTTCAGCACAGAAAGCCCTAAAACTGGAGCCCAGTGATCACAGTGAAGATAGTATGCCATGTTAGCCTTTTTGGGGCCAAAAAATTATTTATGTCGTTGTCTTCTAGAATAATCTAAATATCGAAAATTACCGTTGCTTCATAGTCTACCCGTCATCTTTAGCGTTAATTCAAGTTCGTTTTTATCAGACCACATTGGCAAGGGGATCGAATATTTTGCTCGCTCAAATCATTGGAATATTTCTTGCTTTAAATCGAACTAGGCGATGCTTTCTATGAAAAGGTTACAGCTCATACTTGACGTCTAATAGTGACAAAATTTGAGGGCCGGAGGCACCTCAGCCGCCTCCCTAGAACATGGCTGATTACAGGAGAAGAAAAAGTCCCAAGAATCACATTTACAACTGTGGAATAACAGAATGAAAAAAAAAAAAAATACAAAAACTTCAACTTGTGCTACCATGCTCATCCAAATAAATATTGACGTGAGTCTCCATTCACGTTTGGCTGGCTCTTCTCATCTACTACAGAGCCCCACCAGTCGAGTGGACTGCTTTTGCTCCATATCTCTTCAAGCAGAGCCGAAGCGGTCAGAAACATATCGTATCGAGTTTGTGCGCTCCACCATTCGCAATACTCCTTCACAATTCGTTGCAAATCTGGATCTTTGGTCTCACACCCAGCGAAGAAAACAGGAAGCAGGAGCTGTTTCTGTAGTAGTGTACTCCTCCTGCAGGATGCAACATGATTGAGGATCCTACGCCCGAGAAGTGCAAGAAGGGAAGGGGGCTGTGATTTTCTGTCCCACTTGAAAACCCTTTGAATATACAGAAGCAAAGTGTACCTCCAGGCCTCGGCGCAGTGATGAAGGTCTTGGCGATAATTTACTATTTCCTCTAGATCGCGGCCGTCTGTGGATGGTGTGTCCGTAGTCCAGAGCGTGGCATCATCGTAGGAGTACTGTGAATATTCTCGAGCATTCCAATTCCGAATACTTTCCTCGACCGCAAGAATCGGGCCATTGTCAAAAGTTACACACGTCATTGTTGCGACGAGCTCAACTTCTCTGGCATATTGACCGATTCGCATCATATATCGAAATAGCTCCTCCGGACATCCGGAGACGCTATAAAACGTCTCTTTACCGTCAGGGTTGTAGTTTCGAAGATCAGAGTGGTATGTTTGCGGCAGTACGCAACCCTTCCTCACTGTCAAAGCCAGCGTAACGTCCCACCTGAGTTGTGTTAGTGACGAATCAAGGTTTTGCATAGCATCGCACTCACCAAACCAACATGGCTATCTGAGCTTGTATCCGTCGTGTTCTTGGCTTACCATTCTCCTCTATTCCGACGAGTACACGGTGTGCAGAGCGGAGCTGTGACGTCCATGACCCGTACGCCGAAGTTGCACACTGTTGCGCTAATTAGCTTTTAGGCTTGAGAAAGACAGATGAAAAGGCCTACATCAAGAGTAAATAGTACAAGGATAGCATCAAGCATATCGGTATCGATTTTCAACACGTCCGCCTCGCTTTGCGTCTCATTCAATAGTTTTAGCGCCAAGGCCTTGTGTTCCTTGGCCTCTTTCGAACAGGTCCCGGTTACTCGGTTAATGTGTCGATATGACAATGCAAGTATTGAGTGAAGCAGTAACTGCGAATCTTGCCTTGCAGTTGCACCGCATCGAAAGGGATTGGCCTCGAAATCTGAAGTTAACGGCCATATACAAAACTCTTGATCATCTATGTTTTCTATTAGTAACCCCTAAAGCAGATCACAAAATAAATTGGGAAGTTGGTTTCTCGGTAGACATACACTGTGCCAGTAATTCATTAAGCCCATTTCCAGATAAGAAAGTATCCCCGATGGTTGAAGAAAATGCATTAAACTTGGGCACGATATTTGACCCAGCCACTATCGTTGTATTATCCATCGTATTATGTGTTCCGCATTTCGTCGAGTCATTATTTTCCGAGTTCCCAGTATCGGAGTTACTAGGGGTCGTAGTTAAGTCTTCGGAGCTGGCAAGATCGTCGAAGTTATCGAGGAATGGCATCAGTAGAAACGAGGGGTCCATTGAATCGAAATAATGTTCGATGTGTTGATTTCCCGAGTCCCAAAGAAGATTACCATCATTATCTGTCGCTTCTACCGGCCAAGGAAGGCTTGAGTCCAATATAGACATACTTGTTGGCGCCTGAGATGAACTGGGAATCATGGTTTCACTGTGTCCCCCCTCATGGTCAGCCGTAGGCTTAGGTTGTGGCGGCGATTGCGATGGCGGGTGCAAAGATGCGCCGCACTGCGATCGCTTCTCATCGCCCGAGTTCTTGTCGTCACCAGGTTTGCTGTTGGGATTTCGAGAGGTGTCGGTGATGCTCGCCACTCTTTGAGGGGGCTTTGGAGCGAAGGAATTTGGTTTCCGCCGCTTCCTGCTCGGGCCACCAACAAACTTGAAAGATCGTGGTGGCTTTGGGGGTTGTAAGTTCGACATGGAGAAATAATTTACAAAGGACAGACGTTAGGCTACCACATTCCAAGTAGCTCATGACCAGATTGGGAGATGTTTGGTTTGAGGAGCATCTTTGGGCCGAGGATAGAACACAAGAAGACGAGGAGATCAATCCTGCCCACCAGGCTTGATAAGCCTACCACCATGTTCCACTTTTCTGGGGTAATGCGGGGTAAGCTGTTACATGGGTAGCTCGGATGAAGGGGCAGGGATCGCAAAAAAGTTCCAAGTTGATAAGATGGATCACCTGGAGCAGGACAATCTAGATTGGAGAGAACGGGATATGGAGTCACAGGGATACACAGGATAGCGATTGTATGTCATAAACTGCTTCGAAAATCATATTTTCCGAATGGCTTTACTTTATTGTTGGGAGCTTTGTATGATAGATGCAATTATATCCAAAACCATAAACCGTCCACATATTAGTTGTAGAGCCCGCCATTTGCAGAGAGTGTTGAGCCTGTAGTCCATTTGGCATCTTCAGAGCAAAGGAAAGCTACCAAAGGTGCAATATCATCAACTTCTCCAACACGAGCAGCTGCCGGCGTAGATTCGATCAACGGCTGCATATCCTTCAGGAACTGTTCGTCGCTTTGGAACCATTGATCTACGTAATTCGCATAAAGTTAGAGGTTTATCTCTACAAGGAGCTGGTTTTCACAAATAGAAGCTCACCTGTGGCAATGGGGCCAGGATTGACACTATTCACAGTGATACCGTGAGATTGGCCCAGTTCCTTCGCCCAGACACGAGCGAGTGCCTCGTTAGCGGCTTTAGTAGCAGCGTATACAGTTTGTCCAGCAACTCCCAAGCGGGCACCTGCAGAAGAAATGAATACAATACGGCCACCCTTGGGGAGGTAAGGTTCGACAGCTTTAGTTAGGAATATAGGGCCTTTGACATTGGTATCGAAATGGCGGTCATAGAACTCTGGTGTTGTGTCGACCAAGTTGGCTTCGTTTCCTTGCGCAGCACTATGATAGAACGTAATAGGTTAGCAAATGATTTTTTTCACCAAGACCCAGACGCTTGCAGCAGAGCAACAACACCTACTTATGGATGAGAATATCAATTTTACCCGACGGGCTAATTTTCAAGGCGCTTTCAACAAGCTTAGGAATGTCCGCAAGCTTACTGACATCAGCTTGACACAGAATTGCCTTTGTACCGTTCGTTTCGATCGTTTGAACTACTTTCTCAGCACGTTCGCGGCTGCTTTCCGAAACGTAGTTGACAACAACGTTTGCTCCTCTTTTTCCTAGAAGCTCGGCGATCCCAGCACCTAGGCCTCTGTTCGTGGTTGTATGTTAGCGGAGTACTGGCTAGTGTTGAGTTGACGAGCAGGGCGAGAGTCGGTACCGAGATGCGCCTGTCACAATGGCGACCTTGCCTTGAAGGCTCAAACCCTTGAAGTCTGACATTTTGGATATTGAAGATGGAAAGTAGAGCAGAATTGACAATGTTGACTACACGTAAGAATAGTATTGTGAACGTGGTTCTGATCTTTCTGGAGGTGTAGTATGAGCCTGTGTAAATTGCGCTGCCCTGTCCGATGTTAAGTATTTGATCACTGCTTTGTAGGTCTCAATGAGTGTTGGAGAACTGTTGGAGAGATGTTGGAGAGATTGCCACATCGGGAAGTTATCTCGTGGCCACTCGTCAGGGGTGATCCCTGAACCTCCACATCCCCGCCGGAATTTAGTTCCCGCCCGGAAAGTCGTCTTATCTTGAGTCCGATGATAAGTTATCTCTCAATCCCACTTGCCGTATGACCATATCTAGTTGACTACTACTCGACGATAGATCCGAAAGCCGAAAGTGGGATTATCTCTTATTGCCGGTTAAAATGGGTCTCATTTTGACATTTATCTGGATTAAGACTTGTTGGTCTTGGCCTCTGGCTGGAGGACCAATGTCGTTGATGCTTGCGTTCTAGCAGCTTGCGAAGACACTATAACAAGGCGTTCAATCATAGATGCAACGGTTAAACATATTGGGTACACTGTAAAAATTGAATTGCAATCAAGTCTTTTTTCGTTGAATTGGTGTTTCGCAAAACCATCAACTTTCACCATGACGTCTAAAACAAGTGACGGATATCAATGGACGTCCGATTCCAAAACCGTCCAACGGGGTCTTGAGACTAATGCAGTAATCAAACCCCCTCGACGCGGAGACTTTTCTCTCAACCGTGTTTACGATGCCGTCGTCATTGGTGCTGGCTACGCTGGACTTGCGGCAGCTCGAGATCTTGTTACCAAGGGTAGGTTCTATTACCGAGTAGATGTCACCCGAATCATATCAAGCTGAGTTCCTATTGGAAAAGGCCATTCAGTATTGTTAATCGAAGCTCGAGATCGCGTGGGTGGACGAACATATACGGTGACCAAGGACGGTGCGTATTCTAATGGAATGAGAGTAATGCTCGCGCATCAAGTAATGTTTTTGTCTAGGCTTTCTCTATGAAATGGGAGGAACTTGGGTGACCCATCACATGGGTTACTTGTTCAGAGAGATGGTTAGATACGACATGGACCGAGATCTGATCGAAACTGGAAGTCCGGACAAAGATAAGGGATATTACACTATCAATGTCCCCGGTAAGAAGTCCCTCGACCGAGATCCACTTTGAACTACTTTGGATAGAACACATGTAATAACCTTGAGCTTTTAGACGCTGAACCCAGAAAGTTATCCCACGAAGAAGCTGGAAAAATGTCATCCCGGGCTTGGGATGTTTTCGTAAACGTCGACGGCGAGCACTGTCGTACCCTTTGCCCTCTACCCCACGCCCAGTTGAACAACATCGTTGTGGACCGTGCGACTATCGAAAAATGGGATAAAATGTCTTGCCAAGACCGATTCGAGCAAATAAAACATAAGCTAAGCCCGGAAGAGAGAGGGCTTTTGGTATCTCTGCTCCTCCATATCTCGGGCGGAGAAATGGAGACAAGCAGCCTCTGGGATATGATCAGGTCACACGCGCTGATGGCACACGACTCAAAGAACTTTGGCGATATTTGGCTACGATACAAACTAAAGGAAGGCCAGACAGCTCTTGCAAGGAACATATTCCATGAAGCTGTCGATCACGGACTCGACTACTCCTTTTCAACCCCAGTGGCGGCAATAGCGCAGAAGGCGAACCAGGTTCACATTCAAAGCCAGTCAGGTGAAGTTTTTCGGGCACAAAAGGTGGTATGCACCATACCGTTGAACGTGCTCCAAGACATTCATTTCTCTCCGCCATTATCGCAGAAGCGTCAAGATGCGATTCAGCTCGGCCATGTCAATCAAATGTCCAAGATTCATGCTGATGTGGGTAATCCGGAGCTTGAGAGGTGGAACGGAATGCGATTCCCCGGTGTCCTGATGTACGGATATGGTGACGGGGTGCTCCCAAATGGAGATGTCCACGTCGTGGGGTTTGGGAAAGACGAGAGAACGACTTTTGTTCCGGAGAAGAACCCAGAACTTGCTGTGGACGCATTTCAGAAACTGCATCCAATGGATGTTCGAAGAGTGGTTAGTAATCATTGCCTCAAGCAGCAGGATTTCATCCAAAGGCTCTTTTTGGTTAGAGCAGATCACTGACAGAATATAGATCTTCCATAACTGGTGTACGGACCCATATTCCAAGGGCGGACCAGCTTGGTGGAGGCCTGGATATATGTCTAAATATCAGGACGAATTGCAAAGCAGGTGGGGAAATGTGTTTTTCGCCAGTGGAGACTGGGCACATGGCTGGAGAGCTTCAATTGATGGTGCTCTCGAGCAAGGCACTGTCAATGCGCAACAGATCACAAAGGAGCTCAAGAAACTTGACAAGCGGGCTAGAAACTTGCTTCAGTCAAATCTATAAGACAGAGTACTCAGTAGTCTAGGCATTTAACGTTTGTATATTCTTTCCACGCACTGAATAAAGATTATTTTCGGGAACCAGAAGAGGTAGTAGATACATACAACAACATCGTCTCGCACTACTTGGACACGGCACATCATACGTGAAAATGAAATGAATCCATAGTTACTATAACTCGAGAAGTTGCATTTTCCTAGTCAGAAAGAAAACTATACATCGTTAGGACGTTCCATTGGATTAAAAATGTCCCATTTCCTGGAAACTCAAGATCCTCATATCACATACAAATAACGAGCTGTCAGATTGAAGCCAAAAAAAACTAGGCACGGCACGTAGGAAAACAACCTTTGGCAAATTTGGATGCAAATAATTCAACAGACGCCTATCAACTTATTGAAAGCACTGGCGTTAAGTTTTTGGATATATTGATATTCAAATTTGTTAAAAAAGACATGATATACTCTGCTATAAGTGCAATACACACTGGAACAACAAGAATCTCCAGCCCAATCTGAATCCTTCCAGGCTCATTGCTTCCCCCTAAGTTGACCCAAAAATTTTGGACTTGGATTTCAAAAGAATTAACTGTTAACCGCATTCGAGCCATCCAGCAAGTCCCAATCAATCTGGGGCCCTTCGAACTGATTTCTGATCCAGTACCACGTGCCAACTACAAAGATACTGATTGCGCCGAGAACCACGCATACACTAGATGGGTGTTAGTATAGTTGGATACAAAAGGTAGGTGTTTGACCAAAATAACTTACTAGTTCATTGAAGCAGCAGTCACTGGTAGAATATTAGGGAAACAGATTACTATCCCAATCACGGTAATCCAAACCGGAGAAAATGAATTGCAAACATATCCCAAGATGCCTAAGTTAAAAGGACGACTTGGCAACTTTTTGGCTCTGCCTTGAATGAGACATATAGCCTGCGGCACAATGTAAGATATGTTGATAACTAAAACAGCGGCAGTGATAATAGAGTTGAAAGCTTGTGTGCTTGCCACGTATAGCAGCCCGTAAATTGCACAGAAAGCTGCCGAGAGAAGAGTAGTTCGAACCGGAAACTCATAGTATGAGTGGATTCCTGTCCAATAGTCCGAGTATGGTAAACCGTTCTAATTACATGCAAGTCAACATTTCGTACGTTTTGCGTGATTTGCCCTTTGGGTTGAGTGCGACTCACATCTCGAGCAAAGGCCCAAGCCAACCGGCCACATGTTATCCACTGGCTAGGCATGCATGCTTCAGTAACAAATGTCAGTTTTGCTACCATCCAACTCTAATGTTTTAATGTTTGATACGATACGTACTGTAAAATAGCACAGTGAGCAGTATCTGCAATCCTAGAGCAGCTGCTTTGGATTCGGTTGCTTGATGGAATGCTTCAAGGCTTGGGAGGATAGCAGACCGAACACTGTCAACATCTTTAATAACCAACATTAACGATATAATGAATGGTACCGATGTCAAAAGACCAATCAATAAAGTCAGGTTGCTATACATCATTGTTAGTCATACCGGCGTCAAAGCACTCGAGGGGTTACGCTGATTTGACTCACATTACGCGAGGGATCTCCTTGCCAGGATGGTGCATCTCCTCTGCAATGTGTACGACAGCATCGAGACTCGCGAAAGCGTACATGGCATTCCCAATACTCATGAACCAGGCCATTCCGTCCGGCCACCCGCTAGCCCCTCTAAACTCGAGGAGATGGCTGGCAGGCTGAAAAGACTTGCACATGGCCAAGATAACAACTGTCACTATGATAAAGCCCAGAATCGAGAGTAACAGGCAGGTGGTGGTCCATTTTCCAATATGGCGTTGAGGTATCGTGAAGATGGGTATAACTAATTGGTTGAATTAGAGATTTTTCAAGTCGATAGTCTTCAAAGTGGGCTTACGGGTCGATAAGAGAAGTCCAAGATAAAGCAGATATGATTGCCATCGCTGAGGTTCAAAGTCCGGATACATGAACTGGGCCATACCCATGATTGACTGAACGTTATTGGATAATCCGGAGCAGGTAATCACCCACCAGCCGATGACGCTGAGTAGGCCAACGGAGAAAGCGGCGAACTTTTTGTGTTTTTCGGGGGCCAGAATAAAGGTAAAATGGTATTGGCCTGTTCAATAGTTGATTAGCTTACGGATTGACAGATGATGGTTTAGAATGTCATACCTCCTGAAGAAGGGAACGCCGAGGCCTGCTCAGCCATTCCTGCCGCGACGGCCCATTGCACGAAACAGGCCACTATGAGTCCGAATACGGTTGCTTGTGGTCCGCCATAGACCATGCTCTGTCCAAAGCAGCTGGCATATGACAACCAGGAGTTGGTGATACTACATGAAACGACAAAGTTAACAACTGGTATGGTTTTGAAGGTTTGTCCACAACACAGAGCGGTGTAAACAGAGCGGTGTAGGAAGATAGTCGATATGTGACTGACCTGAACCCGAGACCAAGTGTACCAAGCATATTGAATGTTCGTTTTAAGACAGGAGCATGGCCCTGTGCACGAAGAATGGCATCGTCAAGGTCGTACAAATCGCCCAACTTTGCAGACTGTGCATCGCTGGGGACTGAGGTAGACTTCTGGGTCTTGTTGATATCTCGTTCAACTTCGGGATCCATTTTATCGTTCGATATGATGTGGTTGATGGTTCGATGATGGAGTGACTGAGAGTTAGGTGACTGTGCAACGGTGGTCAGTTGCTGACTAGTGTTTTGGAATGGAATATGTATTCCAAGTGACAGACGCACCTTATCGCCTAAGGTGGCAAGTGGAACTGCTTTTGATATGAGTTAAGCGGTCGGTCAAAACCTGCCAGACTCGAAGTGATGGGATAGAGGAGAACTGCGAGTCTTTGTCTTGAACTATTGACAACCGACTGGCAGTCTTATTAGTACTTCAACTCGCTGTTCACTTGCCCGCCTTGATTTCAGAGAGTATCATGCCTGGTTTCTCTTAACTGATAGAACCTTCAAAGACCCATCAAACAGATAAAAGCAAAGCCGAATTCCCATTGCATCTGTAGTGCAGAACCATAGTTCCGTATGCCCGACACCCTCCTGACCAAGAGATGGGGAAGCCCCGGAACCTCCTCTGCTTTCCCCACTTTCCCCAGATTCGAGCTTATCGTGGAGCCTTGATCCTGGTCTTGCGGAGAACTGATCAAGCATTTGATGCAGAGCAAACTGTACATGGTATGCATACATTTGGATATTGGAATACTTGCGATTTGTCACAGAAAAACTGCCATAGCCACTGACAGGCATTTCAATTGCTGGTTATCAAACCCAAATTCCTTTCGAGGATCATAAACTCTTCGATAAGTTCTATTCTACGCTTCTACTTTCCCGTCTACCCATGTGTGTGTTTCTTCTCTGACAGCTGCCATACTTAGTCCTATCAGCAGTTGACTTTAGGTCTGTCTACTGCTTCAGGCGTTGTTATCTCCAAAGGAGGGAGTGTGGTGGGGCGAACGTAGGATGATGTCATTCGTCAATACTTATCTTGATCAGGTACGCTAAACGGCCTTGGGGCTTAAAGTTGGATCCGTTGTGAAGCGGATCTCCTCATTCGGCGAAAGTAGTAATTTCTCCTGTTTAGGAAATTTAGGTCTGGTCCTGGAGACAGCACCTGGACTCGAATTCCCTGGTGCGGCAAAACATGGAAAAGATGGGTAAGTAAAGTAAGTCAGCTAGGGTATAAAGCGATGTATTTTTTTTTTTCTCTACTTCCTATCTGGTGTGAAGATTCTTATTACTGCAAGTCACTGTATTACGTACCTATTGAATCAAACTCCAACCATGGCGACAACGAGCAAAGACACCAAAATAATCGAGCTTGCACGCGATCTACAAGGTACTCCTTGGTGCGAAGAGTACGAAAAGATGATCTCGGGCATGTTGTGAGTTAGCTGCACTATTCGGCTCCGTTTTATGGCACGTACTTACGGGGGAGTAGGTACATCCCTCTCCATCCCAAGTTGCTTGAGGGACGTCACAAAGCTCGTTGTATTGTACACAAATACAACACGCTAGACCCCAGCTCGAAGCCTTATGACGAGTTGATGAACTTGCAACAAGACATGATGAAAGGCATTCTTGGTAAGGTGGGAAAAGGGACTTTTATTGAGCCACCTTTCGTGCCAGACTATGGATGCAATGTGATCGTAGGCGAGAACTGTTTCATCAACTTCAAGTATGCTCAAACAACCTAGCCCCTGAAGGTAATGTTTCTGACAAATGACAGTTGCACAATTCTTGACACAAGCTTGGTTATTATCGGCGACCGTGTCCAGTTTGGACCAAACGTGAGCATATATACTGCTGGACATGAGACCAGTGTGCTATCTCGAATCAAGTTTGTGGAGTTCGGTACCCCTATCCGGATTGAGGACGACGCTTGGGTTGGTGGAGGCACCATTATCCTTCCAGGGGTAACAATCGGGAAAGGAAGCACCATTGGAGCAGGATCCATCGTAACAAAGGACATACCACCTTATTCTGTCGCTGTCGGCGCCCCAGCAAAGGTGATCAAAAAGCTTCCCACAGTCGAGGAGGAAAAGGCGGATCCTAAGAACCCCTACAGAAACATGCCTGATAGAGAATGAGAAATTGAGAGTCACTGTTGAATCCTAGAAAACTGTCGGCCTATTAACCCCTGCTTCAATCTCAACCTATCTCACCCCTAGAATGAGCTTCCGACTATGACATTATGAAATTGCCCCTTTCAATTAGTCAAACCGGACAGCTTCGGCTTGAACTTCCGCATGCATGCCAGGCACCACTAAACCCGCAACAACTACTGATGTCCACGTCGGTGAATGGCCAGGATATCTTCCTCGAAAGAGCTCCAGCATTGTAGCCTCGTCTTCTGCCCGTGTGAAGTAAGCCACAACCTTATGTGCTCCTGCGAGGCCAGTCTTAACTCCTGCATCTTGAAGTGCTGCATCTAGACAATTAAAAATGGCGTGGAACTCGTCGACAATTGAGCTTTGCACGAGTTGGCCGCTTTTTAGGTCGACCCCAACATGCCCTGTTGTGACGACAAGATGCCCTTGCAAAGGCACTGTGGCGGTGGTGGCAAGCGACGACGAGCGGAGCATTTCCCCCACAGGACCTTGAATCCATCTGTATTCCGTAAACGGCGCCATGTCTGCGGGCGGACGGTAGTTTGAAATTTCTTATGGTTGTGATTTTGAGAGGTAGGTAACACAATGATCAGAAGCCTGAGAGTTTCTTAGACAAATCTTCCGACGACAGGAAGCAACTCGGCATCAGAAATACCCGTACCATAATACACGGGTCCACAATTCCGAACCTGGTTATATGAACCTTAATTATACCAAAAGAGGGAATGTGACTTCGTCTGTCTCTTCGCACCTCATTCACGCCACACACATGCTGTCTACCCACCGAAACTAAGGGCTACATTAAGACATCTCAACGTAGCTAACGTCTGCACGCCGCGTTTACTTGCACAGGTCTGTAGTAGTACCTTACCTAAGGTTTCTGTCTCATCACCACTCAAAATGTCAACGCATAATGTGGGACTTGTAATGAAGTCCATTATCGACGAGTATACTTCTGGAGACAAGCAGAGAATACCTGGAATTGTCTATTGTGCTGTTGGAAAGGATGGCGTGCCAATATTTCAACATGCCTCTGGCAAGAAGGGCCTTTCCAGCAATTTGCCAATGACGTTGGATACGACGTTCTGGCTGGTGTCGTTTACCAAGCTTATAACATCTATCGCTTGCATGCAGTGCGTGGAACGTGGCTTACTGCTTTTGGACGATGCAGAGCACTTAGAGACACTGGCCCCTGAGCTGCGCGACGTTAAGGTACTCCAAAGAACCCCTGAAGATGGATTTGAATATGTCGAGAAGGAGGGGAGAATCACTTTGCGCATGTTGCTTAACCATACCGGTACGTGTCTCCTCAACATCGAAATTCAAGCGTTTGCTCTGCATTTTTCTCACCAAAGCTTACTTTTGGATGCAAAAATGCAGCTGGCTTTGGGTATGCCTTCGAGGATTCCAAATTAGCCGAAGTTTCTCGCCCCGTTGGGCTTGATGATTTCTCATGTGACCGGCTAGACACCATCAATCGACCTCTGGTAAATCAACCAGGTACAACATTTCAATATGGTACTTCCATGGACTGGGTTGGAATCATAATAGAGCGCGTTAGCGGTCATTCGCTCGAGTCATATTTTCAAAGCTACATTCTTGGGCCTCTCAACATCACGAGCATCTCCTTCAGGCCATCCGATGAGGCAAAATCCGGGCTAGCTCACATGCACCAGCGTGATTTGAACGACAATGTTTACGAAATCGACCACATCTACAAAAAGCCTCTGATGGCTAAAAATGACGAGGAAAGAGAGCAGATTTACTGTGCAGGTGGGCATGGATGCTTTGGGAAGCCCGCAGATTATGCTCGTAAGTTCAACTGCCATGAGGTGTTCTCCAAGTTAAAGGTTAGAACGATTGTTGACTGGAGGCCTCTTAGGTATCATTGCACTGCTTTTGAACGATGGAACTGATGCAAAAACGGGCGCCCAGCTTCTTAAAACCAGTACTGTGGAAGGTAAGAAAAGTGGATAGCGGAAGCGAAACACTCGTATTGTTACTAAGATGTGATTAGAAATGTTTCGCGACCAAATTGTTGACAAGCCGCGTTTTTCCAACGAGTTCGTCCCGGTTTCTAAACCGAATTTGGCGCGACCTACCCCTCTGAGTCCCATGCCAGAAAATCACACAGAAGGATGGGGTCTGTCGTTTTCGTTAAGCCACTGGCAGTCACCAACTGGCCGAGCCTCTGGGAGCGGCTCTTGGGAAGGGTTGGCTAACCTTTACTGGTTCGCTGACAGAAAAAATAAGCTTGGTGGTCTCATTGCCACGCAAATTGCACCTTTTGGAGGTAAGTTCTCGATGCCTCTCCTCCTTAATATCGGTTTTACTGATCGTGAGGTACGCAAGATCCTTATGTAATCGAATGTTCGGAGAGGGTTGAGACAGAGCTTTACAAATTAGTGGGTTCGAGTAGTCTTTAGAATTCATGTCACTGATGGGCTGCTACCTCAAATAAAATTGATTCTAAAGCTACTGAGGCTTACATTAACTATAGATAGAAGTGAAATGCCGTTATCGCGGCAGGTTCGAGAGTCTCAGGATCACAGTGACTAGCTCCACTGAACACGAATTAACCTAAATTGGAGAAATGCATCTCTGTTCCCTGGATGAACCTATTAAAGCACTCATTCGGCCTTATCAGCCTTTGCTGATGCAGCCAAAGTTCAACCTTTGCACTTTATCATTTGAATTACTGCCATTCCCATAAGAATCTGCCAAACCAGACAATTGTTAAAGCAATATTTGCATTCTACTCTACTCTGCCGCCAGCAATGGACTCTGCGGATATGCCTACCGATGCGGACGACAAACGTAAAACCCAGTTCAATAAGCTTATGGAAGCACTTCTTTCTGAGAAGCCCTCCAAGTTCAACAGGTTCAGCATCTATCGCGCATCCTATCCCAGTGCGAACTTTGACATTGGAGTGGATATAATCGTACCAAAGTCAAAGAAAAGTTCAAGTCCCAGGCCGGTCATAGTCCGAATCCATGGAGGTTTTCTGGTACGTTGTGTCTTTGTGAGCCAAACAAGTACAAGAAGACTACTGACATAGCTTCATTCTATACAGATAACAGGTTCAAGTTTATTTCCTGCTTGGTTCACCAATTGGATATTAGATTACGCAGAGTTGCATGACGCTATCATCATTAGCCCCAATTACAGACTCCTTCCCGAAGTCAAAGGGCTAGATATCTTGAAGGATGTTGAGAATTTCTGGCTGTGGTTCAAAAACGGAGGAGCTCAGAAGCATCTTCATTCAGTTGAACGCTTAGATGTGCAACTCAACGTTGATCGCCTAATGGTGCTGGGTGAGAGTGCCGGTAAGTTGTAGACACCTCAAACCCAAGTTCACTACCCAGCTCGGTAGCTGACACAGCGGTTTCACTTTAAACAGGAGGCTATCTTGCACTGCAATCGGCTTTATGCAGATTTGCAGAGCCAAGAGCACTTATTCTGGCTTACCCCATGCTAGACTTTGAGTCAGCCCACTACACTCAAAGAATGGACAAGCCCATTGTAGGCGTCCCAAACTTCCCCGACAAGCTTGTGGACGATTTTCTTCGAAACAGCAACACAACAGAAGCCATAACAGAAATTGACCCACCAGCAAGGCTAGATTTAGCAATGGCCATCGTGCAAAATGGGAGATTTGTCGATGTTTTTGGAACCGAACCGATATTGTTTCCTTTGAAGAATCTGGCAAAAGTGGGCACATCGATGACATTGCCGCCCCTTTTCATACTTCATGGAGAGCAAGATTCGGCTGTGCCCGTCGAAGGATCGCGAAAGTTTGTCGAAGAGCTGAAGCTTCAAAGTCCCTCGTCAAAGGTGCACTTAATCATCAGACCAGGAGATCATGGCTTTGACAATGAAGCTACCCTAGCTGAACTTTGGCTTGCAGATGGTCTCCGTTCTGTGACAGAAGCATGGCTTAACCGATTGTCGTTCTACAATAGTGCACTATAGTTATGATATGTTTAGTAAAATTGGTCACTATATTGCAGACTCTTGTGTTTATTCTCGTGTATTTGGTTGGAGGCATAGTCTACGCTGTTTGATTAGTTGAAGTGCTGCATTGAATAAGACCAGGAGGCTGAAAGTCATCATATTTACGCTGTTAATGTGAAGGTTAGCCTCATATGATACCATTAGCATAGTATCGCCTCGGGGAAGCCTCTAGTAGGCTGTGAGAATAACTTTCAATTCCGGAAACCCCGTCTTGTTCGCTATGGAATGTCTGGCTCGTTGGTTTGTTCGCGATCTTTCCTCTTCTTTGCGAATGGGGTTAATACTGTGGAGCTACAATATCACCAGATAACCATGGGAAGCATTATTCCCTGCCAACAAAGATCAGCTTCTCACATCATTTACCTGATCAAAAAAGGAGTTGTTCATTTGTTCCAAGTGACCTCTGTCGTTCAAGTTTGATCGGCCCAGATACACTTTAACCAAGTTTGGAAATACCGTATTAGGAAATACAAGAGGTTTGTGGGGAAAGCCGCAGAAGCCGTGGCGTCTCCGCACTCTCCGCTTCTCCTCTCCCGTATGGCAAGCTCTTACTATGTGTATCCATGCACAGACAAAATCATTTTTAACAGTGAAACAATAACTGTTTATGGCTAGGCAGCAGGTGTGAGACGTTATCTAAGTTCTAAATGGGAAATAACTTTGGTGATAGATTCCAGCGACGGTTTGCGGCTACATAAACAAGACCGAGCAAACCCAGCATCAGCTTTGTTGATACTACCAATACAACAGGACCCCAGCTCAAACATTGCCGTCGCATCATATCCATATGAATTTTGTTGCGGCCTTTACTTCGCTTGAATCTACCAATTCCATTCAAGTGCCCTCATTTCACACCATACTACAACTACCTATCACCATACGACCTGTCGCTAAGTATGGCTACCATGAACGAAGTTTTCGCTGCCTACCAGCAGCGACAGGCAGTTCTCGAGAAGAGCACGAGCCCTTATGCAAAGGGAATCGCTTGGATAGAGGGGAATCTCGTCCCTCTGTCTGAGGCACGAATCCCGCTGCTTGACCAGGGTTTTATGCATAGCGATCTGACTTATGACGTACCGTCGGTGTGGGATGGCCGCTTCTTCCGTCTTGATGACCATATCACTCGGCTAGAGGCCAGCTGCGCCAAATTGCGGCTAAAGTTGCCTTTGCCTCGCGAAGAAGTCAAGAAAATTCTCATCGACATGGTATCCAAGAGCGGCATTCGGGATGCTTTTGTTGAACTCATCGTCACTCGAGGACTTAAGGGTGTTCGGGGTGCAAGACCAGAGGACCTTCTCAACAACAACTTGTACATGTTTATTCAACCGTACGTTTGGGTTATGGAACCCAAAATCCAGCCTGAAGGAGGAAGCGCAGTGGTCGCGCGGACTGTTCGACGAGTACCTCCCGGAGCCATTGACCCTACGGTTAAGAACCTGCAGTGGGGTGATTTGGTACGAGGCTTGTTTGAAGCGGCAGACCGCGGCGCTACGTACCCTTTCCTCACAGATGGAGATGCCAACCTCACTGAGGGTTCTGGGTTTAACGTCTTCCTGGTAAAAGATGGTGTTCTCTACACTCCTGATCGAGGTGTCCTTCACGGCGTAACTCGCAAGAGCGTCATTGATGTCGCAAACGCAAATGGCATTCCTGTGCGAGTCGAAGTTGTTCCCATAGAGTTGGCCTACCAGAGCGACGAGATTTTGATGTCCACAACGGCAGGTGGTATCATGCCAATTACTACTCTCGACGGTAAGCCTGTAAACACGGGCAAAGTTGGACCTATCACCAAGAAGATCTGGGACGGTTATTGGGCCATGCACTACAACCAGGCTTACAGCTTCGAGGTCAAATACAGCTCTGCGTAATTGAAATGTTTATAGAGGGGAAAGGGTTTGAGTACGCTCCTTTTCCATAGGAAATGCAATAAAATATATCAGAACCTTAACTTGATGAGACAAAACTCAGTCTCGTATCGCATCCTCTATTGATAGCTTCCTCTGATAACATGTATTCAACAAGCAACTTTCTCAATACAACCAACAGCCAGTGCTGAAACTCACATCAATGGTGTGTTCGAGTCTTTATGTGACGGTGGGCTTTTATTTCTGATCAAACCACCTATTTTTACTCGAATCTTTCGATGTGGGAGGGTTTGACGGTCTTGTGCAGATGATATTTCGTTGGTACAACAAAATGGCCATGAATGATACCCGGTGGAACCTAGCTTACTTGCTTCTTACTTACATTGTAAAAATAGTATCAAAAGATTAGTATTTTGATAAATGCTGTTCATTTTGAAGGAATATAGAAATGTCTTCTTAAGAATCACTACTTAATATTGGATTGGTCAACATTCAATCACCTGGATCACGATACCACTTCATCATTCAGCCACAGTAGAAGAACAAGAGGACAGTTAGGGACAATAATATATGAACTTGGGCAGCGAAGCGACCCAGTAACTACAGTCGGGCTCGGGTCTCAGAATTCCCAAGGCTCCGCAGTATATCATGGGCAGATTCTACGGCTTCCATGGCCATGCCATAGCCTGCTTGAAACCCAGTGCCGCCTGCACCATAATTGTGGATAATGGGCAGATTCTTTCCGCTTATAGCAACCTCGTCTCTTGCTACAAGAGCACCACCATCACGAGAAGGTCTGAGACCTGCAACGACAGCCAAGATCTCAGCTCCTCCATCCTGGAGCTCAGCACTGAGTTCGTGGGTGCGTTCTACTATTGAAGTTGTTTCATGCGAGTACGTAGCCCCGTCACTAGGTCGTTTTTCCATTAGTAAATGTGATCTTTCCATGGAGTCTCGCATCATCTGTTTACTCACCCATTTCCCTTTTGCATGTAACCCCCTAAGATGACGTTGCCATTGGAACCTGGCCGAGGTATTACATAGGTTTCGTAATCCCTTCCATGACGCATAATATTCGTTTGAACTTGTGGTGCTCTAGTCAATACAACCTGGCCTCTAGTTGGGTAACACTTCTCGTCTGTAACACCAGGAAGAGTACGAGCGGCATTTCCAATGCAGTTGAAAACAATCTTTGTGGTCGGGCTGGCGTATGCGGACTGAATGTCAGGAATCTTTTGCCTGATAAATCGCACACCATACTGGTCCTTCAACCGCTGGTAAAGGTACTGGAGATGGGCCGGGGCATTTACTGTCAATGTTGTAAATGAGACGGCAAATTTGACGCCTGCCGGAAGATCATCTTGTGGGAGGACTTTGAACTAAGACATGACTGTTAGTCCAGAAGCAACGTCGTGGGATGGATTAGCAATAATCTCTGGGGGATTCGTACATCCTCAAGGTATTCGGCCATGAACCTGATTTTATCATGAGGAACGACTTCGTCCCACATCTCAATCGATGGAGTTCTTTGAACGAAAGACTCTGGCCCTACTTCGGAGGCAAGTCTACAAAGATGAGAATAGCCCAAGCGGTCCCATTTCAAGGCGTTGGCATCGCTGCCGGAGATGGCTGAGAAGTTACAGCCGGCCCTAGTGATACAGTAAGTACCTACTCGGAACATATATTTCGTGAGCCTCCTATACGCACCATGGTGATGTGTAAGTAATCGATGTGTCGCCGGGAAGGTGCTCCGCGACGACAGTAATCAACTTTCCGTAGCCCTGCTCGGCAAGCACCAGAGCAACATCGAGACCGATGATACCCGCACTGGCATCTTTGTTAGTCAATGCTGAGTTGGAATACTTTTTGGACTCACCCAACAATGACAATACTGTTTCTTGAAGCTTCGGTTGCCATGGAAGGGGCTTCTTTTCGAGTCAACAGTACGACCAAAGCGGATACCAAAGATTATGAGGTAATCAAAATTTCGTTTAGCTCCCAAATTGTGTAGTGATAGCATCAGTGGTGAGCATGCACAACTTGACACTCATATAGGTGTCCGCATCTAAGTCGGTATACCTTATCTTTAGCAAACTGAACGGCTCACTACGATGCTCAGGACTCCACCAAAATTTCATCTTTTACCTATTCGAGAATTCTTATTGCATGTGGGTACGTACCGCCCACATTGTGTGACACTGACTACAATTTTAAGGGCATGTTGGTGGACTGGTGGGGTAAATATGCCAGGCATTTCTCCTAAACAGGATATTCAGCTAAGCTTGGCTTCCCTCAGGCCATGTATGGGACCACTAATGTCAGCACAAACAGTCGTGTTCCTCGCGCTAAAGCACTCTAAATGGACAGCAGAGCCACTGGCGATTCATGAACCATTAAGATCCACATTGGCCAGATACAAGACCTAAACAGAACCAAGGTCGCCAGATTTCTTCTAACTGTGTTTGATTTAGCACATTAGATTGACTAAGCTAAAGATCTTCGAGGTCGATCCCCGAGACTGCGAGTATCTATTGAGAATGCTACAGGCTACGCCATATTGCCCGGGAAATGTGCCCATTCTACCTAGTTGACACAAGTCCATGACTCCGCATCCTTAAAGTCACCACCTTGGAACACATTTCGTCGAGGCCAACGGCAATGCTTGCGCTTGAAGTCGACTCCTGCGGCTTTGGTACCGTTAATGTACGCTGTGCCTACAACGGTCTCGGGAGCCACATCTTCCTCAACCCAGCGAACGATAGCCATCAGCACATTCTCGTCCGGGTTAAGGCTCGCAACACTCTGTGCTTGATTGCCAATGAAGGTCGCACCTGGGCCACCTCCACAGTGTGCCATGCCAGATATACGGAAGAATCGGTAAAACTCGTCTAGCGCCGCCGGTTGAAGGCCCATAATCTTCGAAACATGCTCATAGTATCTGGGTGAGTTGTCGCTGGAAATAGTTCCATCCACCAAACCGTGATAGTGCAGAAGCTTGCCACCACGGGACTGGAAGGCTGACAGGTCGCCATCAAAGGTCTCAATGTTGAAAAGGTTCAGCGACGACGACAGGACATAGTCCGCAGGCTTGAGGCTAAGAGGGTCCCAGTTGGAATCATTGAAAATGGCGTAACGGAACCAGTCTGCCGCCCCGAATGCCTGTCCAGTGAAGTATGTCTGCGGCGCACCAGTGAGCTCGGCACCGGGTTGCATCCGTGGGTAAACCAAACTGCCAGAAGCATCGAGTAGCGGTGAATAAATAGCACGGAGGGTTTCCACCTGCTTCTCAGTCAGGCATTGAGTAGCGTTTCCGCTCTCGCACACCAATCCATCTGGCTTGTAGTCGCAAAGCTCAGGTGACTCGATAATTCCATCTGCGACGCCGTCGAGCTTGTCACATTGCTTCAGAATGTCTTCGTGAATAGTTGGCCACATTGTCATTGGGATGAAGGTATCGGCACCTTCGAGTCCAGTAAGGGGGAGAAAGTGGCAACTCCACGATGTAAGGTTGTTGAATGAGAACGCTGGTGCACCAGCGACAATGCCATCAAAGTCATCGGGGAAGGCTTGCGCCTCCTTGAACCCCTGACGACCCCCGGTGGAGCAGCCAAGGTAGTAACTCTTAGTGTGAGGGCTTCCGTAGAACGATTTGCTGACGTCTTTGCCAACAACGACACCGGTGTGAAGTGCGCGATAGGCGAAGTCTTCGATAACGTCCGGGTTGTTCAAAAACGAGACGCCGCTCATGCCATCGTGACCGTTGTTGGTTGCCACCGTTGCAAAGCCAAGCGAACTGCCGTAGTCAAGATCTTCATACTGGATGCAGCCACCGAGACCACCATTGCCAGTGCTTAGGAAGCGGCCAGTCCAGTTCTGTGGAAGCCACGCCTCGAACTTGAATCCAGAACGTGTGGAGGTGGCGACCTGGGCAGTAAGACGGCAAAGATCCGCCGAAACTGTCTGGGATGTCCGACCACAGCTCGGATCAGCGCCAGGGAGCCGAAGTGTGGAACCAGCTGATAAGAACTCAGTCTTGTAGGATTCAGCACCTGGTATAACCGTAGAGTTGCCAAAAGAAAGGCATTGTTGTCGGAATTCTGCACTGCTGTTGGAAGCACTAGAGGAGGCAGCTTGCACCAGCGCGCCAAGGACGACTAAGTACAGCATCGTTGAGGAAGAAACGCGATGCTCACGAGGACTATGGTGCTTAGTGGAAAAGAGGAGGCACGACGCAGCTTGAAAGGAGATATTTTGTATTCGACAGCTGCGTTACAGCTGCGTATTTGTATCCTGGGTCAAAGACGAGTCAGAGAACTTCTTCATACGCTTATCATGCTATAACATCGTCGTAGTACCATGACCATATTTAGGAAGCCCCTTTCCTTCGGGTCAGCCGATGTTGACGTGGTGGACCTGTCGCTGATCAAGCTGTGGTCGTACCAAGAGCGGCTAATATCCGGTAGATGGACCCGGTAGAGGAGAACCGCCCTCTCCAACAAGCCATACACCACAAGAAGACATAGCAGAACCCCTGGGTACAGCTTGAACATTACTACTCTGGCCTCCACTTACATTATCGGTCACTTATTGCCAAGTATTAAATCTTTTGTGGGTATGTAAATCAGACGCGAGTATCACAACCTGATTGTATGCTAAATTCGTTCTGCACAAGCTGTCAACGGAGGCTTGCAAGTATCATGGTTATAGCCAGGCGCTATTTCCACCTTTAGAGCCATTGGATATCCCCGCACGGACGCCACGCTCTTGCCATGTCAAGTTCCTCAAGCTGGTGTATGAATTGCTCAAAGATAAATGGCCGGAACTTAAATGTATCCGTACGTTCAAGGCTTAATAATGCTAGTGTATCATACAGGTGGAGGTTAGTACATACTTTTCTAAACAATCCTCGGCTTCTACCGCCACATTAAATCTAACGTCTTAGCTAAAACGCCTTAAGAAATAAGCATACGGATGTTTCCAGTAGTGAGAGCTTGTGCTGTGTAAAGAGTAAATAAGCTACTACTACGGTAGATAATTGCAAGGGGCTGTCAGCCACCTGCAGATGATCATTGATCGACGTTTCTTCTGAACTGGGGTCATGGTAGCCTCGCTTTCGTATCTCCGTGTAATTGGACACTAAAGCCTAGAACCACCGGTTTTCTGACCATATGGAGTTACCGTCAAGCGCAATGACACACCAAGTAGCCCTGGAAACACAACTAGGATACCGTGGATGCCTGCAAAATCAGCATTAGGGTCCATGTTCACCCGCGATTCTGCCGGGTCTTGCGTCACCTCCAATATTCTAGGCTATTCACCGCGGGGAAATATGAATCCTACACAAGTATCCAGATGAGATTAGTTCCATCGTGCAACATTGTCTCATGTGACGTTTCTTTTGTTTTGACTACGTAACCTATCCAGAACAGGCTGAGAGAAGTCAAACGACCCCCTTTGCCTCCCTGAACCATGCGGCTATTGTCTGACTAATGTCCACGCGTCGCGTGCTTCCAGCGACATTCCACGGCTTGATCCGGCAGGCATTTACGATACATCGAATTACTGAAAGTATAGGCACATCTGTGCCTCGAAGCACTGCTGTGGGCTCGTGCACGAACAGCCTGTACAGGTTTTAGGCTCTTTTGAGATTTTTCGTCGTTATTCTGGAGAAAGAAGCCCACAACCGGTAATCTCACTCCATAAGCCAACGACATAATCCCATCACGGTGAAAGTAGCGAAGAGATAGCGGCCATCACTGTTTTCAGCATCGCCGGGCGACCTTTAAAAATCTTGCCTTTTGATCCAACGACGACTGGCGAAATCCCAGCCATATCCAACTCTGGTCGACATACTGGCCAAAGCAGTGATAACAACGACATAACTGAGTATACGATAATGCGCAAATTCACCCATGCGGCCATAGCTCGACCAATACTGTATGCTGCTCCTTGGCTTTACTCGAGTAAGATGGGCGTTGCACGCAACGCTTCGGATGGTTTCCGGGATCATTAATGTACGGCGGGAGACTCCGAAATTTAGCCAAGACAAGGTTGAGGATGGAAGAGAGTGACTGATACCCACATTGTGCAATAGTGAAGGGCTCTTGTATAAAAACCAGAAGGGTGCGAATGAAACCGACCGATACATTCGCTACATTCCAAGCTCATACATACAGTTTCATTCTATGTTTGACAGCAGGTTTGATTGCAAGGCGTCGTCATAGGCTTAATTTCTTGTTCATAGTAGGTGGCAGTTCATGGTTAAGGCGAAAGTGTTTGGTACCACACTGTAGGAACGGCCCAAATTGTGTCATGTGCATGCGCGATTTTCTCCGGCGTCCCTACCTACTCGTACTTTTAATACCTTATCACATGAATACCATTACAGGCGTAGGAAGGACTCCTCTCAAGGTGCGATAGAAGTTCTTGGATATGGTCTAAAAAGCTCTAGAAGGGAACATTGAAGTGTGTACAAGAGATATACCTCTTCAAGTTGCCCGTCACGTGGGTGTTGGTGTTGTCTACCTGTGTAAAATCTGATGAGCGACAGCCGGTAGCCGGCAGCTCGGGCGGCCCCGGAGCCACTTCAATCCGGAATTCGGACTATTGCAACAGTTGGGCATAATTATTCAACGTGTTGACACCCTGTAAATGTCCATTGATGCATAGACAACTCTGAAGTCATTGCTCCACATCAACGCTGCAAAGATGAGGGGGCATCGACAGATTTAGTGGTCCAATTGATGTTCGCTACCTCTCATTGGGCAACAGCCTGATACGTTGTAGTCTCTCGGCAGCGAGGATGGGGTAACAGGCGGCATTGGACTTGATTTCTCGCCGGAACGGCGAGATCTGCATTTCAGTAGCACAAAAGTGGCATCGCTATTGAACCACAAGCCCCAGCATCGCCCTACGTCGAACTTGAAGCTAAAACCGTGATTATGGATGCTGGGGTTCTCTTCATAGTACCTTTGAACCGGTCAATTTGTTAAAAGAGAATCTAAATTCGAACAATAGAGAGATTTCGATTATGGCTGATATCAAAGTCGAGTTGATAGACATGATATCAGGAATATTGGTTTTATAATGTGTAGAAATCCAACTTTCAACCTGTGGTAGTATGGATAGTTCAATAGCAGAATCTGTGTCTGTAGGCGTGGCTAGTTGTTACGACCCGTAAACAAGGATAACAGCCGAACGACCCACTTGGGCGTCGGGCGGCTAGGACAGGACATTTGTACTACATGATTGATTGATTTATTCCTACTCGGTTATGAAGCCGCTCTTATGCCAGCAGCTATGCCCGGAAAGCGGGGTTTGGCAGGTAGCCGAAGCGTCGACAATGAACAGCGACGCCCCACTTCGCCCTGATGTTGCATCAGGGCCAGCTATCCCCAAGCTCCCCACTATGTTCTCTATTCTGTGTGTTTGTGCCCTCTGTTGAAGAAGTGTGTTGCTCTCCTGTCTGCTTTCTCGCTTTTGTGTTGCTCTCTAGAATGCTTGTTTTGCGTCCTCCTGCTTCGGTTCAGTTGGTGCTGGTAGCACCGTATCTGGTTCTTTGTACCTACAGTCTCCCCCCAGCGCTCAGCTTTGTCTCTTTGTTTTGTCCGTATCCTCCCGGACTTGTATATGCCGTTTTCTCAGTTGCATCTGTAAATTCTTTGTTGCCTCCTGCCGGGTTCCTATGTGGCCTCTTGTTTCTTGCCTGTTGACCACTATTGCCCTCCACCACATTGGCCCAAGGGTCTTCCACGAAGCACAATGCTCCACTGACTCCGACATGTTCGATTACTGGGTATGAGAGCTCCCGCACAGATTCCGCAGACATTGTCGCGCGTTGAAGGGACACCAATCCTTCTTCGCAAAAGGGGCGACAGGGGACCAGTCTGTCTGTGGTCTGTAGTATTGTGTGGCATCGATCGTAGCATGCCTAATGCCTGGTGCTTTCTCCGTGCGGAAGGTGATACTGTTCTGTCGGACTCATCTTCGTCGTTGTGGGACGTTGCAAACTTTGTCGGGGGTGACAGGTGACCCAAAACCTGTCGGCGGCTGTTGTGTTGAAGTTGATTGTTTGGGCGCAGTCTTAGTGCTTCGTGTAGCGGCTTGTGGCTCGCCTGTGGTGGTGGTAACAGTGTTGTCTATTGATATGTCGTATTTTGCGGCTTGCTCTCAAGTTTTTCATTGTAGTCGGGGCGTGCTCTGCGGCCATCTTGGGCCCCTTTGGGACGTAGAATCAAGGCCGAGGATGGCATTGCATCGAAGGGGGCTCTGTGGCCGCGAGCACGCGTATTTGGGGCCGTTTTTGCTCCGATTTTCAAAAATTTCGTTCTCGCTGTTGTTGATGTTTTTCACATTTGTACTACAGATTGATTGATTGATTGATTGATTGATTCCTACACGGTTATGAAGCCGCTCTTATGCTAGCAGCTATGCCCGGAAAGCGGGGTTTGGCAGACAGCCGAAGCATCGACGATAAACCGCGACGCCCCACTTCGCCCTGTTGTTGGATCAGGACCAGCTGTCCCCAAGCTCCCACTATGCTATCTATTCTTGTGTGTTTATGCCCTCTGTTGAAGATTGTTGTCCTCCTGCCTGCTCTCTCGCTTGGTGTTGCCTTCTAGAATCCTTCTTTCGCGTCCTCCTACTTCGGTTCTGTTGGTGCTAGGCACCATGTCTGGTTCTGTATACCTATAGTCTCCCCCCAGCCCTCAGCTTCGTCTCTTTATCTTGTCCGCATCCTCTCAGACTCGCATGTGCTATATCTCAGTTGAATCTGTAAATCTTTTTGTTGCCTCATGCTGGGTTCCTATGTGGCTCTATGTTTCCATCTTTCGACCACCACCTCCATCCACCGCCTGGAGTCGGACTCAATCCGCAAAACACAATGCTCCAACCGCTTCGATTCGTCCGATTACTAAGTATGAGAGCTCGTACACAGATTCCGCAGACATTGTCATACGTTGAAGGGGCGACAATCCTTCTTCGCGGAGGGGGCGACAGGGGACCAATCTGTCTGCAAACTGTAGTATTTTGTGGCATCGATCGTAGCATGCCTGGTGTCTGGTGCTTTCTCTATGCAGGAGGTGATACCGTTCTGTCGGGCTTGTCGTCGTTGTTGTCGCGGGACGTTGCAAACTTTGTCGGGGGTGATAGGCGACCCATAACCTATCGGTGGCTGTGGTGTTGATGTTTGTTTGGGCTTGGTCGTTGTGCTCACGTGATAGCCCGTGACTCAACCGCGGTGGTGTCGATGGTGTTGTCTATTGACGTGTCATACTTTGTGGCTTGCTCTCGAATTTTTCGTGGTCAGAGCCCGCCCGCGGCCACGAGCAGGCTCTTTGGGAGCAGAATCAATGCCGAGGATGACATTATGCCCAAAGTGACCTCTGAGAGCGCGAGCGGGCGTGGTTTGATCAATTTGATGCTGTTTTCAAAAATTTCGTTCTCGCTGTTGTTGATGTTTTTCCATTTGTACTACAGGATCACGGGAACAGCGGGAACTCACTCGGCACGGAAGAACTATGGTACAAGTCACGTGACGATAAGATAAGGAAACGATCAGTGGAGCACAGGACGGGACGCTCAGTGATCAGTTGGCATTGCCAACTGATCGCGATCACCTCATGCACCTAGGTGATCACCCCCAGGTAGACAAAGAACACTGTTCAGGACTTGTATATAGTATGACCTGAGCCTGGCTCAAGGTCAGACTTCCATAGCTCTTTAGCAATCAACTTTGTGATTACCCTAACCGGTACTTTCAGCTATACCTAAGTGACGACTACTCTACGACTCTTGTTGAGGCCTTGACTGATCACCAAGACCTTTGAAGATCTACGATCTATTCGACCAGGACTACGGAACGACTGTTACTACTCTCAATCCCTGGCTTACTGTTAACACAAACCCACTGTCAGTTAGCTGGCCGTAACACTTTGATTGCTCCTGTTCAGTAAGTCACCTTTTAAGAACTACTAAACAGTATAGACAAGATGTCTTCTCGCGCTTCTGCCAAATCACCCACTCCAGGATCCTCATCCTCTTCGCGCAACCAGCCTCAGAGCCTCGCGCAGGAGCCCGCCAACACTGAGGACTTCGACATGCCGGACCTCAAGTACGACTCCGATGGAGATAGCTCTTTCACCAAGGAAAGCTACGATAAGCTCCGACGCATAATCCAGAAACAAGAAGCCGAGACAAAAGACATGCAGAAAATCGTCAACGAAAACCGACAAGCAATAGAAAACCTCAACAAGCAACTCCAGCACGCTGGACAGGCTTATAAGAAGCTGGAAGAAGACATCAAGGGGGACGCCAACCTCCGGAAGATCTAGGAACTCCAGGGGGAAATCACCACCCTCCGGGCCGCCGCCAACATCGTCACCACGCCCGTCCACGGAGGACGACAAAAGCTTAAGCTTAGTGCGCCTGTCACCTACGACGGAACCCCCGGGACCCTTAAAGGATTCCTAATTCAGGTTAAAAACTACTAGAACTTTCACTATAGAGATTTCACTAACGAAACCGAAAAAGTAGTATACGCAGCTACCTACCTCCGAGGAAAGGCCCTCAAGTGGTTTGAACCAATCTAGGAAGAATACCTTAAATGCAAGACCCTCGACGAGTGTACTACCGAGACCCGCGACATCTACGCTAATTTTAAAGGATTCGAGGATGCGCTCAGGTCACTCTTCTAAGACCCTGACGAAAAGCGATAAGCCGAACGAGATCTAGCATAACTTAAGCAGACTAAGTCTGCTAAAGACTACTCCGCTAATTTCCGACAACTTAGCGTTTAACTCGACCTTACTAAGGAAACCAAGATCTTTATGTTCTATCAAGGACTAAAGGACGAAGTCAAGGACGAGATCATCAAGATTGATCGACCTGACGACTTTCTCTAGTACGCCGAACTCGCTATCAAAATCGACAACCGGCTTTTTAAACGACGAAAGGAAAGAGGCGAAAAACGACAAAACCCCAACTCAGGACGCAAGTACTAGTGGCAGCCTCAGCACCAGTTCAACAACCAGCGAAACGACAATAGACCCCGCAACAACTAGAACAACCCCTGACAAAGTACTGCCTATAGTTACTATAGTGGACTAATGGACCTTAGTGCTATATAGAGAAACGACAAAAAGAACGATAGTTAGAAGAAAGACAGACAGTACTATAACTACTAGAAGATTAGATACCTAGCATACGAATATAGGTTACCTAAGAAGGAACGCTTCCAACCGGTACTAGAGAAACGACAAGCGAGTATCGCCACGAAGACGATCCCTTATAAACAACTCAACTAGACTACCTGCTTCGATGACAACTGCTATATCTACTCTAGCAGTAAGGAACACGCAGGATGGTACCCTTAGAAACCTTAAGAACGATCTGGTTACGACACTACCAACGTACCTAAACGGACCCTCGCTATAGGATATAGAAGCAATAGCAAAATCGAGCGCAAGACAATCGAACAGCTCGACAGTATGAACGATAACGAGGAATTAGAACAAGACAATCAGCGAAGACTAAACCTCCTCTACGCAGGACGACAAGCCAACCTGCAGCGGATTTAACAGGACTTACAAAACCCTATGTAGCAACGACAACTCGGTGCGCTGGACGCATACATCGAACGACGACAACATGCACAAGGAGATCCCGCACGGATCCGCTAGATCAACTAAGAACTAGAAGAACAGGTCGAATCAGAAACGACCAAGAACACCCCTAACGACTTGGAAACACCTCGCGATGTTGCCTGCCAACATGCCTAACTGGAAGTCGCCTTTGAAGTCGCTTCAGTCGACGATACCAGCTCTAGAGAGGACTCTGACGAAGAAATACAGTGGTATTACTGCTACCAAGACTAGCGCCGAGTCCACTATATTAAGAAAGACGAAGCATGGAAGAAATAGTAAGAAAACGACGAATAAGGAACGGACGAGCAGTTAAAAAACTAGACTCGCCTACCGAAGACAAGGGACAACGACAGGCAGTCTAGACAAGGTCCCTATGTAGCGCAACGACGCCCACGACACAACGACACGAGCATGTACAAGTCTAAATACAGCTTAACGGAAGAACAGCTACCGCCATGATCGACAGCAGAGCCCAAGGAAACTTCATATCACCAAGAACGGTGAATGAAAGAAAGATAACCTGGAAAAGAAAAGCAGCCGAAGACTGCTACGAACTCAGCACCGTTAAAGGAGAATAAGTCCAGTACGGCGGAGGACGTATTGCTATAGAGACAGCGCAACTCCCTTTGCAGATCCATGGCCGGAATAAGCGACTGAACTTCGATATTACGGAGATAGGAGACAAGTACGATGTCATCCTTGGAAGACCATGGTTATACGACAGTAACCCACGGATAGATTGGAGAACAGGCTAACTCTATTAGGACCAGGATTCAGTCACTGAGAAGCAACTACGGAACGGTGCCTTAAACGAACCTCTCAAGACTCCTGAAGCGAAGAGATTTCTAGCATACCTACGGATAAAGGATGCAAACGCTAAGACGTTATCAGTAACAGACATCGGCAAGGAAGACCGACTTCTATCTATCCTAGAAGAATACCGGCAATACTAGAAGCTATTCGCCGAAGAACTCGAGACCGGACTCCCGGAACACAGCAACTACGACCACGAGATACCCCTTAAGGAAGGGAAGGAGCCAAAGCTAGAAGCAATCTACAGACTTAACTAGAAAGAAATAGAAGCACTCGACGCTTACCTCAAAGAAAATCTACAGAAGGGATACATCAGACCCTCTACATCACCAGCGGGATACCCAATCCTATTCATACCAAAAAAGAACAGCAAACTACGACTCTGCGTCGACTACCGGAAACTCAACGACATTACGATCAAGAACTGCTACCCACTACCGCTCATCTCCGAACTACGAGACCTATTATACGGAGCACAGTGGTTTACAGCACTCGACCTAAAAGGAGCCTATAACCTGATCCGGATGAAATCAGGTAAAGAATAGAAGACAGCGTTTCGAACACGCCGAGGACATTACGAGTACCTTGTAATGCCCTTCGGACTCACCAACGCACCCGCGACATTCCAGACGATAATCAACCACGTCTTACGAGAATTTCTAGATATGTTCGTCGTAGTTTACCTCGACGACATCCTAATCTTCTCCAAGACTCTGGAAGACTACAAAAAACACGTATACTAAGTACTGCGGAAACTGCAAGACGCTAAACTCCTAGTAGAACCCGAGAAGAGTAAGTTTCACGCTAAAGAAGTCGAATTCCTAGGTTTTACGATAGCCCTAGGAATCCTCAAAATGTCCAAAGACAAAATCGCAGCAGTACGAGACTGGCCTACACCACAGAACGTTAAGGACGTACAATCCTTTATTGGATATGTGAACTACTACCGACGGTTCCTAGAAGGGTACTTAGACAAAAACGACCCTCTCACGAGACTCTCGAAGAAAGATGTTCCCTGGCAATGGGAAGAAGAACAAGAACAAGCCTTCAACGAGATCAAATAACAAGTCACATCGGAACCAATACTTATTATACCAAACCCCGAGAAACCATTCGAAGTCGAGACCGACTCCTCAGACTACGCTATAGGAGGACAACTAGGCTAACGAGACGACGAAGGACGACTACACCCTTGCGCCTTCTTCTCACGCAAGTTACACGGCCCAGAACTCAACTACCAGATACACGACAAGGAACTTATAGCAATTATCGAGGCATTCAAAGAATAGAGACCGCAACTCTCAGGAACCAAGTACGAGGTCAAAGTATACACCGACCACAAGAATCTCGCACACTTCACCACATCGAAAGATCTCAACAAACGACAAATTCGATAGTCCGAATTCTTGTCAGAATTCAATTTCAGAATCATCTACCGGAAGGGCAAGGAGAACGGCAGGGCCGACGCCCTCAGCCGACGACCGGACCACGAGGTCTAGGTACCTAAGGAAACCCGAGTTATCCTCAAAACAGACAAAAACGGAGACCTTGTGCCAGCAGCCAGACTCTTAATGATGGCTAGAAGAGACAGTACCAGCACGCCTGGAAGGATGTCTCCTGAAGCCATTAGGGAGATATACTCCGCACCCGCACATGGTTACCAAGGCGTAACCAAAACGTAGAAACGCATCCGTCAACACTACGACAAAACGGCTACACGACAAGAAGTATCTTTAGCGATTAAGGACTGTGAGGTTTGCGCAAAAAGCAAACCCAGCCGACATCAGCCTTATGGAAAGATACAGCCGCTCCCAGTGCCGCAAACCGCATGGGAATCCATCTCGCTGGACTTCGTCACTAAGTTACCTAAGTCCCGAGAACCGATAACCAACGTCTACTACGACAGTGTCCTCGTCATCGTCGACAGACTTACGAAGTATTCGTACTTTATCCCGTATATAGAGTCTAGCACTGCAGAAGACCTCGCCTACAAGTTTCTACAGGTAATCGTAAGCCAACACGGAATGCCGAAGGAAATCGTATCCGACAGAGACAAGCTATTCACTTCCAAGTTTTAGAGATCCCTGATCTCGCAGCTAGGATCCGACCACAAGATGTCCACCGCTTTCCATCCGCAAACCGATAGCCAGACAGAACGAATCAATCAGATCATAGAAACCTACCTACGCTACTACGTTAACTATCAGCAAGACAACTGGGTTCAACTGCTACCTATGGCCCAGTTCGCCTACAACAGCGCAGTAGGAGAAAGTACAAAAGAATCACCATTCTATCTGAACTATGGATTCAACCCAACAGCCTACGGACAACCTCGACAAGGCCCAGCAGCTTTGAAAGCTGTGGCAGACATCAACAGACTTAAGGAGATCCAGCAGGAACTCCCCAGAGACCTCGAATTTGTGCGCGAACGCATGCGCAAATACGCCAACAAATCAAGAGTTGAGGGACCAACTCTAAAGGAGGGGGATAGTGTATACCTTCTCCGCCGCAACATCAAAACAAAACGACCAAGCGATAAGTTGGACTTCAAGAAACTTGGACCCTTTGAAATTACGAAGAAGGTATCTAACGTCAACTTTAAACTCGCACTACCCGACAGCATGAAGTGTCATCCAGTCTTTCATATTTCACTACTCGAACCAGCCCTACAAGGATTACGAACAAGCGACGTCATCATTATAGAAAACAACGAGCCAGAGTACGAAGTCGAACGTATCATCGACCACCTTAAAGAACCCGAAGGATATCAATACCTCGTCAAATGGAAAGGATACGGACATGAAGATAACACTTGGGAACCTGCGAAGAACCTCACCAACGCAACTGACGAACTCTCCGTCTATTAGCAACAACACCGAGAACGGGAAACCACACCAGCGCCAGTAACGCCTCCTAGTCAAACAAATACCAACGGCTACCAACGGATTAGACACCCACACAGACACGTCAGACTACTAGCAGAAGCAGACAGACCGCGACAAGGAAAACCGTTTATTCGGTTAGGAACACTAGAATACGACTAGGACCCCCCCGATAAGAAGTTTGGAGTACCAGGATTCTAATCAAGGATTGAATCTAGGTCTATTACACCAAAGCCACCCATCGATTGAACCTCCGATACGGGAGACGCCACCGGCTCCTCCTCTGTAACTTCTCGACCTTTTCGGAAAACCATTCTTTTCTGCTTACGCAAACGATCCAACCGCGCCATGGACTCGTCCAACTCGGCCTGCGCGGCACGCAAAGCAGCGGCTTTCTTTCGCAACACCTCCTCCTCAGCTACCTCTGCGTCCTCCAAACGAGCTGCTTCATCTAGTAAACGATCAACTACGACAAGTTAGCAGCACGTACGAAACGCAGGGAGCGTAGAAACGTACAAGCATAAACAGCGTCCGCCGCCGCATTACAAGACTGCCCTAAGCGAGTACACTAGCCGCAAACCTCACCACCCGGAAGAAGCTTGCAACGCTTCCCCGCGGAACGACAGTAAGAACAAGGCATGTCGACGACAAGGCCAAACTCAGCAATACGCAATGCGCGATTACGACGACGAAGAGTAGAGGCAGAACTCGATTTCGATTTTTGAACGCGACCTGACATGGTGTCAGCATCATGAGTAGATCAGGAAGCACGATTGATAGATCCCTAACCTGGGACTAACGACCTACTTATGTTGGGTCTTGAGGACAAGACCTTTGGAGAGGGGACCTGATGTTACGACCCGTAAACAAGGATAACAGCCGAACGACCCACTTGGGCGTCGGGCGGCTAGGACAGGACATTTGTACTACATTGATTGATTGATTGATTCCTACACGGTTATGAAGCCGCTCTTATGCTAGCAGCTATGCCCGGAAAGCGGGGTTTGGCAGACAGCCGAAGCATCGACGATAAACCGCGACGCCCCACTTCGCCCTGTTGTTGGATCAGGACCAGCTGTCCCCAAGCTCCCACTATGCTATCTATTCTTGTGTGTTTATGCCCTCTGTTGAAGATTGTTGTCCTCCTGCCTGCTCTCTCGCTTGGTGTTGCCTTCTAGAATCCTTCTTTCGCGTCCTCCTACTTCGGTTCTGTTGGTGCTAGGCACCATGTCTGGTTCTGTATACCTATAGTCTCCCCCCAGCCCTCAGCTTCGTCTCTTTATCTTGTCCGCATCCTCTCAGACTCGCATGTGCTATATCTCAGTTGAATCTGTAAATCTTTTTGTTGCCTCATGCTGGGTTCCTATGTGGCTCTATGTTTCCATCTTTCGACCACCACCTCCATCCACCGCCTGGAGTCGGACTCAATCCGCAAAACACAATGCTCCAACCGCTTCGATTCGTCCGATTACTAAGTATGAGAGCTCGTACACAGATTCCGCAGACATTGTCATACGTTGAAGGGGCGACAATCCTTCTTCGCGGAGGGGGCGACAGGGGACCAATCTGTCTGCAAACTGTAGTATTTTGTGGCATCGATCGTAGCATGCCTGGTGTCTGGTGCTTTCTCTATGCAGGAGGTGATACCGTTCTGTCGGGCTTGTCGTCGTTGTTGTCGCGGGACGTTGCAAACTTTGTCGGGGGTGATAGGCGACCCATAACCTATCGGTGGCTGTGGTGTTGATGTTTGTTTGGGCTTGGTCGTTGTGCTCACGTGATAGCCCGTGACTCAACCGCGGTGGTGTCGATGGTGTTGTCTATTGACGTGTCATACTTTGTGGCTTGCTCTCGAATTTTTCGTGGTCAGAGCCCGCCCGCGGCCACGAGCAGGCTCTTTGGGAGCAGAATCAATGCCGAGGATGACATTATGCCCAAAGTGACCTCTGAGAGCGCGAGCGGGCGTGGTTTGATCAATTTGATGCTGTTTTCAAAAATTTCGTTCTCGCTGTTGTTGATGTTTTTCACATTTGTACTACATTGATTGATTGATTGATTCCTACACGGTTATGAAGCCGCTCTTATGCTAGCAGCTATGCCCGGAAAGCGGGGTTTGGCAGACAGCCGAAGCATCGACGATAAACCGCGACGCCCCACTTCGCCCTGTTGTTGGATCAGGACCAGCTGTCCCCAAGCTCCCACTATGCTATCTATTCTTGTGTGTTTATGCCCTCTGTTGAAGATTGTTGTCCTCCTGCCTGCTCTCTCGCTTGGTGTTGCCTTCTAGAATCCTTCTTTCGCGTCCTCCTACTTCGGTTCTGTTGGTGCTAGGCACCATGTCTGGTTCTGTATACCTATAGTCTCCCCCCAGCCCTCAGCTTCGTCTCTTTATCTTGTCCGCATCCTCTCAGACTCGCATGTGCTATATCTCAGTTGAATCTGTAAATCTTTTTGTTGCCTCATGCTGGGTTCCTATGTGGCTCTATGTTTCCATCTTTCGACCACCACCTCCATCCACCGCCTGGAGTCGGACTCAATCCGCAAAACACAATGCTCCAACCGCTTCGATTCGTCCGATTACTAAGTATGAGAGCTCGTACACAGATTCCGCAGACATTGTCATACGTTGAAGGGGCGACAATCCTTCTTCGCGGAGGGGGCGACAGGGGACCAATCTGTCTGCAAACTGTAGTATTTTGTGGCATCGATCGTAGCATGCCTGGTGTCTGGTGCTTTCTCTATGCAGGAGGTGATACCGTTCTGTCGGGCTTGTCGTCGTTGTTGTCGCGGGACGTTGCAAACTTTGTCGGGGGTGATAGGCGACCCATAACCTATCGGTGGCTGTGGTGTTGATGTTTGTTTGGGCTTGGTCGTTGTGCTCACGTGATAGCCCGTGACTCAACCGCGGTGGTGTCGATGGTGTTGTCTATTGACGTGTCATACTTTGTGGCTTGCTCTCGAATTTTTCGTGGTCAGAGCCCGCCCGCGGCCACGAGCAGGCTCTTTGGGAGCAGAATCAATGCCGAGGATGACATTATGCCCAAAGTGACCTCTGAGAGCGCGAGCGGGCGTGGTTTGATCAATTTGATGCTGTTTTCAAAAATTTCGTTCTCGCTGTTGTTGATGTTTCACACTTGTACTACAGGATCACGGGAACAGCGGGAACTCACTCGGCACGGAAGAACTATGGTACAAGTCACGTGACGATAAGATAAGGAAACGATCAGTGGAGCACAGGACGGGACGCTCAGTGATCAGTTGGCATTGCCAACTGATCGCGATCACCTCATGCACCTAGGTGATCACCCCCAGGTAGACAAAGAACACTGTTCAGGACTTGTATATAGTATGACCTGAGCCTGGCTCAAGGTCAGACTTCCATAGCTCTTCAGCAATCAACTTTGTGATTACCCTAACCGGTACTTTCAGCTATACCTAAGTGACGACTACTCTACGACTCTTGTTGAGGCCTTGACTGATCACCAAGACCTTTGAAGATCTACGATCTATTCGACCAGGACCACGGAACGACTGTTACTACTCTCAATCCCTGGCTTACTGTTAACACAAACCCACTGTCAGTTAGCTGGCCGTAATACTAGTATTCCGCAGACCATGTATATGTAGTCAAAGGTATGCAATTAAGAGATCTTACTACTGTTCCTTGCATGATAGAATCCGATTAACAAAACTCGTAGTTATGACCATGGTCTACATAGGGTATCAGCGACGAATCATGCCGTTCTGGGCACTAATCAAGTTGTACTAATTAGCGCTTAGCCGTAGCAGTGGCAATTCATCTCAATTTCCGGTCTCAACCCCGCATACCTACGGCAGTCCGCAGGGACCACTGGGTCAAAATTCAATAAATTAGTAGGTATACGGTATGAGGGGTAGAACTTGCCTAATATGGCTAATGTCTCCACTAAGGTGTGTTATCGATAAGATATGAGTGGCTAGAAATTTTAGGTAAGTATGGAGCCCGTGCCTGTATACCTATAAAAAGTCAACCCTAGAACCCTGCTAAAGTCTGACTCCCGGCTTATACCCGTAGTAATCCCCTACTTATAATTATAGTGTTCTATAATACTTACCTCGCTATAGCTATAGCGCCTCCCCCCTTAACCCTAACTACCCTACT